CGCGGAAAAAGGAACTACATCTCAGCCGCATGCGGCGGCATATATACCGAGGGGGCGGGGAGAGGGGCGGAGCCTCACAAATAATCATTTTTAATTTCATTAAACTTTAGAATGTTCCGGATTTCTGCGCATGCGCAAAGGAAAACCCATAGGTGTGGATTTCGCAGAGGACACGAAGAATAAAAGTGTATTCATGTACAAGTAAAACTCAAAATGTTCTCAAGTAGATAGAATTAAAGAACAAGACTGTTGGGACACACCAGCAAATGTGATTCTGTTACTAGATTCATAATTCCAAAGAATAAATGTTTGAATTATAGTATCCAAATTACTAGACATTTTGTCACCCTCTGAATATTCCACCGATTGCTTATTTTTGACAAACTGCAAGCTAGATTCATAACACAACCCACAAGTCAAGATTTTCTGATTAAATTGTCAAATAAAAAATAATAAAAAATAATATAAAACTTACAATCTGCTTCCAGAATGGCACGGACAGATCTAGCAAGTTCTTTGGCTTCAGTTGCAAGCGATGTTGGGATACTGCGGCCATTCCTTCCCAGGCGTGCAAGGATCACTTTAGAGGAAAAGGTGGCTTTTTTGTCACTGAAGAGAACATGTGGGAAAGGGTCAAAATATTTTTATTTAGAAAATTGCATTAGTCCCGTTTGTGACATCAAATTCATTTTATTTTTAGTTATCAGTATGTCACAATGTTCTTGCGGCCCTGCTCAATATAAATGAATACCGTTCATTTTGATTTTAAACTGGGAAAAATATAGAGTGCGGAATGAGAGATCCAAGGAGTTAAAGATCAAGGTCACTCCGTGTGAAGCAGGTGTTGTATTCAAATGCAATACTGTCTAAATGGTGGAAGGCAGCTAATCTGAGATCTATGGCATTTCCCCGAGCAACCCTGAAACTCATCACATATGTTTTGTGATGCTGAATGGTTTAAAGACAGATACAAATGAAACAGGCAACTGAAATGAAGACTTTGAAAATCGCATTCAAAGTATCATAGAATCATAGAATCAAAGAGTTGGAAGAGACCTCATGGGCCATCCAGTCCAACCCCTGCCAAGAAGCAGGAATATTGCATTCAAATCACCCCTGACAGATGGCCATCCAGCCTCTGTTTAAAAGCTTCCAAAGAAGGAGCCTCCACCACACTCCGGGGCAGAGAGTTCCACTGCTGAACAGCTCTACAGTCAGGAAGTTCTTTCTAATGTTCAGATAGAATCTCCTCTCTTGTAGCTTGAAGCCATTGTTCCGTCCTAGTCTCCAAGGAAGCAGAAAACAAGCTTGCTCCCTCCTCCCTGTGGCTTCCTCTCACATATTTATACATGGCTATCATATCTCCTCTCAGCCTTCTCTTCTTCAGGCTAAACATGCCCAGTTCCCTAAGCCGCTCCTCATAGGGCTTGTTCTCCAGACCCTTGATCATTTTAGTCGCCCTCCTCTGGACACATTCCAGCTTGTCAATATCGCTCTTGAATTGTGGTGCCCAGAATTGGACACAATATTCCAGATGTGGTCTAACCAAAGCAGAATAGAGGGGTAGCATTACTTCCTTAGATCTAGACACTATGCTCCTATTGATGCAGGCCAAAATCCCATTGGCTTTTTTTGCCGCCACATCACATTGTTGGCTCATGTTTAACTTGTTGTCCACGAGGACTCCTTGACAGATGCGGTATGGCCATCTGTTGGGCTTCTTTGAATGGGATTTTCCTGCTTCTTGGCAGGGGGTTGGACTGAATGCCCTATAAGGTCTCTTCCCACTCGCTCATTCTATGATTCTACTGCTCTGGCAAAACCAGGAATAAGTCTATGACTGAAGAATGGTAAGCTTAGCTCTGGTACAGAAAACAAATTCCTGCCTTGAAGATGTTCTCAGAAGGCATCCCTTTCTTTAATTCTAAGTATGACTCCAACAGCTAATCCCTAAGTTGCTATTTTTCATTTTGGTTTGGCTGGTACTGTTGAAAGCCCTGGTAGAATGTATAAACAACATCTCCCCATATTTGTGTTGTGTTTAATGTATTGCTGAAGGCTTTTATGGCTGGAATCACTGGGCTGTTGTAGGTTTTTCGGGCTGTTTGGCCATGTTCTAGAAGCATTCTCTCCTGATATTTTGCCCACACCTATGGCAGGCATCCTCAGAGGTTGTGAGGTCTGTTGGAAACTAGGAAAATTGGGTTTATATATCTCTGTGTTTTATTTATTTCCTCTGTGTGGGTGAATGGATGGCACTTCTAATACTAGAGAAAGTAACAAGAGACATGCAAAAAGGGATACCGAGTAGCCACTAGAAAGCATTGGTTTCTCCCAAATGGCCAGAAGAATAGGGTTTGACCGTAAAAACTACTGTTTAAACAAACATTCATCTTTTGTTGAAATAATTCCAACAGGCATTTGGAATTGCATACTTTTCAACTGTCCTAATTTGGCAGGGTTAATCCTCTGCCATCCCACTTTCTCCTTTTGTCATTATCTTATTTTGACTGTACAAAACTTGTTCTAAACTGCAAAGAGTTCTTTACACTCATTTAACTTAGGACAGAGAGGAGAAGAGGGTTTAGAATCTTGCAGCACATCCTGCCTTTCATCTATGAAGTGTTGGAGATTATGGAAGTGAATTGTCCAGTGATGTGAATATGAGATAAGGAATCCTGTAGATCAGGGTTTAAAATGCCCCTGGACCATAAAACCCACTGGGTGATCATGGACAAGTCATCCTCTCTCAGTCTTGGTGGAAGACAATGGTAAACCCACTTTGGACACATCTTGCCAAGAAAATCCCATGATAGCTTGACCTTTATTTGTCATAAGTCAGATATGATTTGAAGGCACACCACCAACAAGAGACTGAAATGCATGCTTAAGGCTATTCAGCAGGAATTGTGGTTATCCAGTACTACTCTTTTGTGAATAATGGTGAAGCAATATCTTTAGAGAAAGATCACAGCTCTGTTGCAGAAAATGTGTTTTAAGTTCTATTGGTGGTATTTCCAGTTTAAAGGATCTTGAGTAGTAGCTCTGGGAAAGCCTGAGACCATGAGCATCACTGTCACTGAGGGCCCTTCCACACAGCCAGATAACCCAGAATATCAAGGCAGAAAATCCCACAACATCTGGGATATCTGAGTCCATACTGCGCTATATTCCAGTTCAAAGCAGATAAGGTGGGATTTTATTCAGCTGTGTGGAAGGTGCCCCAGAACAATCTCCAGATGTTGCTGAACTACAACTTCCATAATCTCTTATCAATGGTTAAGATGGCTAGAGGCCAGTGAGAACTGTAGTCCAAGAACATCTGGAGGACCGCAGCCATTCATTCCTCCACTAGAAGAATTAATTTTATGACACAGTATATGGTAATTCAGTATCACAAATTCTTCTGTTGTTGGACACACTACAATGCAAAAAAGTGTTTGGATGTTGAGGATTATCAATCATACACAATGAGTGCTCATAAAAATGTACAGTAAACCACAGTTTGCACTCCTAGAGCCTTTGAAACTAGTGCTCGATAGGATGTAGTTCACAGGGCAGGTGGTTTTGAAATGGGGAAACTTTTATTCAAATCCCACGTCTGAATTAGACTCACTTGTCTGTCCTGGACAAATCACTGTCCCTCACTATCTTTCCCCCATGAGTAAAAGGCCAATGTTTTTCAACTCTCCTATCAAAGGGTCAGTAACAATTTATACTGATTTCACTACATTAACTTAATAATCTAACATTTTCTTACCTTACATTGGGTAGAGAAGTGGAACAATCTGATAGCACTTCCGGTATAACCTAGTGGCAAACAGCAAAGGAAATGTTTGGTTATTGTTTTTTTAAAAAAATTCTTATAGTATTTTATTTTTGTTTTTTGCTTGTAAAGGCAAGTGAAGAACACACAGTTCGGGTACCTTATGCTTAAACCACTTTAGCTATATATCCTTCAATTCATATGCCGCTGAAATCAATAGCATGTTTGTTGTGTACATTTATGGTTATTGCATTTTCTGTCTGGCTTTGCTGGGATAAGCGGTATGATCCTCTAATTGCCAACAAAGTGTTGCTGCTGTGTCAAAGCAGCTGGTAATGGAAGTTAGTGAGCACCCAATGTTTACCTGTTATCAAGCCACAGTAAACTACCCCCCCCCCCAAATGGGGCTCAGAAATAAATATATGATTTTTCCTTTTTAAAAGACCCTTTCCAGACTTGTGCAAGTTCAAAGCACCAGAAGATCAAAACTGAACCACCACCAGCTATAAACCCATAAAGTCTATCGTATTTAATCCTTTAATAAATTCTATCTATTCTTTATAACTTTCTATATAACTTGTATCTTTCTACATACTTTATCTATTGTTCATATATAATAAACACACATAATAAATGTGAAAATATGTATGAATGTATGTATGTGTGCACGTGGCTGGGGTGAACACTTACACAGACATGCTCCCACTTCCACAAATAGCTATAGCTTCTACAGCTCAGGAGACACCAATGGCCCTCTCTCCAATGACACTGCAGTTTATAGAGAGCCCTATAAACATGTACAAGAGCCCTGGTAATATCCTCCTCAAACATCACAATGCCCTCCACCCAAGTGAAGGCTTTCATATGTGGACAATTCCATCCTAGATTTTCTGTTTTTCCTCCACCACAGACATCCCAGTGTTTCTGACTCTCTCCATTGGTGTGGAATTTGCATGACCCTGCCCACTGCCTATTCCATAACCTTTTCCTATTTTTTCTATGGCACACAGGAAATAGAGGAATCGATCAACAACTGAACATACTAGAGAGGTTTGGATAGACTTCGCCATGATTTACAGGAGTTGTAGGTACTGAGATTTATAGTTCACCTGCAATCTAAGAGCAGTCTGAACTCCACCAACAATGGACCTGGAACTAACTTGGCACACAGAACCCCCATGACGAAGAAACAAAGAGACCCCCATGACGAAGAGACAAAGATGGAATTGGACCAAACTTGGTACACAGAGCCCCATGACCAGCAAAAAATACAGGAGATCTTTGGGGAAAATTCCCCTTGATTTGGGGGAATTATAGTTCACCTACACCCAGAGAGCAGTGTGAACCCAAACACCAATGAATCTGGACCAAACTTGGCACACAAGCCTAATATGCTGAAATTTGATTACTGAAGGGATTTGGGGGGAAACGGATCTTCCTTTCTGGGAGTTGTAGTTCATCCACAACCAGAGAAAGTGTGACCTCCACCTATGATGGACCTGAACCAAACTTGGCACACAGAACCCCCATGACTAACTCAACCTACTGGAGGGTTTGAGAGGACTGACTCACCATAGTGGGAGTTGTCGTTTACCCTACAGCTAGAGAGAACACTGAACCCCACCGAGGAGGCATCTAGAGCAAACTTGCCCAACATAACAAACTTTAAGTACTGATGGAATTTCTTGAGCTTAACCTGGGATGATGTCAATTCTAGTTAATCTACAACCTTATGCATTTTGTACAATTAAAAATTGACTCAAATAACCCGGGCAATGTTGGGTACCTAAGCTAGTATATGATAAACTTCTTTACCAAAATATAATCAGATAAGCCCAGAGACATTAATCTCCCCACTGAGAGATTTCCTGGACAGGAAGGGTGGACAAGCCCCTCTGGCCATTTCCCAAACCAAGATAATCCCCAAGTCCACTGTTCATACAGAGATGGGTGACTTCCTGTCAGCCCAGATAAACCCAGACATGTTTGTCCAGCTATACGGCTCACTGGAGGCTGAGAGATTGCTGTGTGCAGAAACAACTGCTTAGAGTATGTACATGTGTTAAACCGCTTTATAAACAGCCAAGCCTTTGATTACCTAAAATCACTACGTTTTGTTCCAGGAGCCACACACCATTTTTCCCAAAGCTCCTGCCTTTGTTTGGCATGGAACTGGACATTTGTGCCCATCACTATATCTTTATCTTTTGTTTTCCCTGGACTGTGCCCTCCCAGGGGATGTCTCTGCAGCTGATTGATCCTTCACTCTGACCAATCCCTGGCTGCCATTCACTCTCCCGGCCAATCCTACAATGGATTCTAGCCAGCATCTTTTCTGGCCAATCAGGGGAGCGGGCGGGAAGTCTGAATTGCTGGCAGAACTGAAAAAGATGTCTCTGTATGCTTATGCTTGTACCTTTGAAGCAAATTTCTGTACTTGCCTTCTTTTTGGCTAAACTGAATAAACCTGTGACTTGCCTTCAACTTGGGTTGGTTTCTCTGTCCTGGCCTATCTGGTTTAGTATGCTCTCACCAGACATGGACTCCCTTATTTGTGGTCCTAGTTATCCACACATACCTAGAACTTTATGGTCTATGGTGCTATGTAGTTCATTAAAACTCATGCATCTGGGTCAAAATTAAGGCTCTGTAGCTGTGGCACTGTATATATGCTAAGATGGGAGTGTGATTATATCACTTTCCTAATTCTGCTAATGTCACATTCCCAATCAGCTGTTATATTCCCATGATAATTAGGACAGAACAGAAACAAATAGAAATGAATAAAAATGTGGAAGAAAAGCCTTAGTAATTGCCCACCCACCCCTCTTATAAAGAAAAAGTAATTCTTAAAAGAATTTTTTCCAATGCTGGAGGAAAACAATGATCTGGTTCTTTGAAGACTATCCTAGGTCCAGTCTCAGTTTTTCACTTTTCACAAAAGGAAGGGGGGGGGGGCACCTTGTCCTTGTGGACATATACGCAAAATCATCACAGCAATGTTCTATCTAATTGCTTAGTAAAATAAACACCTTTTTCTGGCTTCCAGTGGTCTGTCCAGCAAAGGGAAATGCAATTGAAAAATAGAAAGATTAGGTAGAAGCATTCAGCAATTATTTTTAAAAGTTTCATAATTAAAATTAACTTAATAATCTTCAATGCAATTACATAACATTATACATATCAGGGCATCTATATTTAGGTTCTGGCCATTCTTCAATTATCTCTCCCATCCACTTAGGCCACCTTATCACATAATTTCTGACTCTGACCTTCTTAAAATAGCTCTTGGTCAGTTTGCTGAAATTTCCATGTCAGAACTAATCAGTTCTACCTTGACTTATTTTGTTTGGCCTTCACTTTGATGCTGGTGGAATAATAAGACCTTATTCTGCCAAGAAACCCCCTTGATAGGTTTGCCCTAGGGTCAGTTAAGTTGGAAATGACTTGAAGGAACTCAATAACAACAAAAATTGTAGTTATCATGCTTTACTGTTTTACCTCAACAAACTGCAGCAACTTTTCAGTTGCCACTTCAAATGTTTTTTTGGTTGCTTCAGATTTTCTCAGCTGACAGTCAAGCACAGTAATCCTCTTCCTTAAATCTTGGATGCCATCCTAGAAATAAATAAATTCAGTGAGGCGATCAAACCAGAAGTATGGGAAAAGAAATATCAAAAGCATACTGTTACCACTACAAAAGGCGTGTGTAACATTTCTTTGTGGAGGTTATGTTTCTGCATACACCTTCAATAAACATCATCATCATCCCTCAAATTGTTTTTCAACTCTTCTTACAGGGATGGAGATCAAACTCATCTTTTTTTTTAACCCTCTCTTGGTCAATTTCTAGGATACTTTCAGTTGGAAAAAGACCTTTGTCTAGATCTATAATGGTGGCGGTAAGGCGAAAGTGACACAATCAAATAAAATCCCCATTTCTCCCCCCCCCGGGGGGGGGACTAGGAAATGTGGTTCTTGTACTAGGAAATGTGGTTCTGGATTTCTTGTACCAGGATCTGTTCCTAGATCCAACTACCATGCAGAGAGGAAGGACACAAAGAAGCCCTACATATTGTTGTGACATCAGAACACATGCATGGGTTTCTCTGACGTTTACTCATGTGAACATGTTGTACAATCCATATAAGTGTAGGTGCAGCTATCAAACAGCCATATAGGGTAGTGGTGAGGAAGACTGCTGCACTTTGAAGGAGATTGAAGCAAGTGACAGTTTTAAAAGAGGGAAAATGAGCATATTGGAAGAGAGAGGGCTGTGTGTATCACCCAACCTACTCTGTGCCCTTGAACTAGCTTATTGACATCAGGTATGGTGAAGGGTGTCAAAAGAGTCAAGAGCCAGCCCACTCAACTTCTGAAGTGGAATTAGTGGTGCAGAGAGGATTGATTTTTTCTGGTTTAAGCAGCTAAATCTCTTTGGATGGCCTGTGGTGGGAGGTACTTTTGCCCCTTTTTAGTAACACTGTTCCCGAGAGAACATTACTTCATTACATCCAAAGTAATTGGCAGGGGCCATTGCTGTAGGCTAGCGACCACTGCTGTAGACGATATGTCTCTTACCAGATCCCAGAGGGCCTTCTGCACCCTTTTAGGGACATAGGGAGGAAAATGTGGTACGTTCTCAACTTGTGATTTTAGGCCCAGCAGGGAAGATGTCTTGAAACAAAGTGTGATGAGAAACACGTCTGAGTTTGGAAGACTTAAAACAGTTTCGGGGGGCGCGGGGGAGGGGGGGGCGCAGCGGCAACACAACTGTACCACATCCCTAATAAGGCCCTATTTGGTACAAATTAAAAAATAGGCATTACAAGGCTAGGCTAATCAGTGGGGTAAAACACTTTGCATACATGTATAATGTTGTGACATTGGAAGAAGAATTATTATCTTGGGCCACATATAAAATGCACTAACACTAATGGTAGCTGATGAGAAAAAATATCCACCATCACGAGAAGTCTTCACATAATAATCCTAATTATGTACTGCTCTATTCTGAAGAGACTTTTAAAACTTGTTGAGTAGATCTTCTGGCTGAGCTGTTTGTATTAGAAACAGCTGTTTGCTGTTTCTAATACAAATTACAAATACGATATTTATAGGCGTTAACATGCTCTGATTATTATATTCTGTTGTTGTTGACAAATTTAACATTCAAGAATCGAGCAATCAAGTTGCAAAAAACCATAATGTTTTAAGTAAGTTTAAGATTTTGCGTTGAGCCACATTCATAGACGTCCTGAGCTGCATGCTGTCCAGAGGCCACAGGTTGGATAAGCCTTGCTCTGGCTACTGGGGATTTTTTCTGGGTTTTGGAAAACAGACATTGTGGAGGTAAAGGTATGGAGAGGAGAATGCTATATATCACAGACTGTGAATAACATATAATCCTCCCCAATATTATATGTCACTGCAGTCACATTTCCACTTTATATAACCATAGCAAAATTATTAACAAGTACAAGTCCATTCTCTGAAACATGCCAAGAATTTATCAATGAATTCATTCTCTACCTATTCTCCCAACTAGAAAGAAAAGAAGAAAAAATTGCAATCAAAATTGTTGTGATTTGAGAAAGTCTCCACAATACCAGAATCATTAAAGGTGACTCATTCCCTCACTATTCAAGCTAATTTTATTCAGGGAGGTTCTTTTTAAGAGTTGCAAAGCTGGAAATGTTGAATGAAATATCTTAGTATTTACGCAATCAGCTCCGTCACTCCTTCTGGCCCAAACTATCAGAGGTAAATTAACAAAATGCATGTTGTATGTTGGGAGTACTTGGATTGTACATGAAGTAGTACCTGTAAACATAGCAATGCCCAAGACATTTTGCTTCTTGGTGTGAAGCAGTGAGAAGCTCCCTTGCCCCAACTTATCAAGGACAAGTTGCATTCTGTCCAAAACTAGGCAAGTTATTTGGCAACATGTGGAAGAAAATCCCACCAGCACCTTTCTCTCCATCAATGGTAGTAGAAAAGTCAACTATTTGCTACTATTTTATGATGCTGCCTGAGGCAGCCATTTCATCCTGCTTAATGGCAAGGTTAGCCTCACATCAGTATTAAGCGAGACTCTTCATATCCTCCAACTGTCTCAATTTGGTAGGGACAATCCTGATTAATTCTCTGCCATTACACTTTTTTCAACTACTTTTAAAATGTCTTCATTTTTCTATCCTTCTCCCATTTCTCTCATTTGGCATCAGTTTGTTGCAAAGGGTAAAAGTAGTTTTCACCCAATTAATACTATAGAGGAACTGGAGCCTTGCCATTTAATTCAAAGCAAACTGCTGGAGCTGTCCTACAAGACCTCATCACACTGGAGAATGAATCCACTTTAAATCCAGTTGCTGCCTCCTGCAGAATTTTGGGGCTTATAATTTAGGAAGGAGCCCTTAACAGGAGGCAGAAGCCAGATTTAAAGTGGATTCATTCCCTAGTGCAGTGGTTCTCAACCTGTGGGTCCCCAGATGTTTTGGCCTACAACTCCTAGAAACCCTAGCCACTTGACCCGCTGTTAGGATTTCTGGGAGTTGAAGGCCAAAACATCTGGGGACCCACAGATTGAGAACCACTGCTCTAGTGTGATGTGTATCTGAGTAACTTTAGTAGCTTTTTCCATTTTGACTATGTTCTAAGACTGTTTTGTCATATGTCCCCCAGGTCCATCTGTGAAATGTTGAAAGGTACCTATTGCCATGAATTCTTGCCTTCCCCTCTTCCTTTACTCATACGCAGCTTCTCATAGTTGCACATTAACAATGGACTGTGTTTGTTTTTCCTTATAAATATAAATATAAATATAATAATAATAATAAAACTTTATTTATATACCGCTCTAGCTCCCTGAAGGGAATCAGGGCAGTTTCCAAGCAACAACATCAAAACATACAGAATCACAACATAAACAAAAAATAACAGTAACAGCAACATAAGCATGATATTACCCAAATGCCTATGATCACCCACTCATTTCTACAGGAAAAAGTAAAGTTATCTATGATAAGGCTCCATGTTCAGGTGGAGGTTGTATTTGTCAGTTGACACAAATGGGGGTCAGCAGAACCTGCGATTCTGATTGGTATAACTTACTCGATGTTGGTGCCACAGAAGTGAATGGTACCTACTGGTTTCTATGACTGTAAGTAATCACTCACAAGGATGGAAATTTTTCTAGAAAGATGAATTAAAATCACAAATATGGTGAGGTTAGTCTAAAGCGTTTTTTTAAAAAAGCTTAGGGCCTTTTTACACAATGTAACTATAGTTCTATGTTTTCATTTTTGTGTAGCCAAAAAGGGCATGGTGACAATGAACAACTCTACACAAAAGGAATGAACCAAAAGGCATTTACCAGTATTTATGTTTAAGAGGTTCAAGACAGGATAAAGATGGGGACAGTCTTGTATGAGTGGTAGTAACTGTGAATTTCTGAACTGAGAAGATGGGGGCAAAAACCTCAACCTTTACTCCAAAGTCAGGTTTTCAAGATGTGGAAGCAAAAGAGTGCCATAGCAGGTTTAATGTGTACATATGAAGATGGAAAGCAACATCACCCATGGCAACTGCTTTTATATGTTTTGAATGGCCTCATCTAACAATAACAATAACAATAATAAAATGCCATAGCGGAAGCTACTTATTTTAATAGACAGGAAGAATTTAGAAAGTTCTATTGTTCAATCTGTTTTGGAAAAAAAACCTGACAACCAGGAACTATAGAGGCACCCACAATCTGCCATTTTCTTTGGCATACCTAGTGCCACTCACATTGTCAGGTTGATTTTAAAGCTTCCTTTCCTCAAAAGAGAAATTATAAGCTCCCTTAGGAACAGGTTTCTATAAGCAGACAGCCTGCTACTATTTTTTGCAGCATAATTTTTCTTTTTTTAATACTTTAACAGAAGACAAATGAGGAGCACGGCTCCTTCCCATGCCCATTGCCTTAAAAGACAAAAAGGCTTATGTCGTTTTATACAAACTGATGGTTGAATAAAATGATCTCTAGTGAGGGTAATTAAATATTTTACTGTTTTATTGCTTTATTGAGGAGCGCTTTAAGTGGGTACGATTAGCCTGGAGAAAGTGAAGAGCTGACATGATTGCCATGACTAAATACTTGAATGGATGCTGAAAGCTTGTTTTCTGCTGCTCTAGACACAAGGATATGGAAAAATAGAGTCCACTTGAATATTAGGAAGAACTTTCTGATGATAAGAGCTGTTTGACAGTGGAATAGGCCACTCCAAGGCAACCTTTTTAAACAGAGGCTAGATGAAAATAATTTCATTTATTCCTGCATTGCAGAAATAAATTGGGTTGGATTGGATGGGCCTTGTGGTCTCTTCCAACTCCTATTATTTATTTATTTACTTCACTTGTATACCATTTTTCTAACCCGGAAGGGGGGGGGGGCAGGCTCAAAGCAGTTTCCAACATATATATGGCAAAATTCAATGCTTCACATACATAAAAACCTAACATAAAATGATAATAACATAAACTATCAATTAATTAATAAAAATGCAACAACATTTAAACATTAAAACATGAAGTTAAAAACATATTAATATAAACATTAAAATCACATAATCCAACAATCATACTCCAGAGCCGTTCCAAATATCAGTATCTATTGCATCATTCTTCGTGATGCTTACTGCGTAAAAGCATGGTCCTATAGCCAAGTTTTTTTTTCTGAAGGCCAGGAGAGAGGGCATTGATCTAATTTTGCTGGGGAGGGATTTCCACAGCCGAGGAGCCACCACTGAGAAGGCCTTGTCTCTCATCCCCACCATTCGCACCCACGAGGGAGGTGGGACTGAAAGCAGGGTCTCCCCAGACAATCTTAATCTCTGAGATGGTTCATAGAGGGAGATACATTTGGACAGGTAAGCTGAGCTGGAACCAGATCTTATTTATGATTTCATTTCACTGTATATTTTCCTTTTTACTATTGTAATATTTAACACTGTAAACAGGTTTTTAGATCCTTAAGCATGTTGTTGGGTAGTATAGCAAATATCTATTACAACTTGGACAAACTTACTGGGCAGGGGGTGGAGGGAAGAACACAAAAATACCTGGAAGCCATAAAAATGAACCTTATGTCACAATTTTATGTAACTTTGTCTAGAGCTGGAAGGTCCCTCTGAGTTCAGTGGGGCTCATTTAAATCTTAGCCTTTTGACACTAGAGTCTTTATTTCTTACTTTTTGGAAAACTATCTAAAACCACACAATTACTGTTTTTAATAAAGCATATTAGTTTAATAAAAAGAACATATTATGTGTTCCATAACATTCACGCTTGAGTTGTGCCACATTGACCAATGACCCAAACTAAGTCACGCTGTGTGTTTGCCCAAGAAAGTGGTCTCTGAGGCAAAGAAAGTTCATAGCCTGCATGTTGCCTCTAGCTCCCCCCCCCCAGCCTTCATCTTCAGAACAAATTATTCTGCCTATTGAATAATACAAAACAAACAGTGACCTACTTTAGAAGAACAAATGAAAGAAAAATGAAAAACAGGATACATGACAACAGTGAGGAAACCATGGCAACCCTAGAAGAGATGACAGAGGTGCTTACTTTATTTTGGCCACAAGGTTCGGCAAACTGAATCTTCATCTCGGAGATCTCTCCTTCGAGCAGACGGATGACTTCTTCATAGTCCATTTCCATCCCGTGAGCTTGCTTTTGTGCTGCTTCTGCAAGATGGATTCTGCTTCGCAAGGTTCTCGTCTCTTCCACAGATGCCTTGGCTTCCTACAGAAAAGCAAATTCTGTTTTTAAATGTAGTGCCCAACAGGACCATATGTGCTGCCCCACAAAACCTAATTTTTGTTCAAAAATGTTAATTTGGTTTCTGAATGTGCAGCACACAAAAGTAGTGCTTTATCATTTAGAAACAGCCATAGAAGGAGGCTACTTTGTGGTTTTTGCTGCTTTTACGATTGCTTACTCCAGAATGATCGTGAGGAGAAACACTGAAAATATTTTGTGTAGCTTTGGGGTCACTGTCTCCAATCAAAATGACAAGAGATACATGAGAACCCCGAGAAATCTGTGGCGCACCCATACTTGGCCCCAAGCTACAACCTAGATTCAATATAAAAAGATTTTATACTGCTAAACCCATCTATCATTCAGTATTTTTTTCTAAATATTTTTATTGATTTTTTTTCATAAATGAATAAAATAAGTATTTAAATAAGGGAAAAAGTGATATAGAATAGGATGGTGTGGGGCAAGAGGGAGAAAGAAAAAATAAAAATAAAATAAAAAGGAAGGAAGGAAGAGGGAACAGGGGAAAATTAATCTTCCATTCTTCATCTTTGTGTTGTATATTGTTTTCGTTTTTAACCAGTCTTTCATATCCTGTCCCCTCTTCATCTTTCTATTTTCAGGACCAATCTTTTGTTGAGTTCTTAATTCTGTTTGGGTAAATTATCTCTAAAGGAGCTGGGGGTGGTGACAGCTGACGGAGCTCTGGCGTGGTCACAAAGAGTCAGAAATGACTGAACAAATAAACAAATTGTCTCTTTCTTCCTTTCTTTCCACATATTCCTTGAAGAGTTGCCAGTCGGTGGGTATTATTGGTTTCATTAAGAATATCAATTTGTCCATGTCCATGATTTCCATCACTTTATCTAACCAATGTTCTGTTCTTGGGATTTCATCTGTTTTCCAAAGTCTCACATGGACCATTCTTGCTGCCGTAGTTAGATATATGAACAAAATATCTTTATTTTTGTCCATTTGTATTTCTGTGTCGGTCATGCTCAGTAAGAAGTATTCTGGCTTCATTTGTATTTTTGTCTTTAGTATCTTTTGACAGGCCTCCTGTATTTTTTCCCCAATAGTTTGTGGCTTTTTTGCATTGCTCACTTTAAGATGTCTACATTTATACAAAAACAAATACGTAAACAAAAGGAATAAGAATGTGACTTAGAAAAGGGGGAGAGAAGAGCAAGGAATGAAACTTTATCTGTTAGGAGCCCAAAGTAAAACCATGAATAAGTAGAAGAGCTGAGTGCATATATTCCAAATTTTAACTTGTCCTGTTTGATCAAAATAAAATACTGAATGATATTGAGATCAGCACTCTTAAAGACACGAGAAAAATACAAAGAAAAAAATTATTCAAAAACCCCATTAGAAGTAAATCAAAGAAGACTAATGGGTTTGTCAAAGTGGCCTACACAGTGCACTGCTCGCATTCTCAAAGCAGTTGCAAATTGCACTTTTCTCTCATCCTTTTACAGTATTTCTTTTTAATTTTGTTAAGGGTGTATACATTTTGGGGCAGAAATGGTTAAAATCCAGAATTATGAATGGTTAAGGATTTATAAATTTGGGAGATATTCTGTAAATACTAGGGGTGTGCAATTCGGTTAAACCCTGTTAAACCCTATTCTGTTTTCGCTATCTGGATTTCAGTGGACTCTCAGATCCCATTTCGGGACTCTCCCAAATTCTTTTTTTTTGATCTGGCAACCAGAAGATTCACAAAGATTTGGCCCATTGGCAGCAATGGAGAATTTACGAGGCTCCCCTTTGCCCTTGAACCTCTTCACAAGCACTTCTGTGGTGCCCACCATACACCCCGTACCATCCAGGCTTCCCTCTCATCACACGGAGGGAAGCCTAAGACTCAGTAAGCTGGCTAGGTTCAGGCTTCTCTCTCTCTGGCATGTCCAGAGTGCCTCATCATACTCCATTTGAAAGAATACCCCCCATTTCTGTGTTGCCTTAAACATGGAGTTTAGAAGCCAAGCCAGAAAGTTGGGAATACAAACTGAAGTCAAAGTGCATAAATCCGTTCTCACAGTCCAGAAATTGGAGCCAGGAATTCAGGAATACAAAGAATCTGAAGCAAAATTACAAAAACAAAAAACAAACAAACAAAAAACAACAAAAACAACAAAAACAAACAAAAAACAAATCAAAACAAAACAAAAAACCAAGGTTGGAGTCCAGAAATCCAACCAAGGGGCAGCAGAGCCAAAGTCCAGGACAAGGATACAAAGCCCTCTGCTACCACCAGGGCTACTCCACAGAGGCTTCTTTATTTAGAGATTCTCAGCTAAAGCTCATCTCCAGCTTCCACCTCTAATCACTGGAGTCTGTGACCCTCTTCTTGTTCCAAAGGCGGTTTAATCCTTCCCAGTCTTGCTGAAAACACTAGGGAGAGTCCTCTTCTGCTGGAGGTTTGCTCCCAGCAGTGACCGAGCCAGACCAAATAGGCTACTTCTCATGACAGGAGTGCTCTCTGAAAAGTTACTGACAAGATTTGAATACCACACCATTCTAAAGTTGTTTTTAAACCCTTTCTGAGAGATAGTAAATCTAACACATACCTGCAGGTTTCTAAAAGAGACATTTGCAAGTGGGGACCATATCTAAGTGTCCAGTCTCATATATTTCAGATAGAGAAGCTCAACTCAGTTCCAAATCACTTCCCTTGAAAAGGACTGTAGCAGCAAATGAGGGGCAAGGCCATGTCCATGCCTGAAATCCTGAAGAGCCACTGCTAGGAAACCCAAACAATGCTTCATTGGATGGGCAAATACTTTGGTCTGCTATAAGACAGTACCTTATGATCTCTGCCCTGGAGTGTGGTGGAGGCTCCTTCTTTGGAGGCTTTTAAACAGAGGCGGGGGTGCTTCCAGTTCTATGATTCTATGATTTTGTGAATTAACATCAGTTCTAGGAAACAAATACACTGAAAGACTGCGGATCTTCTTAGTATAGCCAGCAGCTTGGGATTATACGTATGTTTTACATACTCTGATTAATAAAGTATAAAGAAGAAACATTCAACAGCATGTCATTAATCTCAGCACTGGTCTACAGGAAGATCTAAAATCTACTTTGATGCTAAGCATGGGACACCAATTGTATCTTGAAATGTCTTATCTTGAAAATCAGCTGCTTGAATTATAAATAGGATCTTGATCTCATGGCTAACTAAAAATGAGCATATAGATAAATTCCGGAGCCCAAAGTAACTATACCCAGTTGCCTAGGTATCTAACAAACCTCAACTTCAGCTATACACAGAAAGATAAAATGAATGTGTTCTCAACCCTTTTGTTCCTGAAGCAGCTTTGAAAATGAGGACACATTCTTCATGAGCACTCATTCTGATGTTTGGCCCATAGAAGTGAAAAGAGCATTCAGTAAGGGGGGACCTTGAAAACAAAACAAAAATGGCAAGGACATTGTGCTCTTGTTCACACATGGGAAATATTTTCAAATAAAGCACTCTATGCAAGATCTCAAAATGAATAAAATAAAGTTATTGGGCTCTACAGATCGAGTAAACTCTAAAGAAGGTTAGAATAACTTGAGGTATTCCAGTTGTTGTTGTTGAATGGCAGTCCTCTATCCATAACTGATGGGAACTGAAGTCCAGCTTGAGAGAGTGCAAGAGTTTGGTAATCTTTTCTATACAGTAATGAAACCAATTAAATGAAGGCACATACACATGTATTTTTTCCATTATCACAATCTGGAAACTCGTTTGACATGGAAAGATGACATTTTTAGTGTTTTTATCCCATAAAAGAAGAAAGAGTTGGTTGCTTCGCATTAAAATTTGCCCCCATCATCTGACTAAATTGTTGACTAAATAAATAAAAATGGCAAGGTTCATCTTGGGAAAGTAGAGCAGTAGGTGGGATTTCAAGACACTTCATTTTTCATTAGAAGTACAAAAGGCATGAGAGCCAGTGTGATAGAGCTGAGTGTTGGACTATGACTCTGAAGACTAGGGTCCAATTTCCTGCTTGGCTGTGAAGGCCTACTGGGTGACCTTGGCCACACATTCTCAATCCCAGAAAGACCTGTGAAAGGTTCCAGTTAGGTTTGAAGATACAAAGCAACAACACAAGAACAACGCATACCACCTTTTCAAAGATGTCTGGCAGACCAGACCAGGTAGGGAAAGAGAATTTTAGCTAGTAAGTGATAGTTCCTAAGCCCTCTAATGAGCTTTAACTCCTCTCCCCCATTGACAACTCCAAAAATCAACATTTTTCACCCTTATTGTTGATGTACTACAAATCCAGGTTCTGTTTTATTAATTTCAAACTATCTGCTTCTTCCTAACAGCTATCAGAGCACCAGTAGCAGTAGCTATTATGAGAAGCCCTTCAGTGATGGAGGAATCTCCCTCTGTGAACCTCTCTCTTTCTTTACAGAGAAAGGAAGAAGGAGAAAAAGAGAGAGGGATGGAGATCCACACTATTTTATGGCAGGGTATGTCAAGTTTCTTATTCACATGTAGCTATCTGAACTTTGAGTAAGGCAATGTAGACCACTATTGCTCACCCAAACTGTACACTCTCAAACATTTTTCTGTAACTCTAGCTCCATTTGTAAACAGCAAAACCTACTCCTTTGCCACAAAATGACCCCTAAAAGACAACTAGCCCTGATGCTAAATTACTCAAAATGATAGCCATGATTGCTTATTTCCTCCTGGAGTGGTCAAACATGAGTTGTCCCATGATCCCAGGGACGACTCCCCTTACCTGCTGGACTGTGGTCTAAATGATAGACTGGCAAACACTTTAAGATTGTAAAAACATTAATAAAATTTTATCCCCAATTTAGCTTACAATTCTTTCGCAATAAAGCAATAATTTATATTATCATGAATAGCTGAGCTACGCAGACAAGTGAAAGAACAAGGGAGAGACTGTGGAAGATATGTTTTGCAGCAGCAGAAGGAGAAGGAGGAGGAGGAGAGGAGGAGGGAGGAGGAAGAAGATAGATAGATAGATAGATAGATAGATAGATAGATAGATAGATAGATAGATAGATCAATCTTGGTTCAATCTCTGATGTCACCAAGACAGGCTGGGAAATAATTCTGCCTGCAATCCTGGAAACCATTACTATCCAGGGCAGCTTTCAATGTTTCTCATATAAAAAGGGCAAAGAAAAAAAAAAGAGCGAAATGAAATGATTCTGTGTCACTGTTTACATATCAAAATCCTCCTCCTCCACATATAATCTTCTTGTGCAACTGCTAAATTATTCTGCTTAAACCTTCAGACAATGCATTATTGAGAGTGCTTCCTTGAGCAAGAGACATGTTCTTTTAATGACACTATAAACATGGCTTAAAATGTGACCTGTATTATCCATATGTTTCCTTATATACTTTTCCGGCAGAATTCAATTACACTTATTTACTTGGGCGGAAGAGTAAAAAATTGCACCTAAAAACCATGCTCATAAAAACTGCTTGTTGCTCAATTAAAAACAAACACCCAGCTTTCCTATAGTGTGTTTCTTTGAAGGTGTCTTTTTTACACCTGCCCAAAGAAGTGGAAGCCTTTCCAGATAAAATGGACATTGCAGCAAAGCTTCTCTTTCTTAAACCTACCAGCAGCTACTCTGGTTTGACCTATGGCAACCAAATGAAGGAGATACCCCCAAGTCACCCTGCTCATCAACAACCCTGTTCAGGTCTTGCCGATTCAGAGCAGCTATGGCTTCCTCTACTGAATCTATCCATCTGGAATGTGCTCTTCCTCTTTTCCTACTGCCGTCTAGATTGCCAAGCATGATTCTCTTCTAGTGAATTATGTCTTCTCTGGATGTGGCCAAGATATGTCAGTCTCAATTTAGTATTCTTGGCTTCAGTCTTGAATTGCTCTATGGCCTACTTGTCTTTTTAGCAGTCTATTTGTAGAGCTGAGCAAAGGAAGATAGATGCTTTTGAACTGTGGTGTTGGAGGAAAGTTCTGAGAGTGCCTTGGACCGCAAGAAGATCCAACCAATCCATACTTCAGGAAATAAAGCCTGACTGCTCATTGGAGGGAAGGATAGTAGAGGCCAAGATGAAGTATTTTGGCCACATAATGAGAAGACAGGAAAGCTTGGGGAAGGCAATTATACTGGGGAAAATGGAAGGAAAAAGGAAGAGGGCCGACCAAAGGCAAGATGGATGGATGGATGGTATCCTTGAAGTGACTGGCTTGACCTTGAAGGAGCTGGGGGTGGTGACGGCGACAGGGAGCTCTGTCCATGGTCCATGAGGTCCAGCCCACAACAACAAACAATTTGTAGAACTCTTCACAAGCTGGATGCCCCATCTGTTTCAAAACTACTGGCTCTGTGTTGTTTCTCAACATCCACCTGCACAGAATCGCAAATCTGCCTTTTCCTCTGTAGCAGGAAGGCTGGTGACTCCCACTGTGATTTCAAGTGCTCCTACCTTCTTTCCCTCTATCTATACAATTTGAGTGTGTTTTTTCTAAGGGAGAGTTCCCTTCCGTAGCTCCAGTACAGCAATCGGCTTCTGTGTCCCTCTTATCTGGTGGCAGATCTCTCTCAGCATCCCAGTCCTCACTGAGACAACAAGGTTATGCCTTGTCCTTAAATACTGGTGTAAATTTACACACCTTAGGAATCAACATGTGTGTGTGTGTGTGCAGTTTTGCTCATGATAATTTACTGATTTCTGCCTTAAATACTGCTTTCCAGTAAGGAAAAAACATGCAAAATAGTAATGCAGAAACAATAGCAACAGCAGCAGTTCAACAGATCAGAAGCTTCCAGTGCCAGCAGTAGAGTGATTGAACTTCAGAAAGAGTCAAACTGTATAAAGGTATAAAACACTATATTCAAAGAACTAAATATGCAGTTAACAGAGTCTAGCTATCTAACCAACTCACGGCAGACAAGGTATCGTGTCTTTCCATGTACATAGAAGACCAGATGGAGAACAAAATGGAGGGCTTAGGAGCTTGACATGTGCTCAGAAAAAGAGGTATGTCCCTGAAAAGTATCAATCTAACAAGAAAGGTGATAGGATGATAGAAAGGAAGACAGGTAGAAAAAGAAGCCAATGGGAGAAGGGTTTTCCATGGAAACAAATTCATCTGCCTATCAAAGTTATTGATGAGGACTACAAGCTTGTGCAGGATCTGGTTGAGTTCCAACACTTTTTGGATTTTGTCAGTAAAAAAAGTGAGAGGCCTGTATCATATTCTACTAGAATTGCAACTGACATGGCACTTTCATTAAAAAAAAAGCCTCTACTGGAAAAAAAAACACCAACACTGTAATGTTGGAAGAGCAGTACATATTTTATTATGGCTAGCATATTACATACACACCAGTCGCCTGGGTCTGAACGCCCCCCCCCCCCTTTGTTGGCATGTTCATCTCACACATGCCCCTATCTATGTTTCATATAATCCAGTTTAATAAAGTGAATTTACATTTTGAAACTGCATTATATGGTAGTGTAGATCTAGGCTCAGGTAACTGGTAACTGGGGCACAGCCTTAAGAGCTGTTAACTATTCATACAGACAAACCTTTTATTTTCTCCACCCTGAGATGCCCAAGGCAAAGTTCCTCTGTACAAATTGCTGTTTCTGAAAGCTCTTTCTTATGCCTCTAGCCTCCAATTAACATTTTCAGATGGTATAAATTATAATATCTTTTCTATTTACTAAAAAGGAACAAAAGGTTATGGTGGGGCAGATGTAATGGTCCGTGTCTTTTAATGAGCTAGCTTAAAAAAGTCTCTATTAAACACAGTCCCACTTGCATTTTCTATTCATAGTAAAGGTAAAGGTTTCTCCTCTACATTAAGTCCGACTCTGGGGGGTGGTGCTCATCTCCATTTCTAAGGTGAAGAGCTGGCATTGTCCGTAGACACCTCTGAGGTCATGTGGCTGGCATGACTGCATGAAGAACTGTTACCTTCCCGCCAAAGCAGTACCTATTGATCTACTCCCATTTGCATGTTTTCCAATTGTTGGGTTGGCAGAAGCTGGGGCTAGCAACAGGAGCTCACCCAATCCTGTGGATTCAAACCGCTGACCTTCTGGTCAGCAAGTTCAGCAGCTTAGCGATTTAACCTGCTGTTGCACTGCAGCCCCTTTTGTAGTCATACAATTGTGTTTTTTAATTGTTTAATATATAGCAGACATCCTACAATATTATGCCACTGATTTTTTTGGATATTTTTCAAGGACAGGGTCTGGTCATGGCAGGCTAAGTTATTAGTTAGTTTCATGTTCCATGAGTCACTTCAGATCATCACAATGCTGAACTTTCAACTACAGTGAAAATACTTTTTTAAAAAAGCTACCTTGGTAAAAGGTTAAAGCAAATGGAAGTTGAAATGCAGTTGCTGTAGCGCCAAAAATGACCAGCTAAACATTTGCTATTGAAGTTAAAGAACAAACTACTACTTGTTCTAAGTACTGGTTTACTAGTACTATTATGTTTATGTTACCAGTTCTGAACAAATCTTGCCAAGAAAGGTCTGTGATTGGTTCAACCTATGGTATAGGAATAATTATGTCAAAACCTATGTCAAGGAGGTATCCTAAGGGTGAACAAAAATCCAATGAGAAGGTATCAAAAGGAAGGAAGATCTCTTATTTATTTATTTTTAAAGGTACAGGAAAAAGATCCCCCCCCCCTTACTGGAAAAAAGGACTTTTAACAACATTATCGTAATGCATACTTGAGACATTCCACATACTTGTTTGGTAGTTTGCAGCTCATCGGCCAGTTGCTTTCTTATACGATCTGACTCTGCCAATTCTTCCTACAAGTACAGAGAGTCAAAAGTTAATTAAGCAGTCAATTCCAAGGCTCCTTTTTGCCTTTGATTCACTCTCAGTTTGTTTCAAGGAAAACTGATTGGCATTCTCAACTGTTGCTAGAGAAGCTGTGAGTGAATGATTTAAGTTGCTAAGAAAAGGAGGATTCTATTATACAGTTTATTCTGTTTTCTTTTTAAAAAATAAAGAACAACATCTTATTATCTTTTCCACTTCCAGAAATTGGACAGACTACCTTTATCCATTTATAGATCTGTAGTCTTGCAGGATCTCACATAATTTTCAGGATCTCTTTTTTCATATTTCCTTATATTTGATATTGTAACCGTTATTGGGCCATTATATTTGGTTTCTGTTTGGCTGTGTGATTTGCTTCATACTCCAAGGATGACAAAAAAAAAAAAAAAAACAAGCACAGAGGATAAAGCATTCAGACCAGTCATAAGAAATGAAGTCAAAGAATATATAACTGAAATACAGCAGTGCTATTATGTTCAAAGAATTCTCTTCCACACTTGAGGAAGAACATATTTAAAATGATGCTGATGCCCCAACAGCTAAAGAGGACTCATCTGAAAATGGAAACCATATGTTTTGAATGTGTGCACTTCCCATAAATAAGGTCAGCATGGTAATATTCCAGTGGAAACTCTTCATATCTGCATAATGCATAATATGTGCAATGCATAGTAGGGAAGCAAGAAGTAATTTTAGCAATTTACTTCTCACTGTGAGAAAATATCAGAAAACAGTGCAGTTTTCAAATAGTATTCACCTGTCCTGCCTAGCAAGTGCTTTTTCCTGCATGGAGTAAGGGCCCTTCTACATTGTCCTATATCCCAGGATCTGACCCCAGATTATCTGCTTTAAACTGGATTATATGAATCTCCATTGCAAAATAATCTGGGGTAAACAGATAATCTGGGATCAGATCCTGGGATACAGGAGAATGAGGAATGAGACTAAGAGGTGTATTTTGCACAGAGTATGTCCTGAACTATTATAATTCTTGTCAATCAAGATTTCCCCATATTTGAAAAAACAAATGACCACTTTCTAAATTTTTGAATTCTTAATACATAGAGAGGAATTATCTCTGCCTTGAACATTTTTATCATGTTGTGGTAAAAAGATACATATTTACATACACAAAGAATATGAAAGAAAACTGAATTTGCTTGTACTTCACATAGATAATTTATTGTTAATGCACCGTATATGGTATTTGAATATGCCTCCTTGCATTATAATATTAGAATCCAATGGCCCTTTTGAAACCACTGGTATGTCTTTCAGTGTTCTGCTCACTGCTGCCAGTAAGAATCCACCTTCTCATAAAGGGTATTTTGTATAAAATCTGGCTCAGTGCATGGAAACTTTCATTTTGGATGTGGTGATACTGTGGTCACAGGAATACAATAGCAGGAAGGAAGGAAATGAAGTTCATCTTCATTTGAAGAAAGAGACAAATCTGTGCATCAGTTAACATCAACATGTTATTATCATCTGGCAGCTTGTCTGTGGAATAAATGAAAGGAAGTGGTAGCTTCATTCACTATCCACTCCACTCTTTCTGGTGCCCATTAATAGCTTGTTATGGTCTCCTTGATAAAGAGAGTGACCTATTCTCCCAATTCTACTGTAAGCATAGGGAGGGAAAGACAAGAGTTTGCTACAAAAGGATTCTAGCCTTCAAATCATTGAAACAGAGTAAAGTCATTGCCAAATCGTGTGGATTTAATCTATGTCAGATTGTGCAAATTCTGACCTTTGAACATGCTTAAAATTATAAAAAATTTCCAGAAGATGCTATCTATTTAAGTTTGCCAAAGCTAGAAAAAGGACTCTTTTTGGTAGTGAATTCCACTTTCAATACAATGAATAGATATATCAGCATTGATCCAGCTACTCCCACATACCCTATTAACTGTCTCATTTTGGCAGGGAAAGTTCAATGAATCTTCTATCGTTCAATTGCTTTTAAAATATCTTGGGGTTTTCCCTTCTCCCACTTTCCTGTTTGGAAATCACTGTCTTAAACAATTATCAATTTATGCTCCAGGTTTTCCTGTAATGACCATGATAAGTGGATCAGTTAGAAGAGATGTTTTCAGTAGAAGTTAATTTATCAGAGCAATGTGTTCCATTTCCTGGGCAAATAGCCAGTATTCACTGCTTCTGCTTTTCCTTTCTGAATGGAAAGATGTGTTACAGTGAAGACTTTTCTTTAAAGTGGCTGACACGGTGAGATGACAAAAGATTCATTGGACAGTCCCTCTTAAAGTAGGGCAGTTGGAAGATATGTAGGAGCAGCTGCCTCAATGTACCTGTTCACTATACATACAGTGGAAAAAATGGAATTCATTACAAAAGAAGGGCTATGGGCAGAGAGGTTGCAAATCTTTTGCTGTGCTATTGAGTTAAATATGGTTGAAACAGCCCCAGTATTCTACTTGCACTGGCTGATTGAAAGATAATGACAGAGACTTGGAAGGACTAATCTGCATGTTATAACAAAAGAAAGGGCAATATACACTTCAGCTAGGTCCACATCTAAAGCAATGTCTACATTGGTTCAGCATCTTTCTTAGACTTCTAAACAGGAATAAGAAGAGGCGGGAAAGAGAAGCAAAACACAGAATGAAGCAAAGCTGTTACAGCATGAGAAGTCAGGTTTTATTTGCTCAACCCATGTTGAAAGACTGTTTCCCAAGGGCAACTTGGAACCTCTTCACCCCCCCCCCATGTGAAAATAGCCCCATTTTGCCTGCTTGAAAGGGGCCTGCCGAGCGCCATCAGACGACATACGGCAGGCCCCACCCACATTCCTCCTGAAGTGGAGAGGAAGCAATAATAATAATAATAATAATAATCTTTATTTATACCCCACCACCATCTCCCCAGTGGGGACTCGGAGTGGCTTACATGGGGCCATGTAAGCCGCTCCTACCATGGGGAGGAAAGTGTTTTTCGGGTAGCTCTAATAAAGCTACCTGCATTTTCCTCCCCTGTTCCCCATATGATGGGAGGAAAGGGTGGCAGGGCAATGTGCATTGCCATGTATTGCTGCCCTTTCTCCCATATGACCTATCAGGGACAGGGTGCAAATGTGTCCTGTCCCATCCCCACCATATTTTTTAATTATTTTATTGTGTATATAAGAAGTAGAACAATCAGAAAAGAAAAGTACAAAAGAATAAACAGGTTTAAAAAACAATATACAGCAAACACTCATTAATTATGTGAAAAAATCGATATTAATTGTACACTTATTGTGCCTTAACATATCCTTATCCCACTAACCCTGCACCCGTGAACCCAGTCCTTGTGACCTCCAATACTCCTCAATGTAGATCACATAACTAACCAGCAACTACCTATATGTCTTCTTTCACTAAATCCCCTTTGTGATAGTCATCAAATCTATCTTTGTCTTCTTTTCCAGATACCCAAGTGCCAGCCTCCATTTGTTTGCAAATTCTTCATTATTTCCTCCTTTGCTACTATTTATCAGCTTGGCCATTTGGATATAATTTAATAATTTAATTTTAATAATTTAATTTAATTTATCTTTAACAGTTAACTCTCCCCCCCTCCATGTTTTAGCTATTATTAGTCTTGCTGCAACAAAGCAATATTGACAAATTTTTTCATCTCCTGTGTGAATACACCTTCTAAATAGTTGTAATAAGCATATTTCCAGGTTTTTCTTGACCTTTCTGGTGATCATATTGTTTGTTTCTTTCATTACCTCCAGAATTCTTGAACAATATTACATATGGTGGCGGAATGAGGAAGGGCGCGTAGGGTGCCACAAGGCACCCCACACACCTTCCCTTTTGCTAGCGATTGCTGGCACAACAGCACGGCCCCCATAGGCCATGTGAAGAGCGGAGCAATTAAGATAAAGCATGGAATATGTGGTTCTCCAGATGCAGGTGGCCAAGGACGATAGTTGAAATCCCCACATCCTGAGGGTCACATATACTCCACCCCTGTGCTAGGTTTTTCTGAGGAAGATCTCCTGAAATGTGACAAATCAATAACATCCCTTCCATCGCCACATAACAAGAATGTCCTTTCTCAACCTGATGCCTTTGTGAAACTTGAAGAATAACTCACAGCACGTTTCACTATAAATTCTCTCTGTATTCCACCCAATCAGAGATGTATCCCTAAATCCACTGTGAAGAAACAATGAAAACTGAAGCAATGGAAGCCACAAATGAAAATCAAACCAACACTTCAGCTACAGTAGGAAGCAATGAAAATAACACTTGCCACCAGCAGCAAGGGCTTATTGGAGAAGTCTACAGAAGATTTTATCCTGGGGACTTAATCAGAAACGTTCTATTATTACTGAACAAATTAAGTATTACTGCAGGCAGTCACACAAGAGTAGTGATTATTCCATGAAGCTAGCAGAGAGCTACTGAAACATAAATTATGGAGTGGGAAACCTTCTGTCAGTAGAAAATTAAAGAATGTCTATAATAAGTAACAGCTTTCACAGCTTCACTTCCCCCTCCCAAAGCAGTTCTATAAGAATAGAAATCTGTATCTTACTTATTGCTAGGAAGCTCTTCCCCATGGGATTTATAAAAAAAAATGTTTTTACAGGTTGTAGCATTAAATGGAGTTTCCCACCTCCACAGCAGCCAAAGGTCAGGCCCTCATTTATTTTTATTTTTTTTAGTTTCAGTGTGGATGGTGGGAATAAAAGGGGATTGTGAAGAAATTTGGGAGCAATTTGGAAGCAACAAAAAATAACTGAGACAAGGAATACAATGTGGAGCTAAGTAATCAATTCAATTGATAGACAAACATTGGTTGGGGGGGGGCACCAAAATACTGTTTGCTTACCATTGAAAATTACCTAGGGTAGCCTCTGGGTACACCCCACATGAATGAAAACTGAACAGAGATGTTTAAAATTAGCAAAGAAAAATACTACCTTCAATTTACATATTTCTTTCAAAGCTTCATTTCGCTCTTTCCTAAGTTCTTCCATTTCATCATTTTCAAAAGGATCACAGGAGACAGACTGTATGCGTTGTAAAATGGGGGTGGAAGTGGGGGGGAGGGTTTGGGATGAGAAATACGAAACACATATGAATTTACAACAAACATAACTGGATCAATTTCCTCCATTATAATTGCATTTATTTAAACTTTCTCCATCCAAGTATTGTAAATATAGAGTCCAACATCTTACCACTGTGCAACTGAATCAATTAGTATGTACAGGAGCAATAGCCTATCTTCTGTTTATAATGATGTATATTTTATCAACATCTTAATCATTATCAAATGGCAAAAAATTATTAAAAGAAGTCCATATCATTTCCCCCTCCATTTTTAAATGGCAAACTAGCATATCACGCAGTCCTCAGCTGTAGTTTTAGGCGAACTTTTTGGCAAGTAAGTCCCATTCAAGTCACTGAGGTAACAGAGGGACTAAATATATACAGCCTGTTAGAGTTCTTGAAAAAAAAGTTATAAAATGTATGTAAATGTTTTAAAGTATAATCGCAATTATTTAAATAAGCTTCATCCGCATCTATAATAGTCATGAATACAAATACAAGGAAGGAACAATTTTTATTTACCTGTGAATCTAATAATCTGGCAATTTCATGGGCAGTAAATCCAGGGGGTCCTTGGGGCCCACCAGCTTCATCAAGCTGTATAGAAAACAGACTTCTTGCCACCTGAACAAAATCTGAAACAGAGGTTAAATTAGCCTAGATTTGCAGGGTCAGCTTCAAAGACATCAATTTTCAATTCTCACCCAACTACTTGCTGCTAGTTTAATATTTAACATTTCTTTCAAGTCTTCTAATTTCTCTCTTTTTAACATCATCTACTTGTGTAGTATTTATGACTGGCTATTGGTTCAAGGAAATGGAAGTTTTAAAAAAGTAACTTTTCAAAGCATTCATTATAAACTACCCGCTGACAATTATGCTGTGAGATCCATGAAAATGTGAAATGCCAGTGAAGTTCTGAAAAATGTAAATATGCCCCTTATTGTAATTTTTTTTATAAAAAATACACTTTCCTAAATGAAAAACCTGATAGTATAAGCTTGCACTCCCATGCTCTTTCCTCCCTGAAACACATGCAGATTCAGTTAGATTTGAGATGAAAATCTTCATACTCTATTGTAGCATTGTTGCTGTTGTGTGCCTTCAAGTCAGTTCTAACGTATGATGATCTTAAGGCAAATCAATCCTGGGGTTTTTGTTTGGAGCTGGTTTGCTTTCATCACCCTCTGAGAATGAGACAGGGTGATTTGGCAAAGTTGACCAATGGGTTTCCATGGCCAAATGGGGATTTGAATCAGAGTTTCTTGGGTCATAGTCCAAACCTGAAACCACTGCACCAGATTGCATGGCAGGATGAATAACTACAAAAGTATTTATCCTGTTGAAGACTGACATTTTGGTGAAATTTTCAACTGTTATTTAAAAAATCATTTTTGTGAAATTTCATTTGCACAAAATACAGTTTTCAGTGCAAAAACATTGAGGTGGTGAGCATTTTCAAAACATATTGCATATACGAACACATAGGGGCCACTGAAAGATTAAGTTTAAGTGGCATATTTTCAACCAGAGGCTTCTTGGGGACAAAATTAGCAATTTTGAAAAAAAGAACCGGGGGCTGGAGGGGGGGGGAGGTAAGAGGCTTGCAGGATACAGCCAATGTGACATACGTTGCCCATATGTGCTGTAAGGTAGGAAAATTGGACTGACTTATAAAACAACATGAAAGTACAAGACATCTGAATGATAATGATATTATTTATATAGAATCCAGAATTGACAAAAGAGCAGTACCTATACTGGCAAACCACAATGCAGAAAATACATCAGGAAAACCTTCCACACTTCGGTGGCTTCTTCATAAGAAAAAAGATGTCAACAATCATATAGATGGCCAAAAGTGATGATGGCAGAGTCACAGGCCAACATTTTGCAATGTATCTTGCCTGCTGAAGAAGCCAGTGAACTTCAAATATTTTCTGCATTTTCGTTGGGTCAATAAAGGTATCACTCTTTTGTGGATTTTGTATTTTGCTCTGTGGCCAACACACTACCCATGAATATTATACAGAGCTGCCCGTGTGAATATCACACACAACATCCTGTAAAAATTAAACCTTGTCCTTATCGTCACAGCAACCACCAAAGGTTTTTTAAATATATATATTATAGATCATTCTGTTAGATTATGCAAGAACTCTCCTTAAAAATTACCTCCAAAAGCTACTGTTCCCTCAGAATCTTTAGGAAGTTGCTGCCTTAGAACATCTTGCTGTTCTTCTGAAGGCTGAATCCCAAGATAATTCAGAGCCTAGAAAGAGGATTTGTTGAGAAAGAAAAGGAAAAGCTCACATATGGATTCAAGTCTTCTCTTTTAGGTTGATAGACATCACATCTTGTTTTAAAACTTTGCATCTGAAACACCTTTAATCATAGACCAGGAGTCCTCAATGGCGTAATGGGTTAAACCATTGTGCCGGTAGGACTGCTGACTGAAAGGTCAGCGGTTTGACTCCTTCTGTCAGCTCTAGCTCCCCATGCAGGAAAATAAGAGAAGTCTCCCACAGGATGGTAAAACATCCGGGAGTCCCCTGGGTAACATCCTTGCAGACAGCCAATTCTCTCACACCAGAAGTGACTTGCAGTTTCTCAAGTTGTTCCTGTCATAGAAAAAAAAATCCCATACCAGGGGAGGTTTTCATTTCTGACTGATCCTTTACTGCTTGCATGTAGAAAAGTGGCATATCAAGGGGAAAATATTTTCTATTGGTTTTCTTTACCATGGAGAAAGAGAAGAAATATGTGTCATGTGTTTTGCTGCTGATTTGGCAGGCAAGTTCAGCCCGACTACTAGTCAAAGTGAAGCAGTCATCTCAAGAGATAAATAATGGATGGCCTTAGTAGAGATGAGAGTAGATGAAAGAACGGTCTATTATTCTGGCTTGATTGATATCCCCAGGCTAGATTCCTTCATCATCAGATTGAACTAGTGGTCCAGTGCTATCTTGTTCTTTATCTTAGGTCCAAATATATTGGGCTAACTTGGTAAGGCACATGCAAGAGATGTCTGCTACATTAATCAGCTCTCTAACACATTACTAAGTAGGTAAATATTTGAAGATACTAATGTCACAGGATTCTTATGTGTGCAGCCTCTACCATGACCTGGGCCCTATAAAGTGAATCAGGTGGCACACACACTCAAATGTTGAATGGAAAACTCACAGAGATTTGGAGTACAGATCCTAGAAATGCTGGTGAGAAAGCTAGTAATAGGAGGGAAGAGAGCATCAGTAAGGAATGGCCCTGCTTCTTAGCTCCTCTCCAAATGCAGATAAGATGCACTTGCCCATCTTCTGTTTTCAAGCAATAAAACAGTTTATATTCCATCTTTGTAAATAATCTTTATAAATAATCGAATTGTAAGTTCATGCTTTACAAATTCTTGACAAAGTGTTCCAGAAAGTGTTCATGGTGGTCCACACATAAGATTAGAAGCCTTACAATTTAAGAAGAGAATATTTGTGAACGAAGAGTGACTGCTTCTATTTTTCTCCTCCTGCAACTGCTGATCACATCTTTCTGCTGTTTACAGTGGTGTACTTAGCACATTTGACAGCCTATGCCCTCCCCAACAAAATGATTTCAGTAATAATCATGGTATGAAACCAATAATCTATCTTCTATATACATAATAAAAGTGAAAATGTGTGTTTGAGTATATGTGGCGGAGGTGTCCACTTATACAGACAGCCTTCCAAATGCTGAGGAGCTTCCAAAGACACTCCCTCAACTGACATTGCGGGTTAGAGTGAGTGTCGTGAACATGTAGCCCAAATGCTGCCAATGTTCTCCCCAAACACCAACCACCCAAGGAATGCTTTCATTCGGGGACCATTTCATCCCAGATGTTCTGTTTTTTTCTTCAGAAAATGGACATCCCAGAGTTCCTTCCTTTCTCCAAAGGGTTCCTTTCTTCTCTCACTTAACCCTTTCCTACCCAATCCTATGGCACACAGCAAACAGAAATTAATAAGCAACTAAAGAAGACGTTTGGGTAGAATTCACCATGATTTAGAGGAGTTGTGGTTCACATACATCCCGAGAGCACTGTGAACTCAACCAACGATGGATCTGGACCATACTTGCCACGGATGATGGGATTTGCAATACCTTCACTCAGTTCCAGAGACCACTGCAACCCCCACGAATGATGGACCTGGCCCAAATTTGGCAATCAGATCCCCCATGACCCACTATACATCATGTTATGGTTTGAGGGAGGATGGACCACGGACAATAGGATATGCAGTACCTTCACTCAATTAGCCTCCCACAGCCCACTGCAACCACTATGAAGGATGGACCTAGACCAAACGTGGGCCCCCTTACTCCCCATGATCAAGAGTACATACTAGGGATGTTTGGGGGAAATTGACCTTCATGGGACTTATAATTCACCTGCATCCAGAGAAACTGTGACCTCCACCAACAATATGCTAGGACAAAACTTGGCACAGAGAAAAGCCCCATGACCAACTGAACATACTGCTGGGGTTTGGGGAACTGGACCTTAATGTTGGGATTTGTAGTTCACCTTTATCCTGAAAGCACTAAACCCAGCCAATGTTGGATCTGCACCAAGCTTGGAACACAGGCCCATGGTGGCCAACTGTGCATACAGACAGAGGTGGGAGTTTATGACCTCTGATCTGGAAGTTGTAGTTCACTCTTATCCAGAGACTACTGAATGCAGCTGATGTCAGATCTGGACCAAACCTAGCACAGAGACCCAATATGGCCAGCTTTAAATACTGGTGAGGTTTGGGGTGATTGGCCCACAATTTTGGGAATTGCAGTTCACCCACATCCTTAAGCATTTTCTAATGGGAGCATTCATAAAAAACGATGGGAAAGATTGGCTTTGCTCTAAGAAACAGAGCTACATAGTACCAAATTGATATTACCTAACACCCCAAAACAAACAGTGCCATTTTCAAATAACCTGGGCCAAAATAACATACGGGAGGGGTTTGGGGAGGAAATGACCCACTCACATGTGAGTTGTAGTTCACCCTGCATCCAGAGATATTATCAAATTTCCCAAAACAAACAATGACTTTCTCAATTAACTCGTACATTGCCAGGACCCCAAGTGAGTAACTAAATAAGGCACAGCATCTAAGGAAGTGATATCCAACCACAAAAGTTCATACGAAAATGAGCTTGTTTTTCTCCCCATCTCCTTTTTTCTTCTGCTGCAGGAGGCTAATAGGGCAATGTCTTTAAGACAATGTCCTTTAAAAAAGGATGCACCTTGACCTCCTCCCTTTTTTCTGCCTTACTCAAGCAAATTCCAGAGGAAGGGGTGGTGAAGAGAGGTTTGCCTTGGGGTAGGAACCAAGTGTCTCCTGGCCAGGGCGCATTCCTTACAACCAATCCCCTTTCCCCTTATTTGGTGGCTGTGTGAGAGGGGGAAGTAAGGCTCAACCATTGAATCCCCTTATTTTTCTACACTTGACGTGAAGCACCTGGCATAATTCGGGGAATCTTAGTTTACTGTGACACCAAAGTGTGGCTCTTATCTCAGTACAACATAAGAACACTTTTATCATTTTTGTTCTGCTGAAACTATCCTCCTTATTATGCTTAAATGGGTAGCCATGCCTAAAAATAACAATGGCATGCAGCGAAGCAAATATGATGCCCAATTGAGAGATTCTGAGCTTCAATCCAAACCCAGCTAACCTGTAGCATCTCCACTCAGTCTTGGTGGCTAGTGGTGAAAGGAAACGAGCAAATGTGCAGTGGCAGTAAAGGATAGATTATATTCCTTCTTAGCAGGTAGGGGCCACCTATTAAAGTATCATAGGTAGGAAGATAAAGTGTACTTGCAAACTGTACACAGAGCAAATTGCCATCAGTTTCCCAGCACCTGCACTTAAGTGAGGCATTTTAAAACAGAATATGTGATTTGAAGTACAACTATTTGGGCTGCATTAGTACTTGTCCTTCTAAACACACAAAAGGCAAAAAGGAGGGGTTGGGGAAAAAGCAAAAAGAGCACCTTATGAAACCAGGTCTTCAAATACAGCTTATATCATGCACAAAATTGATAAGATCTTTAAAGTGAATGTTTTCTTCGCCCACAGCAGTTTATATTTTTATTGTCTACTCTCACTGTCACTGAAGGGGGGGGGGGGAGAGAAGCAATGGGAAAACAGCACCATGAACTCCTCTTACACAATAATTTCAGCAAATAGCTAGTCGCAAAGGCAGAAGACAACAGCAAATAACAGCTAAATCACCTTGATGAAAGCAATTGAAAAGAAATGGTGTATCCTTGAAACACAAATACTTGCCTCTCAATCTGGAGAAGTTTCAGAGTAGCAAGAATTAGTAATGGGAAACTTCAATTTTTCTGATAACTGCTGGAAGACAAGCTTAGCTACAGTGAGGAATACAAAGGAATCACCGATTCTTCATGTGATCCAAACTCAGAAGGAAAACTGTGCTAATGGGATTTTAGCATAACTTTTTGCTAAAGTACCTACATCATTTCAGATTTCATGCTTTTATGGAAAGCTAAAGACTGCGGTCAAAATATAACTTTGGATTTCAGGAGAGGAGATTTTAATGCATTCAGAGAAATGCTAGATAAAGCATCACTTAAAAGGGAACAAAGACTGGCTCACTTCCGCCCCTTAAAGTAAATACAGATCTACTGAACCTTCTTGCTGATGTTTTTTGATATTGCTGGCTTGTTTTTAACTTATGAGTTCATGAGATTTTCTTGGCAAGCTTTTTCAGAGGAGGTTTTCCATTGAGAGTGACACTACTGCAAGGCCACCCAGAGGGTTTTCATGGCTGAGCAGGGATTTGAAGCTTTGTCTCCAGAGTCCTGGTCCAACACTCAAAACACTACACCATGATTACCCTCTTTTGGGTCTAATGGGCTTACATTACAGCAACTGAGATTTTGGTTGCACATTAGAAGCAATGTGTTGATATAATCAGCTCTACAACTGAATTAATGATGTAAAATATTGGGCGGTCTTTTGATCACACTCACTCACTTGAGTATGTCATAAGACTGTTTTTCCTGCACTAAGCAGATGAAGTATGTAAAATTTCCAGAAATCTTCAAAGACAATGTGTTTATGAAGCTAATTTTAGCTTCAAAATAAAAAAGACAATATTACTACTCTAAAATAACCAACTGAAAGTCACTTGGTCATTTTAAAATGTAGTCTGTAAAACTTTGGGAACAACTACACTGACCACTTAGTTGGTTCTGAATTGGAACAGCTGCATAGTGTAGTTGATCGGATAGACCTCTAGGGAAACTGTCTGAGGCATAAAAGGTGACTACACCGCCACAGAGGGTGTCCTCAAATCAGTTCCAGGATTCACAGGATCTGTAGCTTGATAGTTGTGGAGAATGCAGGGTTTTTTTCCCCCAGTTCCCCCCTCTGTAATGGACATGTGCACATTAGCAGAGCACTTCGAATATCCGCACATCTATCTGCATTCTGTAGGATCGATTTTGCAGTGCACTATGGTTTACATTGAAGTGTGCTGATGCACATTCAGGGCTTTCTTTCTGACTTTTTCCCAGTCTTGCTTGTCTTAGTATAAAGGGCTTAAAGCACACTGCTGCATGCTTTTGCAACATGAGTTGTATAGTCAATGTACTTTGAAGCTTCCCCCAAGCTGCATTAAAAGGCCGGTGCAGATGGGGTTTCAATTGAGAACCAACATGATTTAGTGGTTTAAAATTTGGACTGTGACTCTGGAAAGCAAGGAAAAAAAGCAAAACACACTCTAAAACATCATAAGTCAGAAACAACTTGAAGGTGCCCAATAGCAACATAAGTTGATTTGGTATACAATTATCATGTTTTGTATAGTAAAAATAGTTTACTGAGAAGATTATTTAAACTGGATTTACTTTTAAAATTTTGTTTTCATTTCTTTCAAAGAGAGGATGAAGACTTGTAAGAAGGGCCAGACCTCTAAGAAACCTTTGCCAGGCTATGAGGACTAGGCAAAAGAGAGAAGAAAAAAACTTACAAAGATTCAACATCAGTAGACCAAAAAAAAATTCTGTATTACCCAGTCCCTCATAATTCTAAGCAATCCTAAAGTTCTCATTCTCAAAAAATAACTCAGAAAATGAACCCAAGGTCTGGAACTACAATGGCATGAGATATTGTATATGCAGACTTGTATAATAGTCTACCTGCTATACAGATTTTAGAAACAATGTGGGAGAGAATTAAAAATAGCATCCTTTGTCTTAAATATTTTATCAACCATTCTAAAGGAAAGTATTCCATATGTATCCGGCAAAAGGGGGGGGGGAATCCTTCAGAAAATACTTTTATTTGCGATTTTGGGAATGGGGGGGGGGGCTTACTTCTCTAGACTGGACTAGGTGACATCTAAGGAATATATTATATTCAGCTATATGATATTAAGATTTAAAAAACCAAGAGTCCATGGAATATTTGCTACAATTCACTACAACTTACATCTCCATACAAAGGCCTGTGTCACATATCCGGCAATCCTCTGTTTCTCTCTTCTCACCACACAAACATCTATTGAAACCACTCCACCAGGAAACACAAAACAAGGAAGAACAACTAAGAAAATGATTGTAAAGATAGGCCAGGGGTTCAGCTTGACAATAGGCTGTAATGCATCTAATCTGACACGAGCAGTTGCTAGTCAGATGGGCAGGAGGCAGATGGACTAGAGTCAAATCGCAGATCAGGGAAATAGAGGAAATTTTAGTTAAAAGGCCCATTAAAAGCAATTCAGTCTAAAAAGAAACAAAACAAAAAACATGATACAACAATAAGAAATCAGTATAGGGCTGGAAACAGTCCACAATTCCAACTCCACTCCCCACAAGAATTAATATCTAGTTTTAAAGATAGATCATGGTGTGAAATCTTTTCTGAGGAATGGTTTTACCCAGGGGGAGGGGGGGGGGAATTGAATGTGATCTATGGTCTTCCTCAGATCTTCCTTTCGTTTCCACCCCAAATTTTGAGGCACAAAGTCTATTTTGTCCAGAAATTATCTACACAGTACATTTTACCATTAAACAAAGACTATATTAAAAAGAAATAAGACTGTCCCCTCTAGTTCTGGAAAATGGAGTCAGTGTTGCCCATATAGGATCCCAAAATGCTCCTTGAACGTTGAGCCCATAAACACTACTAGTGTAAGAAGAAAATATCTTTTTATATCTACTTCAAGCATTTCCCCCAGCTACCCTCTGTTTGGTTTGTTTGCTGATGTGACTTTGACATAGTCACCCCACTTCAGGAGAAACCACTTGTTTTTACTATTTCTGGTCTGTGAACAATCAAGTGGATTATGCTCTGCAGTCAACCTTTTTTTTCTCTAGGAACAAGCATGTCCTGGAGTATACTATTCTCTGCTCCAACTTTACAGTCAATATATATGCTTCAGCACTATTCCTCCTGAAACAATCTTTACCTGCTTCCTCGGTAGTGACAACAGATTATGGAGCACTTCCGAACATGCATATAACAGAAGTCATCTCTTCCAGTCATCTCACCTCCTCTGGAAGCCAAAATATTTATTCATTCCAATCAAAGGTCTTCCTACGCATCACAAAAGACTGTCCACCAACTTTCTTGAGTGTTAGTGTTCCACCAAGTCCAGCAGTGGCTGGTCCATGAGACTGAAAAGCCAATCGGCAATATGCTTCTAATACAGATTGGGGAAAGTAGGTCTGCAGTCTGTAAAAACTGCTGGCAAGTTGCAAGACGACATTTCCAAAGTGAACATTCTTGCAATCATTTCAACACTGTCCCTGAAATCAGACTTTTTTCTTCGGTTTCAGAAGCATAAAATGCTCCTACTCAGGTCTCTCTCGCTCTATGTGTGAGGTCTCAAGTTGTCCAAAGAAACTTTGCTGAAATTCTTTTACTTGGCAAAGAACAAATAGAACAATTTCATGCCTCAGCCATCAAGTGCTTATGATGGTTGGCCAAAATGGGAACTTTCCAGTTACTGGAGACCTAGAGTAATCTACTGTATTGCAAATCTTAGAGATCATTAGAAAACAAACTATCTTAAATTGAGAAAGTGGGGAAATACTTGGTGGGAGATTACAATGGCCAAAGTCAAAGAAAGCATCACACTAAAATCCCAATGAAACCTATGAGATACAAATTAGTTACATTGTTATCTTGCCTTCTCAATTTCAATAAGAGTTAAGTGCAAGTGATTTTTTTAAAGATTTGTGATACAGAGTATTTGCTTTTTTTAAAAAATACAGCATCACTGTGAGTCTTTCAGATGTTACACCCTACAACTGAACCAAAACAAGAGAAGCCAGAAGATTTGGTGAGACCTAAAGTACTCATAAAGAACTGTTGAGATACCAATTTGTTGGGTGCAGACAGATACTACCAAAACAGAGCTTTAAAGGGTGTTTTGAAATAATTTTGCAGCTGTAAAAGGAAAGAAAATGCATACCAACAATTTAAAAATCAGAAACAATATTACTATAACAATATTACACCGAGTCCCTTGGGGAGATGGTAGCGGGGTATAAATAGTTTTATTATTTATTTATTATTATTATTCATTTAAGAGGAAGGCACATGTCCTATAATGAAGAAATAAAACATGAGGTTAGAGTGCAGAGGGAAACTGAAGTGTTCTGCAACTCCCCCCTTCCCCCCAAATGTTTGATGTATGCCTTCTGATAAAGGTCTCTTGGCATTGGTTTATGCCAAACACCTGAGGAAGTAGACTAAGTCTACGAAAGTTTATATATCAACTTATTTCTCTCAGTTAACCTCAATGGTGCTATAAGATTCCTTCCATACTGATATTCCAGACTATGCTTTTGAGCTTTATGATCGGGTGATCTTATGCTCTATTGCTGGGTTTTTGGTTAGAGTGTGAATGCCGTTTTAAAGATGATATCTTGCATTGTCCTGTCCAGTTCCACCCTGTCCTCCCCACCCCCACCCCCACACACACACTTAGTGAGGCAGTTCTGAGGCAACAAAATAGGACCATAACATTAATGGCAGCATTAAATTCTGAAAACAGCCAGACAATTTCAGTACTTTCTAAATAATTTTATCAGACATTGGTACACATTCAACATCTCAAATGAGAAGTTTGATGAGAAAATTATGTACCCAAGTGAAATAGTAATTTGGTTTGAAGCAATATGTATTTTAGGATCTTTCTGTCACCAAATTACAGAAGAAAGAAAAAGAGAATTAGTTGAGATATATTTACCATCTCTAGTTTATCTGCTTTGAGACGAACTGTAGGGTTTAGTGAAATCTTCTTTCTTTGCGGTCCATAATCATCACTCCAGGTGGGGACAAGAACTAAGAGACAACAGGTTGCACATTAATTGGAAATCTAATAGGTATTTGTTTCCCCCTGTTTGAAGGATGTGTGCTGAAGTCCTGCTGCTCAAACAAGTCAAGCTAATCACCTAGATGCCTGAATCAACTCCAATGTTTATTATTTTTCTCTCCTTAAATATTAAGCAAGATACAATTGTTTATTAAAGGCCTCAAATGGAAAGTTATGAATGTTGCTGAACTACTGCTTAAGCCTTTGTACCCATCCACCAAGGCAGAGTGTGTAGTGAGGATAAAACACAGAAAGGTGAAGCATAATTGGTAAAGGTGCCGTGAAACAAACAGGCATTATTGAAACAGGAAAGGTCATATCATGCCACAGGCACATGGCTAGCCCCTGTGACACCTCTTTTCAACATGACACCAATAGGGGACAGGGCAGGGAAGGATTATGAAAGCATCTGCAAAGTTTTTAGTCTTTTGTAAAGCAAAGGATTGTGGCAGATGAGCCCAAACTATGGCAAATGTAGGGGGCTGGTTTTCAACTCCATAGATCTGAGATTATCCACACCTGCAGCTAAAATCTGGTGAACTCTAGCTCTGACTTCTATGAGTTTGGGTCAATATTTGGCTAGTTTTTGGGGCAGGGGTTCAGATAAATTTCCAAGTAAATCACTACTGTAGAAATAGTGTGACTAACAATTTGGGGATCCAGAAGCTTTGAGGAGATTGGAGGGAGGCCTGGGGGCTCAAAAAGGAAGGCAGAGACCCTATTTTCTGCACCCTATCTTGCACTCTTTTCCAGAAGTGACCTTTGGGTCTGCACAAAATCTTTCTTCTCCCAAAAATCCACCCAAGTTTATATTTTATGCAGCAGTTAGCACAAGGCTGACATAAGGCAAGTCTAGAATAGCATACTTTATGAGAGCATGATTTTATCATGCAAGTGTGCCATACGTGTGATTCAAAAACAGGCAATGCTTCATAAAGAGGCAGTATTGGCTGTAGGTTACAATTAGACACAACCATCTTCGACTATCAGAAATGCTATTCTGCAAGTAAAAGGCTCTTCCACCAGCTTATTTCAGAAATCTGCTGGCAGAACAGCTGGATAATATCTGCCACAAATGACAACAAGGGTTGGGTGAATGGGAGGGAGGTGAAGGAGCTGAACTATACCAGATTCAAATTCCCTCCAGTTCATGGAGATAACAATGCAAGCCACAAATCTGGCCAAAATGACAAGAGCACTAACTGATTTCTGACACACTCCTAGACTGGGTCAAGGTTGCATCCAGCACAATTTAAACTTGCCTTTTGTTAGTTCAGTTGTGTGTATATTCATAAGGAAACCTTGAGACAACTATACCTACCTTTCATTTCTGAGCAAAATAAAAATCCCTTAAGGTCAATTGCATTTACACTATTCACCAAGCCAATTCTCACTTTATACTTATATATGCATCTAAGTATAAGATGGGCCCCCTGGTAGCGCAGCAAATTAAACCGCTGAGCTGCTGAACTTGCTGACCGAAAGGCTGGTGGTTCGAATCTGTGGAGTGGGGTGAATTCCCGCTATTAGGCCCATCTAGCCAACCTAGCATTTTGAAAACATCCAAATCTGAGTAGATCAATAGGTACTGCTTCTGCAGGAAGGTAACAGTGCTCCATTTAGTCATGCTGGCCACATGACCTTGGAGGTGTCTACGGACAATGCTGGCTCTTTGGCTTAGAAATGAAGATGAGCCGGACACGACTAGACTTAATGTTAGGGGAAAGCTTTATCTTTACTATGCATTATCTCAAGAACAAAACGCATGGAAAATGCATGTGTGTAAACTGCTCACCTTTTTTAAAAAAGTGTCCTCCTTTAATATATACAGGGGCAACCAGAGGACATACTGTCTACTGTGACGTGTTGTTCAAAGGTGATCTTCTCCTCTAACTTGGGAGAACAGGATGCATTTTTCTTGTCAGATGAGAAATATAAAATGCACTACCTTTTAATGCTCAATTAATGCCCACCCCCAATATGCATGTGCAAAATGTGTATACATTAGGAATGCTATAATATGGGAAGGGCTCAGTTTCTATGGCAACCAGATCTGGATATATGGTGCTGCATAATACGCAATAGAAATGAACCTACTGACTACTAATGCTATCTACCTTCAGCGAGTCGTTCAACATACCCAGGAGAACCTTTGCTGAAGAAGCCTCATGCATTGCAGAGTGTTTGGGGAATTTTCAGGAGCAGTTCATGCAGGACTCCAGCCAAGTTATTCCATTTAAATATTACTTTGGTAACTGGGACTACATTATAGAGTACCCAGGGATAATGTTTTAGTGATAATGAATTGTGATGGGTAAATGCTGGCAGTATTCCAGATATTTTCAGAGAGGAACCCTTCATTCACTGCAGGAGACTCACACTTTGAAATTCTTCATGAACTGATTCCTTATTTATTTCTTCAATGCATATTCCAGCCCTTTACAGAAAAACACTGGTGACACATTGTCCTCTAGGTATTGGACAAATCCATTCATACTAAGTTTCTACAACATGATGGAACCATGCAACTTTAGACCAGTCTTCTCCAACTTGGCACCCTTTCCTGGTGCTAGATGGCAATTTTAATCAGTCTCAGCTAATGCAGACCATGTGCAAGGATGGTGGGAGTTGTAGTCCAAAACATCTAGGTTATGTCAGTTTGGGAAAGGCAACTCTGCTGAAGCTAAAGTTCAGAGCAGACTTTGCGAAATACAAACCCAAAGCCGATGACATAAAAGGCATCTGTAAATAAATAAGTACTGGACTGTCCGCTGTTGTTCAGCTGTCTCATACAGCAGTCAACAGTTACTGTGCTGCTGGGGAAGTCATTCATTTTAGTCTTTCATTCATGCAGGAGAAAAATGACCCCATAGGGCCTTTTAAAATGGAAAATACATTACACATTATTAATGTGAAAAAAGAAATAACGGATGGTGAGAGAAAACAAATGAATGAGTATTTACCCCTAGCAGGTATGTCAGCAGCACTGTTGTTTGCAGAAAATGCTGAAGATTGCTCTCTCTTCTTGAAACCAGCTTTTGTCTATGAAAGAGAAAATATAGGAAGTGCCATTTATGAAAGTAGGTCAGGGACCAAACAGAAAACATATCATTTAAGCACACACAAACACACATCAAAAACCAATGGCTCTTTAATTAAAACCTATAAAATTAATTAAAACAGTTAATTACAACTATTACCTAAAATGTTTCTAAGTAGTTTCCAATTGCTCTTGTCGTTCATTTTTCAAAAACACAAGTCTTTCCTGCCTTATTTTTTGTTACTGCAACTAAGAATGCATCTACACTGTAGAATGGATGCTGTTTTAAGCAGATGTAGGGATCCATGGCTGTCTAGAAGTTGTTGGATTACTGCTTCAATAATCCCCAACCACTGGTATTACTGATTGGGATGAAGAAGAGTTTCAGTCAACAACTTCTATAAGGCCACAGATGAATTCATGCCTTTCCCAGAACAAGGATCAGCAACCTTTTTGGAAGATTGGGCTTTGCTGACTGTTCCTCAGATAGCATCAGTCCAAGTAGTGTGCCCATCACATTTGCTTCAGCTTTGCTCACTTGCTACCAACAAGCCATTCCTCTTTGCTTCATCCTATGACCCTACTGATAGAACAGAGCTAAATGCAGAGCTTAAAAGAGGCTCAAGAAGGCATCTATATGTGCCAATGCAAAGCAATTTATTCTACAAGCTGGACCAATTGACAACATCAAGCTAGACAAAAAATCCACAAAAACTAATGATGATGCATTCCATCAGATTTGTTAACATATACATCATTCTTCCAAAGAAGATTGTTTTTATTTCCCTTTTGTTCTCTTTCAAGGAAATGTTGTATTCCCCAAGAGTGCTGGGAATTCAACTAGTTAAAGAGCAATCCTATGCATGTTTAGTTGGAAGTGAGTTCCACTCTGCTCAACAGCTTACTTCTTAATAAACGTATCATTGCAGTCCCGGTTGGCCTATCCCAATATAATGGCTGCATCTTATCAAAAGCAAAAACCACCCAATAAAATATTCATTTCACTGAAATGTCTCCAACAGATGCCACATGGCTTGTGCTAGGTTTTTCTTTCTGAGAGGAGCACATTTTTCAGACACTGCTTTGATCTGGGAAACCTTTGGAGAACTTGTTATCTGTTCAAAGATGGATCAGTTCATCCATTTTAAGACTGAAGAAAGGATGCTGGCACTCTTTGAAGAAAGAAAACCAGCCCACACAGCATGCCTGGCACAGAAACTCTCAATTCTTCCTCTGAAACTCTTTCTCTCCAAAAATATTTGGTTTGAGGAAGAGTTGTATGTGATCCAACATTACACAATTGGACTTCAGTTTGGGCAAAGCCCCCTCCTAGCTATGTAGTGCCTTCAGCCTCTCTGGTGGTGCAGTGGGTTAAACCCTTGTGCTGACAGGACTGCTGACCGAAAGGTTGGTGGTTTGAATCCAGAGAGCAGGGTGAGCTCTCATCTGTCAGGTGCAGCTTTTCATGTGAGGATATGAGAGAAGCCTCGCATAGGATGGTAAAACATCCGGGCATTCCCAGGGCAACGTCCGTGCAGACGGCCAATTCTCTCATACCAGAAGCGACTTGCAGTTTCTCAAGTTGTTCCTGACATGAAAAAGGCATCCCCATTTCCACCAGACATACTTCAGAGAAAACTTGGGGCAAGCAAGAAATTGCAGGGAGAGGGGACATTATACCTATTTACAGGTATTTCACTAGAATAATTGTTCTCATTACTCCCTTTCTCCTTTGGGAATCTTAGGAAAACCATACAACCTCTCCCAGAAAAAGATATTATTATTATTATTATTATTATTATTATTATTATTATTATTATTATTATATTTCGCTCTTATCTCCCCAAAGGTACTCAGGGCAGATTCCAAACATAAAAGGCAAACATTCAATGCCTGAATACAACAATACATCTATACTAACAAAATTTAAACAATCCAACATATAAACACAAATTATGACTTAGCAACTAAAATTAAATAAAAAACACAGCCTGTTATAACAGACATAAGACAAAACATCAAACATTGAATAGAAACAACAATTTCCCAGTTCCTTGGGGCAAATAGATTAATCAAGATATTTATTGAGCTGGTGGAGTGATAAGGACACAAAAGATTGCACCCTATTTATTTTGTTGGCTCAGAAAACTATTTCATTTAAATAAACTAATGTGAATCAAAAAAAATTACATTTGGATTGTTAGCCTTCAAGCCATAGTGACACAAAAAATGTAAAGGTACAGGAAGAAAAAAATGGCATACTTTTAAAGGACAAAGTCCACCCACAGTCCTCCAGGACAACTCTGATGTTCCCAAAGTTAAGAAATCCTACACCAGAGGTACAATCTATATCGGTGGCCCAGCATATGAATGATCACAAGTCCAATCCTGCAGAGCAGCTGCTCTTCAGTTCAGACAATACTGAAGAAGAGGGAACAACTTCAAGCATGAGTTTGTTTTCACCAAATGTCCTATCACATTTATTCTGCTGGATTTGAGTTATAGAGACTTTGGTGCAAGGTAAAATGAAATTCTCAAGGGAAGAGGTGGAAAAATGAACAATTTCAATATTTTTAAAAGAGTAAAAAAGAAGATTGCCTGTGCCGTACATGCAATCACACTCGTATACTGGGTAACTGCAACGTGCTTCACAAGGAAAGTTCCAGGAGAGTTTTCAGCCCTTCCTCCATCCAAAGTACAAGTTACCCCTAATATCCACACAGCATGTAAGGCTAGTGCTCAAGATTTATCTCTGACAAAGCAACCAGCTCACTATTAATTCTCAGAACGGAATGTGAATAATTTATCTACTTCATGAGTTCATTCTGGTGCTCTCTTATGGGGATGACTTTATGCATCTCCAAATGCTGAAAGATCCTTATAATCTAGTCAAAGGCACCTCAAAAAACTGAAGTCTGAAGAGAAGGGCTAATGACTGAATAGAATTTTAAAAACAATATCCTGCAGCGTCCACTTGGCATTTACAGGCATGATAAATAGTTATACAAGTATTGGTATTTGAAATTTTTGATTTATTTGTTCTTCCAATCGTTGCCCTTTTTGTACCATTTCAATTATACATATCATTAATTTAAATTATAAACTACCTTAAGAGCACCAGCAGAAAAAAATGGCCTAAATCTAACTGTTAATCCCAACTAAAGCAGACCCATTACACCAATGGAAACTTGATGTGTCATCAAGTACACAAATTCCATTAATTCAACAGAATTTACGCAATTCTAGTTGGAATAAATGAATTTAGGCCACAATCAATACAATATGTTCAAAGTCTGATCGATGCATCATCTAATTTATGAAACATCTTTGTTTTCCCATGTTTATAGTGGAAGCAGTAACTCCTTCAATCAATCAATCAATCAATCAATCAATCAATCAATCAATCCAGTTATTACATGTATCAATGACAAGGACTGCTGGGGCATTTTCTCTCCTTTATGGTGACAAAACATAAAACATACCGAATGGGGCTTTTGACGTTCACAAGATTTGGAGGCTCTCACATTTCTCAACACTGTTTTATAAGGTTAGCTAAACTCTTATCTTTGGACTCCTAACATAGGTTAAAGAGGCTACTCACCACATTCAGAAGGGATATTTTTGAAGCTGTGTTGTCAGTGGGAGACAAAACTGGACTTATCACCAATGGAATAGGTTTCAGTCTACAACCACCTGAAGGCAACTGACTAGAGAAGGACTGCAGATTTTCCACTTGGTTGGGAGCAGTCTCATGTCGAATGAAAGCAATCTCCCAAGAAGAGTTTGATCTAAATGAACAATAACAGATTGCACACAAGTATCATATACTATACTTTTATTGTAACAATAAAGACTGTTTTATATGGTTGTAACTTTCCAGATGTTGCATGTGGTAAATTAAGTTTACCATGCAAATAAAACCCAGTGGTAGACATAGTTTATTGCAGGGGTGTACTTTTCTTTTCTTTTCTTTTCTGCCTGTCTCTCTTTTCCTCTCTCCTTCCCTTTTCCTCCTTTTTAAAGGATATATGGCTCCAGTTTTATTATTTCTAATGTGACGTTGCAAGTGTCTGGCAAAGGGAAGACAACCAACACATAAATGTTATTGCTAAAAAGCCCAACTGGCATGACCAAATGAAAGATGACACGTATCAAGTAATGACAACTAGAGGAACTTAATAGTTTCCCAGCACCATTTCTCTCTTAATTTTCTACTACATGCACACAAATTTAAGTTATAAAGTGAAAGTCTCGTTTTACACCCTTCTTTTGCCCTGATGCTTTGAACATGTCCTAGAATAGTTTTTCTCATTACTCCCTTTCTCCTTTGGGAATCTTAGAAAAGCCATACAACCTCTCCCAGAAAAAGATAATAATAATAATAATAATAATAATAATACTTTATTTATATTTCGCTCTTATTCCGTCAATACAACCTCACAATTCTCTCTATATTGAAGAGGGTAAAGGCTAAATTGACTAAATCTATCCTGTAAAGATGGGGCGTGAGTCAGGGAGGAAAACACAGTATCCTTGGCTCTGGCTCTGTACAACAGTGGTTACCTCAAGTTTGTCCTGTTGATTAGAGTTCTTGCCTCCTCATATGTGATCCCAATTAAAGATTCCTTGTCAATAGAAACAAGCTGGTCTCCTGGTCTCAATCGGCCATCCTAGCAAGAAGAATAAGAACCACATTTAGAAGTGGTTTTCACAATCATTTCAAAGACATCAACAAAAACTTCTTAAATCTATAAATCCCGAGGAAAGCCGAGTTATTCAATCTCTCCCACTGTATGAGAAATATCATTAGCTAGGATTGATTTCTTGAGGTGACAGACTTGGCCTTCTCTTTTTATACCCTGTCATAATGCAAATAGGGAGAGTGGCTGGGAAGGGGAAGACTGCTGCATACAGAGACCCTGTTGATGCTACAGGCATTTTGCCTTTTGCTCTGCTTTCTCCCTACATGCCATGAGCAGGGGCTCCTTTTTACCCCGCTATATAATCCAGATGGCCAAAGCAGACAATCCACATTATCTGTCTTGAACTGGATTATACGAGTCTACACAGTATATAATCTACTTCAAAGCAGAATCTGGATTTTATATGGCAGTGTAAAAAGGGCCTATGTCTTCTTATTTTGCAGGGAGCTAATGAAGCTGCTGATAAGAAACAAGTCATACAACACACTCACGTGCACACACACAGACTGAGGAGCTGGGGGAAGCTACTATAGTGACATTTGTTTAAAATCAGGACAGTATATAAAGAGTAACACTCAAAAAGCAGGGAAATTCCAGACAAAATCAATCAGGGCTAACTAACACCTCCCAACAAAGGATTCCCCCAGACAGGAAGCAGCCAGGCTTTGAAGCTGCAAGGCAATTCAATGCTAATAGGGTGGCTAATTGCAACATTTACACTTGCCTCAGACAGACAAGAGTTCTTTCTCCCACCCTGGACATTCCACAAATATATAAACCTCACTTGCCTAATTTCCAACAGACCTCACAACCTCTGAGGATGCCTGCGATAGATGTGGGCGAAACATCAGGAGAGAATGCTTCTGGAACATGGCCATAAAGACTGGAAAACTCTCAATAATCCAGAGATTCCAGCCATGAAAGCCTTCGACAAGACATTGTTTAAAAGCAGTTGATTAAAAGAACTCAGTAGAATTTACCAGCACTGAGTAGCTGGATTCTCCTATGATGGCAAGCATTTGCTTCAAGAGAAATGAATGTTTTGTAATGTATAAACTAATATGAACATAAACTAATTGTATATGCAAAGAAAGCAAACTATAATAGCAAAATTGCTATGTTTTTTTAAGAGTACACAGTGAAGCTTCCTCCCATTGGGTGTAAGATGGGAGCATTCTTGAGTGTTCTGTCCAAAGCAGAAAAAATCCTGGATAGACTGTACATACATTCAAGAAGGGAATTCTAGCACAGCTGACATGTGAGGCATCGCAGGGGAGGTCTGTTATTACAAATACAATGCCTTTGTCTGCTTTTGTGACTACTACAATCCCCCCAAAAAGATGCACTGCATACATTTTCCCTTCTGAATGTGTAGTCCACTCTGGTAGCTCTGCTTTGGGCAACAGGCCAAATCCAGATAAGTAATTGTTACTTTCATACTCAAAAATGTATTTAATTGCAATGCAAGAGAAAAGAAGTGGGATTGTTGGAACTCCTACTTCATATTGTAGAATATTGATAGAAGCCCTGGTGGTGTGATGCGTTAAACTCTTGTGCCAGCAAGACTGAAGACTGACAGGTTGGAAGTTCGAATCTGGAGAGAGTGCAGATGAGCTCCCTCTCTTAGCTCCAGCTCCCCATGCAGGGACATGAGAGAAGTCGCCCACAAAGATTGTAAAACATCAAATCATCTGAGCATCCCCTGGGCAATGTCCTTGCAGATGGCCAATTCTCTCACACCAGAAGCGATTTGCTGTTTCTCAAGTCACTCATGGCACAAAAAAACCCCTTGATATTTAAGGCAGGTGTTCAGAAATATATTAAATGAAGTTGCTGGGTTGTTGGGCTTTCTGCACCCTAATAAATGGAAAAACTACAGAAGTGAGAGGATGAAAGGAAAAACAAAGGAATATGGAAGGAATATGAAATGTAGAAATATGGATCACCATCACCTGGCAGTACTAGATGTACTAGTAAGGAGATAGCACTACTATCTAGGTAGATTGCGTTGATGCTATAGAGCTGGGATTTTTTAAAATAGTACAGATCAGGGAGATGTCAGAGGAATTTCACTGGGCACAAAATTGGACACAGATGGTAGTTTTGTTTTAGAATTAAGCCGCAGACAGTCTGTGAGAAGTTTCTGTACCAGTTAATCCTGCTCTGAGCTGGATTAATTTGTATCAGAGAGGTGGCGTGAGGGGTAAAGGAATTGGTTGCAACAGCTCTGCGGGCAAATTTGGTGAAAATTTGGATCAGAAACCAGCAAATAAGGGATTTTACACGGATAATTTAGGGACCTTTATTCAACTGACCCTCTACTGACACTCTCAAGGTATGCTGGATTACAAGTTTCATCACCGTAGAGAGTGGGAGAGGTTGAAGGTTGGATATAGGGCACAAAGAGATCAGTTCGGTGCCATCTGAGGTCAATTCACTTATGAAAACAGAAATATAAGCAAGTAGTAAACAAGGTCCTTTACCCTGATTTAGGGACACTCCTTCAACCTCACAATCTCGCTGTATGTTGGACCACAAATTGCATCACTTCAGACAATGAAAGAGACTGAAGGTTGGATACAGGGCACGGCGAGATCAGTTCAGTACCATCTGAGGTCAACTCACTTATAAAAATGCAGAAAGAAATAGGAAGGGAAGGAGGCACTTATGAAACTCTTTTCCTCTGGTTTGATGTCTTGTGTAGAAAAGTGTGCTAACTATGTGTTTAAACACAGTAAAACTATTTCCACCAATTATTGATGTATTTGCCAACAGCATCCTCTATATATATATATATATATATATATATATATATATATATATATCTCGATACATCCGTTAGTCTGTTCCTCAAGTTGCTAATACAGATTGCATTGCATCTTTAGAAGCTGGTGTATAACTTCCACTACTGTATAACTGAACCAGAGCATCTGTTTTGCTCTTTAATATTCCCTTTTTACAAAATGAAAATGCTTCTTTTTATTTGCCAAATGAATCTTGAGACAAGCAACAATGCTGACCTCTGGTGGCAAACATAATATTCCATATTTGAAACTAGATCACAAAAAACAAATCCCTGTCTAATCTATTATTATTGAGATATATATATATATATAAAATCTATAATTTAAGGATAATTCAAGACAATTTTCTTCAGATCAACATATTTTGAGAACAGAAATTTAAAATTGTAGCAGTTGGTCCTCCGTACCCAGTTTCAAGCATTCACAGACTCAAGATTTCACACATTAAGAAATACTTTCACATGATGATTTTTTTAAAAAAAAAAATCCAAAAGGCAAACCACAATTTTGCCATGTTATGTAAGTGACACCATTTTGTTACGCTATAATATAGTAAAATATATAATGGGATTTGAACACCTAGAATGTTGGCATTCATGGGGATCCAGGAACCAAGTCCAATCAGATACCAAAGGACCACCTGCATACAACATGCAGACAAATTCACTTCCAATAACAGTAAATAAATGATCTTACATTCATCCATGAGTGTCCACATCCACCAGTAACCATGGGAAATGTAGTTCCCATGGTGCCAAAAAGAGCTCCTGGTGGCACAATGGGTTAAACACTTGTGCCGACAGGACTGCTGATCAACAAATCAGTGGTTTGAATTCAGGGTGAGCGGGTTGAGCTCCCTCTGTCAGCTCCAGCTCCCCGTGTGGAGACATGAGAGAAGCCTTCCACAAGAATGGTAAAACATTAAACATCTGGGTGTTCCCTGTGCAATGTCCTTGCAGATGAGAAATTCCCTCACAACAGAAGCAACTTGCAGTTTCTCAAGTTACTCCTGACATGAAAAGAATGTCAAATCTTCCTGCTAGAATGTTGCATTTCCTGTGGCTCCTGTGATTCATGGGTAATGCCAACAAGAGCAGGAAACTAGATGTTTAGATGCTGCACCTACCACCATTCCATATTATTGACTAACACCAACTAGGGTTAGGCCCCTTCTACACTTCCATATAATCCAGATTAATAAGGCAGATAACTGATGTTATCTGCTTTGTGCTGGATTATATATGTCTACAGTGCCCTTTAATCCAGTCCAAAGCAGAAAATCTTGATTTTATATGGCAGTGTAGAAGGGGCCTCAGCTGCAGTCCAACAACATCTGAAGGACTGCATAGATCCTATCCCTACTGCACAGATTCAGAAGGTTCTTCCATGAAGCCTCCATATCGTGAAATTCAAGAAAGAGAAGGAGTTAGACCAGTGGTTCTCAAGCTGTGGGTCCCCAGATGTTTTGGTCTTCAACTCCCTGAAATCCTAACAGCTGGTAAACTAGCTGGGATTTCTGGGAGTTGTAGGCCAAAACACCTGGAGACCCACAGCTTGAGAACCACAGGTTCAGGCAGAGGATGGAGATATTTGATGTATGCTGAGATTCGCTGACCCTATCACACTCTCAGTGACATCATTTGGGAGACTGACCAGGTCCAAACTAACATTAAATCATTTTGTTCTTTAATGTAAATGACATAATTTTACTTCTGAACAGATTACGAACAGTTAAATATTATTTAACTGACATAATTTTACTTCTGAACAGATTACAAACAGTTAAATATTATTTAGTATTAATCAATCTTTAGTCTTTAATTTAAATTACTTCATTCTATTTTAAGGCAGATTAGAAAACAGTAAGTATTATTTTCTAAGTAAAATTAACTGATTTTAATCCTGTACTTTAAGTTACATCATTTTACTTTAGCATGATTACAAACAATTCAGTGTTATTAACTAATATTAAATACTTTTCATTCTGCAATCTGAGATTTTTTTACTTTACACTAATTTCAATTGGAGTAGCTGGGATTAACAAATGGGGTTGAAAAGCAACTAAATACCAAGGGAAATGTTTTAATAAAAAATGAAGCTAACATGCCTAATGTAGAATATAGCCTCACTTTTCTATCAACACATAATGGGGCTTGCTAACTGCATTTATATATCCTCACTGCCAATACCTGTATTTGAATAATTTTGGTAGTGACAGGTATAGATGCATCCTGATGGTTTGGTTGGTGACAAGAACCTGATAAGTCATTTCATCTAATGTCTAGTAATAGTCAAACAGGCAACACACCACAAACCTAATTGGATTATTATGAAGAAAGGCTGTAACATGTCAATTTGCATTCTTCAACACACTGCTCCCAGTTCACCTGATTAATGATGCTCATAAAATGGAAAAAGTTTGCATCTGTTTCTTTATAATACTGCTTGGGTAAAAGGGATTCTACAGAAAACTGATAGGGAGCTGAGAAACTATTTTTGAAAAAGTAAGAGACAGAAGGGATCTTGTACTGAGAGGTCACTTCTCCAATTAGCGTAAGGAACAGTAAGGTTAGAATTCCTATCCAAATTGCACTGACACATGATTACTTTGCCAGTGACCTTTTGATATGATTCCTGTGCCTTATGGTTTTTTTATGCTATCGTTCTGTCACTGATGTTATTTGCGAAAATAAGGTTACCATGTATGTGTTCAGGTTCATAAATTATCTCTTGTGGATTTGGGCATCAAATAAACCCACTGATAAGGTTTAGCTAAAACAAACATTATTATTTTTGGCACCTATCATGATTTACTCTCTAGCCCGCTGAGTGGCAAATATAAAATTAGGGAAGTAGTGATGGCAAGGAGCAAATACGGGCATTTATGTCCCTCCAAATGATATTATCCTTCAGTCCACAAATTTCTAGCATTGGGTTACTTAACACTTTGCCTGAGCATTTAGAAATACAGTATCCAAAGAAAAAAGAGCCCCCGGTGGTGCAATGGGTTAAACCCTTGTGCCGGCTGATGCTGCTGATTAAAACGTCAGCAATTTGAATATGGGGAGCGGGGTGAGCTCCCATCTGTCAGCTCCAGCTTCTCATGTGGAGACATGAGAGAAGCCTCCCACAGTATGGTAAAGCCTCTAGGCATCCCCTGGGCAACGTCCTTGCAGACGGCCAATTCTCTCACACCAGAAGCGACTTGCAGTTTCTCAAGTCGCTCCTGACACACACACACACAAAATCTAAAGAAAAAGAAAAGCTGTCACAATTACCAAGGGAACAGGAACACAATAAATATAAGTATTCTCATTGTGAATGATTTTCAATCTCTCTCTCTCTCTCTCAATCTCATGCTCTCTCCAATGCTAGAAATATAAGAATTGAAGGAAAATTTCATTTTCAGATGTGGATTTTTGATGGGGGAGAGCAAGAATGCTTTCATTTGGTCATCCATTTAGTATATCTCTGGTGCATTTTCTATTTCAGATTGAACCAACCCATTCATAGTGATTCCCTGAATCCAGCTGGATAGTAATTTGTATAAAACTCAAGTAGAAAATGTAGAATAACTTGAAAGAAAGTAGCCATTCCAGAAGCATTTGTATTAGTGTAGGATCCCAGACAATAGCATGTGTGGCATAAAGCAGATTTTAAAAAGCTGTCCCAATTAAATCTAAAATAATGTGTGGCTTCCAAATTCCAAAATTTGGAGGATCCCTAGTTCAAGCCCAGTTGGCACTGGTAAGACTTCATTAGAACACGGTATTCAGTTCTAGGCACAACAATTGTAGAAGCATCACAACATTTTGAAATGCTTTACAGAGATATTCAATGGGACATATGAACATAGATTAGGAAGACTGATCCATTTAGGATACAGAAAGGTCCAGAAAAAAATTGATATGTTGTTATTTTCAAGTATTTAAGCATTTTATGGTAAAGAATGGGTGGAATTCATTTTTTTTACTACTTTGCAGAAGTACAACTGCTTTGACAAAAGCAGGAAAACAAGGAGGGGAGGAATAAAATCCACATAACATACACACCAAGTTCATGGCATGTACAGAAAGGGAAGGACTTAACACTGCCACTTATAAAGCCTATGGTCATAAGCACTGCTAATTTTAACGTCTTTGAAATGTGGTCCTGGCTTCGCAAACTAAGAAGGAAGAGAGAGTTGGAATGGTGTGACAGGAAAGGGTAGACACAGTTCACTGGTAATGCTCAGTTTGGTATTTCACAGTCAGTATGTGATCTGAGGCCAACCCTGTGTGACCTGAGACCAGCCACTACTCCTTTTATCCCCATACCTTGTCACAGATCTAGCCCACTTCCCAGCTCTCATGTTCTTAAGGGAAATGCAATAATGGAAAGGATAAAATATGAGCAAAAGCCATGAGTTGCAATGGGTTTTGCCAATGTCCATGGCTGAAATAAACACTGCTGTATATACTCATGCATATCAATCTCGTGTAAGTCCAGGGCAGGTTTGGGGGACAAAATCATAGATTTTAATATTGTTCATGGATCAGTTAAGCATCTTTCTATGGAGAGAGAAAAGCACCCTATACTGCCTCAGGGGGACAGTTGCCCTTATTCACCATTTCTCAGCCATTCAAAAAGGTCAGAAGCAGCATCATAGCAGAGACAGTAGAGCAGTGGTTCTCAATCTGTGGGTCCCCAGGTGTTTTGGCCTACAACTCCCAGAAATCCCAGCCAGTTTCCCAGCTGTTAGGATTTCTGGGAATTGAAGGCCAAAACATCTGGGGACCCACAGGTTGAGAACCACTGTTCTAGATTCCCCATGCAATTCTATAGCATGCTTTCACCAGAAACTGTGTTGGACAACCTAGTTATGCCCAAATATGTGCCCTAGGTCCTGCAGCATGAATCACTGTATGCTTCTAAATGAAATAATTCATTCAATAGAGTTCACAATTACTTGCAGTTTTGTGTACCCATGTAGAGTACAAAAACACATTCGCCATGTATACTGGGATCATACTGCAAGTGCTAACAACCTGTCTGGAAAAATAAACAAGAGAAACCTAACAAAAGGTCCCCTTATTACTTTTGATGTACACCATTGCAAGTCAGAGCAAATCAATCTCAGGTTTCAAACAGACTTAAAACCACCGAGCAGCTACTAAATTATCATTCCTCAATGTGCTGCTTGGGAAGGACAGTTGTATTATATAATACAGGGAGGGCTGCACCCGTCTCCATACAGACTACAAGAGGAAAAGGACTAAGGAGAACAAGGCTTCTCCGGCAGCCCCTTATCTACCTTGTGACAATCACCTCCAGGAATAACTTCCAGAATATACACCAAGGGCCCTTCATTCTTGTTAATGCCTCCTACAATGTTCAAGCCGAGGCCTGTTCCCTTGGAAACTGTGATAATCTGAAACGCGCTGTCACTAGACAAGAAGAGAAAACAAAGTTAGCTTCAAAAGGTCAGTGACTCGGGGAGAAAAAAATCATAAAAAATCCCACAAAGACCAGCTTGCAGAAGACATCTCAAAAGGCAAGATTTGACAACTGGTCATTCTCAGAGGCTTAAATATGAATCTGGAGCTGCCCTCTCCTTTCAGATCGAACGGTGTCAGGTTTTGCAACCAGAAAAATTAATCAGTCCTGCACAAATGGAAGCTTTCAGAGAGGGACCTGTGGAGTTCTGCTCTCATCAAGACAAATCTGTTTCTGTGGGCTACTGCGGAATCCATTTTACAGTTTGCCTTCACTATGCTAGCAGTCGATTGAGATATCTTTGAATCCATTTCTTCCTATGGATGCTCACTGGCAGATGGTTTCTAGAGTTATTAATCAATAAATAATGTGCAGCAATTTCATCTGTGCCTCTTTGGTGGATGTTTTATAGGAAAGAAAAAGGCAGAGGAAGCAATGGGGAAAAGCAAGTTTTAAGAAGTTACAATGGGAAGCATTCAAATTGCACTGTAGTTGGAACCAACTCATCTTGAAGCTCCTGCACACATTAAAAAGTGAACGCTGCAAATCTGTACTGGTATAAATGCCAAAAAAATTGTGAAGCTCAATAGCACACAACCACCCTTCCTTCTACAGGGAAAATATGTTTGATATGTCTTTCTAGAGAGCTCTGTGAATTGGCAAACTTAGTCCCTCTACTGTGGTAACCATTACAGAAGTATCTACCTGCTTCAAAGAAGACCTAGTTGCAAAGGAACAGTGATTATATATTTCTAATTTCTTTTCCAGAATTATGAAACTGAAGAAAACAAAGAGAAAGAGCTTTTATACTAAGCATGGGTAAAGGTATTTCAGGTACCCTCCAGGTATTTCAGGCTTCAACTCCCAGAATTCCTAATAGTTAGTAAACTGGCTGGGATTTCTGAGAGTTGAAGTCCAAAAATCCTGGAAGGCCAAAGTTTGCCCGTGCCTGCTTTATACCTATGAATGCTAGTGTTCTGGTTAAGAGATATCAAGCCAGGATCTTAATCATGGTATCCTTCTGCCCCAAGGCTGACTCTTTTGTGCAATAATGTATATTGTTTCAAATGCTTATTCATGTTTTATTGATTGTATATAATGTTTATATTTGTCCCTTTTCTGCCAGCCTGGCAGTTCGAAAACATGCAAATGTGATTAGATCAATAGGTACCACTTCTGTGGGAAGGTAATGGTGCTCCATGCAGTCATGCCAGTCACATGACCTTGGAGGTGTCTATGGATCCCGGCTCTTCAGTTTAGAAATGGGGATGAGAACCAACCCCCAGAGTCAGATAAAACTAGACTTCATGTCAAAGGAAAACCTCTACCTTTATTTTTATTGGTCCCTTTGATGTTTTTGATTTTGTATTGTATTTTAACATATTGGAAGCCGCTTTGGGTCCCTTTGCGGGAGAAAATAATAATATTATTTTGAAAAAAGAGAAAAAAAGGATTAAGTCTGGGGAAGTGGGAGGGGGAAGATACAGACAAGACTCCCAGGGGAGATAACAGTCAGCATCTCCAGGCAAAAAATAATCAAACAACAGGAGACTGGAAATAGTTTTTCTGAGAATGGATTCACACTGCCATATAATGCAGCTCCAGAATGCAGATCAGCTGCCTTGAACTGGATTGTATGGCAATGAAGTGTCCTATAATCCAGTTTAATGCAGTTAAGCTGTATTTTGGAACTGCATTATATGACAATGTAGATCCACCTTGAGTATCTGGAGAAGTGCTGCCTAGTCAAAATGAATAATACTGGGCTAGATGGACAAAAAGCCTACCCTCATTAAAAAGTAGGTTCCTGTAGATTAGAGGTGAGGACCAAATTCAGCTCTCCTGAAGTCCCAATCCTGCTTTCTAGGCTTCCCCACATTGCTTCATTACAGCACCATGATTTTTTGGCTTCCAATTTTTTATATTTGTTTCCATGTTAAACTACTGAAGTCCCTCTTCGGTGGCTTAGGTTATTGGGAATAAGAGTCAAAGCTAAAACGCTAAGTTATATTTTTGCCATAACCTTGCTTTGGCCCTGCCCATTAGCAGAATTTAGTCTTCAAGAACTTCTCTCAAAATGAATTTAGTCTTTGGACTGAAAGAGGCTTCCCATCTTTGCAACAGGAATTGTGAAAAACACATGATTTATGGTAAAATATTATGTGGCAAACTATAGAAAATGACCCCATAGCCAGCAAGCATCCAGAGTGAATTCATACTTGGAGTTGTACCCATCTGCAGAGAAACAGCACATCAAGCAGGAATTTAAAGAAATGTCATTGTGATGACTTTCTTTTGGGTTTGGTTAATTATAGTACAACACAAACAAGAAAGCTCCTGAAATAACATTTTATGGTTTGTCCCTGTAAATATTGTTGATTCCCTCTAATTCCTGTGAGTAACAGATCTATTAAAAAGTCCTGAAATTTACTTTGTGGTGCCTTGAACAGGAGTTGCCATAGCTGATTTTCCGTGATGTTTTGTATCTTTCGGATGCAATAACTGAGGACTTGTTGACCTTGAAGATGATGCGGAAGAGAAACTGTCACTAACTTTTAAGAAAGGAGAAGACAAGACAAATGAGTATACATTTTCTATAAAAGCTAGCTAATTTAATACAACATACATTTTTTAGGGCTGACTCACTTATCACGCATAGAATGTCATAAATCTGTGTCACCAGCTAAAACGTAATAACCTGAAAGCAAATTTGTTCTACTCTAAACCCCAAATTTATAGCACTTCAAAGAATGAGACAAGATACTGAAAATTATTCAAACCTAGAAGTCTCCTATTCACTGTGTTCCCATTCCTTTGGTGCCTTTCCTTGGATATCCAATTGTACTCTAAATCTTCTGTATAATCTAAAATCCAGAATACATTGTGTTCTGAGCATTTTGGATAAGGAATACTAAACCCAAATAATGCAGAGATCCCGATGTTATAATCTAAAACCACAGAGATTATGAGGCTTGAAATAACCTGATAACATAAGGAGCTATTTGGGGTCTTTAGGAGCAAAGTGGAGACCCTGGTGGCACAATGAGTTAACTCCATGTGCCAACAGGACTACTGACCGAAAGGTCCGTGGTTCGAATCTGGGGAACAGGGTGAGTTCCCGTATGTCAGCTCCAGCTTCTCATGCAGGGACATTAGAGAAGCCTCCCACATGATGGTAAAACATCCATCCCCTGGGCAACATCCTTGCAGACATCCAATTCTCTCACACGAGAAGCGACTTGCAGTTTCTCAAGTCGCTCCTGACACAGAAAAAAAGTAGCAAAGTAGCTCTGAGCAGTTGTATTGAATGAGCTTATTTCCCCCTCTGCTAGCTATGATCATAATGTAATAGCCACTCTTAAGCACTGATCACTTGAGACAGCTTGAGGGTTCATGGAGCGTAAAACGTTCTCGAATTGACAAGGTTAGAGAATCAGGACATTCTCAAACCATCTGGGATCTGACGCTGCTTTGTCATATGTGAATGAACCCCTAGGGGGCAACACCACTCTTCTCTCTTGCTGAGCTCTCTAAAAAGAAAAATAAGAAGAGAGGAAGAAATCTCCAAAAGATTTTCAAATTCTTGATTGAACAGAGATGTTCCTTCTGTCCATCAAACATCAACCCACACGTAAAATTTGGGTTAAAGGTCTACCTTCCAATTCATGCAAGTATCTCTAAGCACTCTTAAATATTAATGGAGGCCATCAGGCCGCTGAGCATACTATTCTCTCGTGTTGAATACTGAAGACACAATCAGCAACTCACCAGTTAGCATTTGTGTGGGGGAATTCCTGGAAGAGCTTGCATTGCTGTGCGGGTTGAGCCTCTCCATCAGATCTAGGAACTCTTTTCTGAAATCAAAACCCAGATGCAGAGTATATCACATATATCACATATTCAAAACTTCAGATGGTATTCCTTTGAGAAATCACAGAAACATATTGTTCGAGGACCCCACAAGGACCATCTAGCCCAGGCATGGGCAAACTTCGGCCCTCCAGGCATTTTGGACTGCAACTTCCGCAATTCCTAACAGCTGGAGGAAGGCTGAAGTTTGGCCAGGACTGATCTAGCCCAACCCCCCTCCCCCCGCCATGCTAGAATCAAAGCACTTCTGACAGATGGCTATCCAACCTCTAGAGGAGGAGATTCCATCACACTCCCAGGTAGCACAGTCCACTGTTGAATAGCTTTTACTCTCAGGAAGTTTTCCCTAAAGTTTTGGTGGAATTTCTTTTTCTGGAGTTTGAATCAATTTCTCCATGTCTCCAGAGCAAACAAGCTTGCCCTCTACTCAATATGACACCCTTTCAAATATTTAAATGTGGCTATAGTGTCTTCTCTCAACCTTCTCTTCTTCAGACTAAACATGCCCAGGTCCCTCAGCAGCTCCTCATACAGCTCCATTTTGGTCACTCTTTTCTGAACACGTTCCAGCTTGTCAATATACTTCTGTGCCTCAAAACTAGTTTTCCACGTGAGGTCTGATCAAAACAGAATAGTGTAGTACCATTACTTCCCTGATTGAAAACTCCTAAATGCCAAATGATGCTGGTTAGAATTGCATTGGCTGTTTTAGCTGCTGCATTACAGTTTTGGCATATGTTCAATTTGTGGTCTACTAAGACTCCTATATCCCTTTCACACATTCTGTTGTCAAGCCAGATATTACTCATTCTGTGTTTTCCATAGGATTTCTATAGTAATTTTACAGATTTAATTTTGCAACAAAACTGTGTAAGTAAGAGATGGAAAACTATACTTATAAAGCTTTAAATAAGAGGTTGCTAGACATTTTAGAACTACAGCCCCCATCAGCACTATCGAGAAAAGCTACGGTAAGGGATGACTGAGAGCTACAGTCCAGCCATGAGTGGAAGGCCTAGTAATTGTCGCCTCTGTTTTAATCTGTATCTTAATAGAAAGCAAATGTGCCCTTTAAAATGGTGTTGCCTTGAGCAATAATTTCCTTCCAAATGGTCTGGATTTCAATTGCCAGAAATCTTTTCAAAAAGTGTTGGCTGGAGCAGTAATTCTCTTCCAAATGACATGGATTTTAATTGCCAGAAACCTCAGTCATCATGATCTTGAGTATGGTTCTGAAAGCCGAAAACCTCTGAAGGGCCAAATGGAGATTACTATATATTGTTTGGACTCAATTCAAGACTTACCAATAAGATTTCTATCCCACTTCTCCATACATGCTAATTGGTTCACAAGTAAAACAAACAAATCTATAACCCCTCCAAATCGCATAAATATGGGAAATAAATATAACAGATAGATTTTTTATTAAAAATTAATGTGTGGTTTTGTTTTTCTTTCAGACACATAAATGAATTAGCCAATCCTGGGATAAAGACCACATTCCAGTCGTTCTTTAAATGTCTGTAAGTCTAACCACTGTGAGGGCTTCACTGCAAATCCCTTTCTATCATGACAGAGTCACATCCAGTAGTGGTGCACTCATATGCTTGTTTACTTAAAAGTAGGTTCAATGAATTCACTGAATTCAATGAGGTTTGCTTCCATCTAAATGGGTACAAGAAAGGAATGCTAGAGAACCGTTCTCAGCTCGAGTGCCAAATTCCAATTTGGGAAAGCTCTGCAGAGATCATAATACAATACAGTACAATAAGTAAAACACATATGCATATAAAACACCAAGCGAAACTCAATAAATCTGTGCTCATCAACCAATGGTGGTAAGCTGCTGCAAACATGGCCAGGCTGTAAATAACAGGACAAGGGAATGGGATAATTTCAGAGCTGTGGTGTGTAACCTAGAGCACAATAAGTAACCTCCTGCCTCTAATGCCCATTTTAAAAACCAAGAAGCAAAACTCAGGGGCATTTGACATTCCAGAGAAATCACGAGTCACTGGCCATAGTAAAGCAAGCCCCATTTTTTGAGGGAAGGCAGAGAACAAGGAAGCAATCACAGTGTACATTTCCAAGATGACAGGCCGAAAAACGGAGCCATTATGTGATCTATCTTCTCTCCTGTGTATATCAGCTTGCTCTGATGGTATTTATTAATAGATCAAAATGATGAGACCAAACCAGGATGCATGGCAGAAAAATGGGTTATGTTCTGCCAAAGCAAAATACAATTTAAAATTGGTGTGTGTGTGTGTGTGTGTGTGTGTGTGTAAAAACAGTAGGGATTGATATTTAAGAACACAATAGGGATTGAAGACTTTTAGTCAAGAAAAAAAATGCCACTGGCAAAGTAATGTGACCTTCCAGAAAAGCTCTGCGAACTAGGCAGATGGCATCTACTGGTCGGATGAGGACCACGAGCCAGCAAGTCCCCTTTCCAGAAGACTGGGTCACAGTCTCTGTCCAGCTATTACTTGGATCTGATCTCCGCAAACAGAAGGATCCGCAGCATTATTTTCCTTGGTGATATGAGAAAGGGAGGAGCTCATTAAGATATTGAAAATGCCCAGAACATATAGGTCTTTATAAATGTGCATCAAAGGTATTAGACATCACACAATAGGATGGTTACAATAAACCTATCCTGGTCCTCTTTATACAAGCCCAAGAGAATTTAACAAGGGAGGATCTAATTATCTTCCCAGTCGAATTTGAGTGGGACGATGGAAAGAACTGATGGGTTTTAATTATTCAAGATGGTTAGAGGAAACTAGGTCAGCACTCCATGGCTGAAAGCAGATTTTAAAAGGACCTAATATCTGTGCAATGACAACAGAAGAGACCAGACTTCAGAGAAAGCAATTTGTCTGTAGCTAGCAATTAAAAAATAAAAGGAATCCCAGTGCTATATAAAATGTAACAGGAAGTGAGTAGAATTTTCCTTTTGACAACTGGCTGGCAGTCAACATTTTCCTACTGCTACAGAAGCTCTAAAAAGCATTTTGATGCAGTCTTCATTATAGGGATGAATAAAATCAAGCTCTTTAGTTGAAAATTTTCCCTATTTCCACCACCTGTTCTAGGATTGAGATATGCCTTCAGATCTATATGGGATGTCTTTGCCGTGACAAGTTCTTCTGAAAGAGCAGTTATGTAAAGAGAAAGAGAAGAACCCACAGAAATCACTACTCAATAAGAATAAATGCAATGTGTCTTCTTTCCTAATGTTAAGGATGCTTTAAGCATTTTGCAGAATACCTTGTAGAGAGAAAGGGAATTGATCAATTTTTTGAGAGTCAAGGAAAGTCCTCCTTTTGCTAAATGAAAAGCAGTAATAGATAGGATAAAATAAGATGAGCAAAGATAATTGCCATGAGTTTTGCCAATGTCTATGGCTGATATAAACATTGTATATCACAGGAACGGAGAAAGCTAACATTTACTTACTTTGCTTCTTCATCTCTGGCAATCAGTAAAGATACATGTGTGCTTGCTGATGCCGTTCGCAAGAGGTCAACAGCTCTGTGAAGTTAGAAAAAAAAACTTGACTGTATTAATTTTCTTCACAGGCCATAATCCCATCTATACAATGTTGCTTTAATGAACAAAAACACATCCATGCCTACAATTAATATTACTGCTGGTTCATTAAAGTTCAGCCTGAGGAACCTTTCCCTGAAGCACCTCCTATTGAAAACCATGCTATGTTCAATTATCAAACTTGTTTAAATCAGTGGTGGGAAAGGAAACACCTTTTTATGTTGAAACAGTGAAACATGGATTTATATAGCATGAACCTTTAATGAAATATCAGTAATAGAAAATCAAAGAAGCTCTGGGAACAACTGGACTTAGATCTGCTACATTTAGGTTCAAGTTTGAAACTGAAGTGCATCTCAACGGGTGACCATGAAAACAAATATGGAACAACCTTTGCTTCGTAGACCACTCTATAAGAACTCTTATCTTTTTCCATTTTTTTAAAAAAACTTTCTGATTGAATAAGGACAGTGCTCAATTATTCCTAATTGAGAGGAGACATGATAGCCATGTATAAATATGTGAGGGGAAGTCATAGGGAGGAAGGAGCAGGCTTGTTTTTTTTTTTGCCACCCTGGAGCCTAGGAACCGGAGTAATGGCCTCAAACTACAGGAAAGGAGATTCCACCTGAACATGAGGAAGAACTTCCCGATTGTAAGAGCTGTTCAGCAATGGAACTCTCTGCCCTGGAGTGTGGTGGAGGCTCCTTCTTTGGAGGCTTTTAAAGATAGGCTGGATGGCCATCTGTCAAGGGTGCGATTTTCCTGCTTCTTGGCAAGGGGTTGGACTGGATGGCCCATGAGGTCTCTTCCAACTGCATGAGTTTATGATTCTATGACTCCTCCTGCCTGTGGGGAGAATTAATCCAGCTAGCAGTGCTCTATTTGTGTTTTATTCAGCATAGTGTTTACTCTGGCTTTAGGGATCCTAACAAGCCAGCCATAAGCCAACAAACCATGGTTTGGTTGCCTGGCCCTTTGGAAGTGAACAAGCCATAATTCCAGATTCACACATCACACAACACAAACTATGAAGAATTTGTTAAACGTAGGATAATGCAACACAAATACAGTTATGTTGCAAAGGACTGCCACTCATGGTTCCTAGCATCCAAGTCATTTTTAGTTTTGGCAATACAAATTCTATCTCTTTTTCAAACACACCGCCCAACCACAGGTGTACACAACCCTCTCCATTCAGAGCCAGAACTGTGACATGATGACAGACTTTGCATTCTATAACTCTTAAAAAATAATACAGCAGTCTCCAGGTTATGAACAGATAGCTTCTGTAGGTTTGTTCTTAAGTTGAATTTGTATGGAAGTCAGAACAGGTACATTTCTAAGTGCAACTCATACCATTTTTTTAATTATTATTTTTGGGTAGAACAGGGAACGGTCCCACCTCCTACTCAAGCTCACTTGATAGGAACATGAGAGAAAGTCTTTCTGGTGGTTGCTCCCAGACTGTGAAACTTCCTGCCAAGAGAGACCAGGATGTCCCCATCCCTGCTGGCCTTTGACAGGCAGGTCAAGACCTTCTTCTGCCAACAAGCATATGGGAAAGGGGAAGGGTCAGGACCTGGGGAGGTTGGATGGGATTGGGGGGACATGAATTTTAAAGCAATTTTAGTGTATTAACTGTATTTTAATTCTGTTTTTACCACACTGTTATTATTTAATCATTTTATAACTTTTGTATTGCATTTTTAAAACTTGTATAGTGTGGATTGTTAACAACTCTGAGTACCAACGGGAAGAAAAGAGGGTTGTAAATAAAGATAATATTAACAACAACAACATAAGGTTTATTTTTCTGTCTGCGCCTGTTTAGAGGATTTAACTTCACTTTCTATCCCTATGACAATTAGATTTTGACAATTTTGGGTTGTGGATAAAAATCTGCCAGGGAACATCTTGATGGCAAAGCTGATTAGGAGATGCTGATGAGCATTACCCAGAATGGAACCTTCTCTAAGATCTGGATGTAGCTATGCTGAGGTTCAAATAACAAGCGAACAAATATTCCAATAACAAGTGAATCAAGTTCTATTCATGATGCATATTCCTCATCTACACGGGACATACTAAATACTGTGATTGGTGTCAAACTGCATTAATTCTACTGTGTAAGTGCACCCTCTGACATTGTGTATAGGCAGCTCTGAGGAAGTACTTTTGATGCTAAAGGAGTGCCATGTGTCAATAATAGACTAGACCAGTTGTTCTCAACCTGTAGGGCCCCAGGTGTTTTGGCCTACAATTCCCAGAAATCCCAGGCAGTTTACAAACTGTTAGGATTTCCAGGAGTTGAAGACCAAAACATTTGAGGACCCACAGGTTGAGAACCACTGGACTAGATGATGGTAAGCAAACTAAGGCTTAATTCATACAAGATGGAGATGTGTCTGGTAAGACAAAAGACTTCTGGTCCCAAGCAATTTGAATAAATGTCCTGTCTAACATAAAATTTTGATTTTATGCTTTTAATAAATTTATTGTTTTTAACTCATGAAAATAAATTGGGTTTTTAACTGTGCAAGGGAAAAGGATGGGATACACTTTAAATACATGAATGAATGAATGCTTACATGGCCCTGTTGGTCATGTTTGCTTTTGTGTTTTCCAAATTACCATTTATTGATTCTCTTATAAAGAACTGTTACACTAAGAAATTTAACATGGTCTTCTCTGGATTTTGTTCATTTAGGAAGTTCAGCTGTTTAGCTCCATTATTGGAGAAAGCACTTGGGGAATCTCAGAGACATTTATTTTTCAATATTTGTAGCTGATTTGGAACAGGATTTTCTTTTCATAGCACAAAAATATTTAATTCTATCCATTCTGACCCATATTATGATTACATGTTTAAAACGTACCTTTCATTGGTCACACCAACTAGATTTTGACCATTGACTTCTAAAATCAGGTCACCAATAAGCAATCGACCTTAAAAGGAAGAGAGATTAAATGGTGAGCAGAAAAACAAACAACATTGATCTAAAAGAAAGACACTGCTTATTTAAGACATTTTCCTTATCAGTTTAGTTGTAAAGCAATGCCACGATTATTTCCAATACATGTTCAGCATTGAAGATTTCTCAGCTATGGAATTAGCAGTTTTCTGACTGAGTTTTTAATGACTACCCTCACATCATTGCTACAGAACATCATAACATCTATGCTCTAATGCAATCTGTTGTTTTGTCTTGAGCCACAATATTTATGTCAAGACAATGAGGATTATTATGTGAACCTAATTGTGTGAAATGGATATTGCAAATCAGATGTTCTAAGTCACCAATAGAAAACAAACCAGTTATCTGATAACGAATTCCTCTAATAACTATGTATCTGACAACTATTCTTAGATAACTATGCAAATAAATTGCTGCTTGTATTACAGAGACCAGGTTGATTGAAGCTGGTGGGCTCAACCTGTCCCAGATTTGTTGGTTTTGGTTCTCTGTTCAGCAGCAGGTGAGATCTGTAGGGTGGGAGGCAGTTGCAGTGGGATTTTATATCTCTGTCATCTGGTGTCTTGTCCCATAGTCTGCTAGGTTTCAATATGTATTTTGAAGGTAAGTGGCCAAAACAGATTACCTCCCACCCCAATGGTCAACAATCTCCCTTTCTAAGTTGGTTGAATTGGCAGCTTTCTACACTGCCATATAAAATCCAGATTATCTGCTTTGAACTGGATTGTATGGCAGTGTAGACATATAATCCAGATCAAATAAGATAATGTGGACTATCTGCTTTGATAATCTGGATTATATGGCAGTGTAGAAGGGGTTTGAGTCTGATTGAATAGAGCTCAATAGACAGCCAAAAACACTATAATTCTCTATTGCCACTGCATTTTCACAGTGCTGTAAAAAGTGCGCAGAAGCCTTTTATACTCTGGCCCACAAGAAGAGAATAAAGACCAGCTGTGAAGAATTTGCAGACAAAATCACTCAGAGCTGCACATCTCCTTTTTTACTCTTCTATATCACAATATCCAAATGATACCCAACCTCTTTTCATTTGATTCCAAGGAAGCCTTCTTGATATTGAAGCAACATTTATTGTCACTAATGAAAAATATGAGAGCAAACAAATTGAAACTTAATCCAAAGAAGCCAGAAGCGCTCCCCAACAATCAAAAAGCAGATCTGGGAATAGAGGCTTTGTCTGCTCTGGATAACTACATTTGCATAGTTAAAACAAGTATGTCAACAGTGCCTATTCCATGAGAAGTCAGATTTGGTTACAGTAGCAAATGCCTTGAATACATCCTCTTTGGACTATTGTATGTGATGCTGCTTTTGGAACGTGTTTTAAAATCTCAGAGGGCCCAAGATAGCCAGTATGCTAAGTGGAGCTAGTTATAGGGAGCATATAACTCGCTTGTTAAAACAGCTTCAGTGGCAACCAGTCTGTTCCTTTAAAGTGTAGATCATGATTTATAAAGCCCAATATGATGTAGGTCCAGTCTATATAAAAGGCCATATCTCCTGACATGAACCTACCCTTTTCTAATGGTCCAAATGGAGGACTTCCTCTCCATCCCACTACAGTCACATCTTCACTTGGTGAAGATGCAAGACAGAGGGCCTTCTCAATGGCTGCTTCCACTCGCTGCTTTCCTTTTGTTTAAGACAACTTTTAGCAAGTAACAATACTTAATTTTTAACTTCTGCATATTTTTAAAAATAATGTATACAGTTTTGAATATGATGATTTTGAAAATGGTATTGTTGGGTTTTAATAGATTTATTTTGTGAACTACCTTGGGCACCACGTTGGGATGAATGGAAAAATAAATTTAAAAAATGATCTGGACCCATAGGGATGCTATTGAACTCTTTCCTCAAATATTACTGTGTGTAAGACAAAAGGATTGGATTCCTAAAAAGGTGTGGTAGGCATCGTCCCAAATCTTCTTTCACTATGCCTAATGTGAAAGTATAATGAAAGATGAAAAAGAAAACTAAAAAGATAAAGTCATACACCAGCTTTTAGTATCAACACAGGCAACCAAGATAACACAAAAAGTGATTATTTACTGTCTACTGCAGCTGTCCCTCCTGGCAAGATCCTCTTTATGAAAATTCCAAAGTCTTCTTCAGAGTGCTCTCGGTAGCCTCCGATAATTTTAATGCCTGTTGAGCAAAGAAAAGAAACAAGAGATAAACAGATTATCCCCTCTCTTACAGCAAACACACTGATGCATTTGCTAAATACTTCTACAGAATCCATCTATGACAATGTAGACCCAGAAGGGACACAGCAGCAACACCTCCAGATTATTAAATGGAATGCATAATCTAATTACCTAATCCATTCTGGCAGTTGGAAAAGACAATACGGTGTATAGCTCGATTGATTCCATGGGGGCCCATAATAGTCCTTTTGAAAATGGAAAAGAGAATGTACATATCAGTATGGGTGCACTGTATGACAGCTGAGAAATCCTGTAAGTCTGAAGTTTGCCTTTCTCTGAATTACACAGTTCTTGGTGAAACATTACATTGATCCTAGGTGATTTATAGCAGCATAAGCAATATATGTGCAGTATTAGCATAATCGTGGAGTAACACATTTAGTGGACCTGACAGCGATCTATATGCCTCTGTAGGCTAGTACATTGTGCACTAAAATATCTATACATTTATAATTATGATTATGGTGCTTCACCTCATAAAAAAGATCTCAGGGCAGTTTAGAAATAGGTTTAAAACCAGTTAAACAGCTTAAAACAATAAAACAATATAATAAATACAAGCATATTTACATTTGAACATATTTGGATCAGCGCATAACGGAGGGAATTTTAAAAAAAATTCCGCTGGATTTCGCCCTTCCCTAATTATTTATCAGATCTCTTTACAGTGTTTACAGTGTTAAATAAAGAGTTTCAGAGAGTTTTAATGGCTCTCCGTTTGTGCTTCCTGTCAATCAGCTGTGAGTCCATTTGGCAGCCCAATCAGCCGATCTGCTGTTTCGTGCTTTTTAAAAGTGACAGACATCAGCTGGAGCAGTCTCCATAGGACAGAGGGAAGGAAAACACGTGTTTTCTGGCAAGCAAGGTCACACAGACATGCGAAGATGCATATATTTCAGCCAGAAATGGGATCGTCTAGCCACCCTCCCATACCCATTTTGAATGGGAGCTCTCGTGATTATGGTACTGTTTCAATGAGGCCTAGGACATACACCAAATATCCAGCGGACAAGTAAATGTATCAAGCAAGCAACAATACCATCATGCACAGTAACTACAGTACTCTTTTCCTAAGTCAGGTAAAGCACGTAGGGACCAGGAGCACTGAACCCCTGGCATCCCCCCCCCCCCCCCCACCAAGAAAAGAAACAGAGCAGAATTGTTTCCTTAGCTGGAAGGAATGCAAAGGCACACTTTGCTATTTTCCACAGCTTTAACACAGTTCTGGTGATGTTTTAGGACATGCTCATTTCCACTCACTCTGTTAGCCATCTCCCTGTTTCATCTGCTCAAATCACTATGAAATATCTCCATCACACAACACCAGTCTGTCAGCTCTTGTAGTGCTCCCTCTGGAACTATTGAGCCCTGAATGCACTGAACTATTGAGCCCTGAATGCAAGGTACACTCCTGGTGCAAATTCTCCTAGAACTTCTGCGCTATCACTTCTAATCTTAAAAGCCAGGGAGATCACTGATGGTCCATGAAGAAAAGACCTTCTCTGAAACACAGAATGTTATCAAAGGGTTCCTTGGGGTTCCTTCTCACAATCTCCTAGAAAATCAGGAAGACGCAAATCAGCCTGGATTGCTCCGAAGACAGGTACTAGCTAGCTTTCAGCATGACAGCTGACATGGTATAGTGCAGAACTTTCCAAACTTTTCATATTGGTGATGTGCTTTTCAGACATGCATCTTTTCGCGGCACAGCAATTCAGGGTTACTAGCAAAGAAGAGGTTAAATTAATCCCTTATAAGAGTTCCATGCAATATATATATTTACTGTATATTATATAATATAGTATACAGGCTTAATATAATCTTTACTGTACAAGCAAGGTTTGGGGAAAAATTCTTTACACTTCTTATGTATTGTAGTTGATTCTTGTGTAGTTTCCTCTATAGGTGTTCCATGTGGTTCATCTCAAACATCATTAACAGATTTTCTTTTCTTAATTAGAAATTTATCCATTTTAGTGGTGATTATTGCAACTCAATCAACAAATTGTGCAAATAATAAAAGTTTTAACAGTTCCTACACTTCAACAGGACCAGCACTCAACTTCTGTAGTGATGAAACCTCTCTGAAGGTTTTTAAACAGATATCAGATAGATATCCAGGGGTGCTTTGATCGTGTGTTCCTGCCTGGCGAAGGGGGTTGGACTACCATGAGCCTTCCACATTTGCAATGACTAAAGGTGAAGGAGCTCTAAGTGGAAAGAGCTGAACAAAGGTCAGCTATTTTTCAAATCTGAAATAACACTTCTCTATACATTTCTAGGTCTTCCAGCAGATGCTAACCACAGAAATACACTGAAGACCTACAAGTGACTTGTTGGAACTTATTTTTTAGCTGAGTGTAGGGCAGTGACAGCAAATATAGTAATCCACAAATGTGCTTAACCCGCAAATGGGGTGGTACGAATGCATAGACATTTTTAAAATTAGGAGTTCATTGTCCAATCACTTTGAAGCATTTTTATCCAACTAATAAAAAAAGAATCTTATTATAACACTATTTTAAAGGGGAAACAATATATTGCCCAAAAAGAAACAACAAAGCCAATGTTCCCACTTCAGCTGGGATGCAACTGAGCCCCTACTGGGATCTTCAAGGCCCAATGTAGTTATGTGAGGAAGCGCCTTTGATATCAATGATATGATTCTTGAGATCCAGAGCACTCTACCTGAAATACTTAAAAAGTGACTATGAGGTTTGCTAATGCAACAAGAAAAATGTAAAGTTGCATTCTGTTAAGAATAATTTTATTTCTTACCCGCCTCTCCTAATGGCTCGAGGCAGGTTACAACACTGCTAAAACACATAATCACATAAACACATAATGTTTTGGTTTATGGTTATTGAAAATTATTAATTCAAAATTGTTGTGCTTTGTAGGTCATTCAGAGAACACTGCTTTTGGTATATAAATAGATAAAACATTTCTTTGCTGAATAAAAGGCTACTTCAACTGAATATTTTCTGTCATTTCTGTCCCAAAAAATTCATTCAAGGTTTACAATAACAAGAGTTTAGTTTTTCCCACTTTAATGGATTTCTGTGAGCCAAAAAGTCTCTATTTGTATCTAAATACAGTTGGAGGGAGGTTAGGATGAGAATTTCAGTACCAAAAATAAAAAATAATCATAGCAATTTATCATTTACTTATTTCTAATACTTATCACTAACTTCTTAGTATCCAATTAGCAGGGCACTCAAGAAGACTAGCAATAGTCAAACCAATATAAATATAAGAATGAAAAAAACCAAACAAAACCAACCCGTACATTCTAAAGAACAAATCACTATGACAACAAACTTCCCTATTTAAATTTAAGAGGTAAGAATGATATAATATTGTTATTTCGTTACGTAAAAGACAGTAACAGACTAAAGTTTTGCAATGGTGCGAAGACCTCTTACGTAACAGGCTTTAGACAGTTCGCCATGACCTACAGTCTAACAATTTAGCCTACCAGTACAAGAGGGAAAGCCCATCAAAATGTTCTGGTTCTCTTTCATCCATTGGTGACAGCAGAGGCATTTCTACTAGATAGCTAACAGAAATAAGATAAAACCTTCTTTAAAGGCACTGAAACATTACATAGCATAAAGCATGCAGACAGCACACTTTGCTTAACTAAAATTATCTCCGCAGACTGAAATGCGTGTCTCTTTCTAGTTAATCTTCTTTGAAATCCTGCATGTCACATGGGCTAATTCACCTATGACAGCCAAGTTTCCTTCACTGTAAAGTCTGAAGACATGCATTACAAGTATGTTAAAGATCAGCTGGCTTTCCCTTAATTTTGAGCGTATAGCCCTGTCTGCTTGCTAATAAGCTGAACCTCTTCCTCCCTCTCTCTTGTTATGTTAGAATTTACTTCTGTGTCAAGTACAACTTGCAGAAAACATGATGTCTATTTATCTGCCCCTTTCTTTTAAATTTGTTAAGTGTTTTTTCAGACTGTGTTATGTATACTCTGGATATATCATCTGTTACTATCCAGCTCTTAACCTCAAAATGATGATATAAACATAACTTGTAAAAAAACCTCTGGTCTCCTTCCATCATCTTTATCCAGACAAATCACACCATCTGTTACAAAGCCGGAGGATTTGCAGATTTTTTTTTCTGAATGGAAACTACTTTGAAGATGTGATAAACATAGAATGGGTTGTATTTTGGGGTCAGTGCACCATGCTTGCTTCTTCTAATGGTACTTTGATGCTTAGTGTTAGAAACAGAGTAGATGGATAGATACAAGCTTAGTTCACAAACCTCCCACTAAGTTATTCTTGGGTTAGTAACAGATTTAAAAAAACTTCTTCAGCCAAGGCACAACTTTTGTTCACAATGTGCAATACACCTTTTGGTTCCAAAGATTATCTCAAACCAAACTGCTATTTGGTTCTTGTTATGTCTGTTAAGTTCAAAACTGCATTTGATCAATCAACACAGGTGACACAGTTTATTTATTTTACTTATTTAGCGTATCAGGAGCGAACCAAGGGCACGGTTGTAATGTATTTTCCTGGTGGAGTGTGGGATTCACACATTTGGAAATATGTCCAGAAATGCCATATATATACTATGTAGTGACATGGAGATCTGCATCCTCTCCAATGCCTCACAGAGGAAAGCTGGGACACGAGGCAAGACTCATCAAATGACAAACATTGTTAGTAAGAAAAAACATACAAGCTATGAAAAGGTGCAGGAGTTTGGCTTTGCCTGAATTTACAGGGAAAAGCAAGATAACTCCCCCTCCTCTTGCCTTTTTTTCTGCTAAGTAACTGAATGCAAAATACTTTTGCACTTTGAACTCAGTTTACAATAAGAGGAGATGGAAACAGGAAGATTTTTAGAGCAGGACAGATCCCAAACAATTAGAATAAATGAGTTATGATAGTTTTCTTGGATAAGAGAAAACTAGTGTGGTGTAGCTGTTAGGATGTAGAATAGAATTGTGTGAGGCGGCAGTTTTGGTAGTACATGCAACAATGAAACTCACTGAATAATCATTGATCTGACCTACCTTCACAGCCTGACTTATCTCATCAGGCAGTTGTGACACATTGGTTGGCCCCATAGCAGTTGATGGTGAATTCATGCCCAGGTTTTAATTCTAACTTTAATATCCGTTAAATTTATTTTAGGAAGACTGTTCAGCTCCTTTAAAGCAGTGGTTTCCAACCTGCTTTTTGACCAGGGACCATTTTGACCAGGGACCACTCTCCAACATTAGTACCAAAAGGATAACCATTTTTTGATTCGGGTTGGTTATTTGGTGTGCTGATTCAGAAAACTGCATTGGATAGACTACACCAGCTCTAGTTTCTGATACAGAACATATGCCATCCAGTAGTCGCCATCTGCTTACCCACAGAAAACCATATTTAATAAGGTATAATAAGAGGGCTTTGCGAGACCAGTGGTTCTTGTTGCAACAGTGTAGTCATATTTTAGTTCTTGCGGGCCACTGGTGGTCCATAGACCACAGGCTGGAAACCACAGAGTGAATTCACTGCCCCACTAAAATGGGAACTACGACTGAGGAAGCCTGTGCCCGCCACCATAAGTTTATTGGAAGAAAGAGAAAATATAAATGCAACCCAATAATTATATTAAAAGATGATATGGTAATACAGTAGAGTCTCACTTATCCAATATAAAAAGGCCAGCAGAACACTGGATAAGTGAAAATGTTGGATAATAAGGAGTGGCAGCATGCAGATACCATTTCAGTGTACCACTAAAAACTAAGCATCTAGACTGAGGTAATTTTTCCAGCATTTTCCCTTTCTATAAAGTTTTCCATTATTAAAGGTTCTGTACATTTCATTTATATGTATAATTAGTGAAGAAACTGAATCATATTAAGCTTCTCTTCCCTACAGTAATAGAATCCTTTAGTGAAACAGAAAGTGATTCAAGTAAACCTGGATCTGACTTTGCCTCAATCTTTAAGTTAATTAAGTATTGATAATGATTCTACAAATAGTGATTAAGAATCAGGAGGTGCCCATGGTCACTCTAGAATAGAATTAAACTCTTGTGGCAAGGGGGCTGGTCTGCTGAATTAATGGAGTCCTAAATACTATTGCACTTGGAATTTTTTTGCACCAGTTGATGTAAGGCTAAAGAAAGAATCCGAGGAGAAAGAAAAGCTGAGACATTTTAAAGCAGCTAAAGATCTGTTATGGCAGAAGTTTAATTGGGACAGTTTGGTATACATACATGTGTATTTTTATATGTTTACAATGTACAGAAGTTATTGATACTGTGTATATGTTTAACTGTTAGAATATATTTGTTTTGGTAACAGTAGCTGAAAGCTAGAGCTAACTGGTTGTATCCACAGGAGGTTGCCAAGGAGACCAGGCAGGAGAAGGAGAAGTGGGCGGAGCCTAGCAAGAGAATGTTTTCTGCGTTTTGAAATGAAGCAGTTCAGTTGGGGGTTTGGAGTCGGAGTGAGCAGTTGAGAGAGGAGAGTGGAGAAGCAGTGTGTGAATAGCCAGAGGTTTCTTCAGTCTAGGGAGGCTGAAGGGGGAAACCTAACTAGTTTCATTAGTCAGAGAGGACTAAGGGAAGCTTGTTTAGATCACTAGTTAGGAAAGAACTAGAGATCTAGGACTTGATCAAGAAAGGATCAAATAAGAAAGCTATTCACCTCAGGAACCATTGTGTATGAAAGTGCACAATAAAAGTACCACAGTAAAAGTCAATTACAAGTTGTATCATCCAGAAGTGTGAACTGTATTGCAAACCAAGTTACATGCAAAGTTCTCTAAGTTATCCCAAGTTAACCAACAGCCTGCAACCATACGCTTTGTACAAAATAAACTTATTAACTTTAGTTTGAAGACCGTGTCATCTCCATTTATCTGCGTCTGGGGAGCCAGTTCTCATCGGCAATACCTCACGTTGGTGGCAGTTGCCTGAATTACATTTATAATCATCCACACCTGTATAACTGGTGGCAGAATTTAAGAGCAGACAGTACAATTAGTGACGGCGGGTGGGTTCTTTAAAGTTAAAAACCCTATACCCTGTATGTTGTTGGAATTACAGCACCTTCGCAATTGGCACAATTGTACAACTGGTGCGTGCAGACTTCACAAATTGGTGGCAGCCCTGTACAATTGGCGTACAACCTTTACAATAGGGCTAGCATCACCGCAACAACATATGAAAACCTATTTTTCAAAATTGGTAGCTAATGTACTCTGGCAGAAAGGGACATTTTAGTACTCTCTGCAGCTCTTGAAAGGTCCCAAAGAAATCAAATTAGCCCCTGGACTTGCTGCAATTGTCTGGGTGTTTTTTTTTCTGCCAATATTGCCAGTTCAAGAAATTTGAAAGAAAAAAACAAACAAACCGAGAAGCTATGATTAAATGTGTGGCATATAGGAGAGTGTTTATTTTTATCATGCTTCTAAGCAGTGGACTAGCTTCCCTTTGGCATTACAATCAACCCCAATTCTTGAAGCTTTGGAGATAAGTATCAAGCCACGTTTGTTTGGTGTGATAACTAAACCGTATTAATGATATCTAAATTTAAATGGTTTTTATTTTATAATAGCTAGCTACCCAGAGCACTGTTTTTTAGTGCAGGGTTAAAGATAAAGAACCCTTGGCTCTCCTGAATTACAGCTGCCATGATTCCTTGCAACTGGAAGTTTCTCAGTATGCTGCCTGCAGTTTCTGAGAGTTGAGCATCCAAAGCATCTGGTTGGTCAAAAGTTTCCCCACTTGCAATCTAAAGTAAAGATGCAAAACCTTTTAAATAAATATATTCTCAGTAGCATGGATCAGCAGGACCAATGGGCAGAGATGATAGGCACTGTAGTCCAACATCATGGGACGAAGAGGATTATAAGTTCTCCACTTTTGATCTATACATCTTCCTTGGTATATTTCTGTATGTGCCTTGAAGGTGATTCGGTCTAAGGGTGCATCTACATTGCAGAATTAATGCACTTTAATATCTATGGGTCAATGGTATGGAATCCTGGAAACTGTAATCTGGTGAGGCACTGGCACGCATTGGCAAAGAAGACTAAAACTGACCTTGTAAAACTACAATGCTCGTGAGTCTATAGCACTGAGTTAAGACAGTTAAAGTAGTCTCAAACTACATTAACTTTGCAGTGTAGATGTACCTAAAAACGAAACCAGTAACAGGAAAGAACAGCTGCATCTACTAGGAAAAAATGCAGAGAGTATCAGCGGCTCAGTAACAAGAGCAGCAAAGGGCTATTGCTTTCCTGTCCTGTTTGATCTGATCGATGGAGATCTTTTGTCCTCAGGGATGGAACACAGACTAGCCAGGCCTGCTCTTGCACAGCTTTTTGTCCGCTGTAACTAACAAGTAGCTCAATACTTGTCTGGAGTGCCTCTGGTGAAATCTCCAGACCCTTTCCTGCTGTTTTCAAACAGTGTGGGTGTTAGTGTTTAGGGTTTCCAAGAATGGAAATAGGAGAGGGCTCCTGTTCCTCCATTGCTTGTGTAGGGGGATTTGCAGCAGGTCACAGTGAACGGGCACACATGCAGGGGCACGGGCTCACCAGCACTCTAAATGCACAAGCTTTGGAGTCCCCCCAAAGGCCCAGGCAGCAGTGCAAGGAGGAGGCCACAAGTTGGATTCTTACTACAAAGGTTTTTATTGCGGGCCCAGCAATAATGACAAAATGCATACAGAAGTGCATGAAAAGGCTTTGTTGCCACTTGAAATGTGGTTGCAAGGCCTTTTTTTATCACTTCCACAGAAAATTGAAAGCACATTCCCATTGGTGTATAGAGATCAATCATTTCATTGGTCTAAGTTGGCTATACAGTGTTCACTGGCTCTTTATAATTCTAACAGACAGCAAGGCACATGTGGGATCTTAACAATGGCACAACTATAGTCTATTGTTCTCTAGCCATGAACACTCAGATGGAAAGTATCTATAGGTCGATACTTCAAGCGGCTGGGAAATTAGGGGAGTACAAGCTAACTAGTTCTGCCCTGATGTACTTTTATACTTGAAAACTACCTTCCTCTTTGCAGTAATGTTTTCACAAACTGTCAGCACCTTCTGCAAACAAAGGCCTCTGCAAATCGGGACATATGGGATTTACAGTCATTGAAAGCATCCACGAAAATACCCCTTTAAAAACTATGTCTCCCTCAACACAACCCCAAAACACTAGTTTTTAAGAGAGTTTTAAAAATTGTCTTTTATTCTATTACAGAGGTATTGTTTTAAAAACGTAAATAATTTGATTACAATACTAATTTTTGAATATTAGTACAAATTGAGTATCCTTTATCCAGAAGGGACCAGACTGGATTTTTCTTCCAGACGTTGGACTATCTGTACTTTGCATATAGGTACATCAAACCTTCCAAATGACGCACAAAGATGTCACGGTGTATCACTTTCAGTGTGTCTATGTGTTGCATGAACGTAATGAGAAACTTCCAAGTGTGTGAAATAAGCCATATATTTAAATATGTATAAATGAAAGATTTCCATGAGACATCTTGTGTCCCCATACATTTTGTTACATATTTGTGCCCCCATACATTACACTTTATGTACATGATTATCTTTGTGTCTTTTATCAGGGTCAGTTTAACCCCTGGTTATGCCAGCAAAACTGAATTATGGTACGTGTCCAAAAAGTGTGTCACCAACCTGAAGCATTTGAAAAGCTTGAAGGTACATAATGAAATTGAAATTAGAGGTACCTATGTTGTTGCTTATGATGCTTGCTTTTATTGTTTATGATGTTGTTTTTATGCCATTTTATATTTTGCTCTTCTGTTTTTAACTGTATGTTGTCTGGGCATGGCCCCATGTAAGCCGCCCTGAGTCCCTTCGGGGAGATGGAGGCAGGGTAGAAAAATTATTATTATTATTATTATCTTGGAGATGGGGACATAAATCTAAACACAAAATTCATGTACACATCACATACCTCTTATGGCCAGAAGGTAATTATATACAACATTTTCAGTACTTTTGTGCAAGTATGTTGAAAAAGTCAATTTTGGTATTCTGAGTAAGAGATGCTCAACCTATAATTGTGTTAGAACAGGCATGGGCAAACTTGGGCCCTCTGGGTGTTTTGGACTTCAACTCCCACAATTCCTAACAGCCTAAAGAATAACAGTACAATTAATATTGTGGTTGTTAAACTGTGGGCCAACGTTGGAGGGAATGCTGGATGTTGAGGACAGTAACAATACTGTGGTAATACTAATGTCATATCAGCTTCCACGGGGTTGAGGGTGCCTTCTCTCAGCCCTGCTGTGTGTTTGGTATCTCTGAGGCTTCCTGAGCGAGTCCCTCCTGATACCTCAGTGGTTACCTTGGCGACGCTTCCTCGCGAGGGGCGGGGCGGCGAGTCAGAAGAACGCGAACGCACCCCCCGCGGCCGCCGTAGTCGGAGCCAGAGAGAATCTGATACACCTCTCTACCGCGACAAGAGCAGCTCCACCGGTAGGGTTTCTTCGTTGGTGTTTACAATTCTCGCGAGACGAAGCGAGATAGAAGGGAGGGAAGGGGGGTGTGTGAAAAAAAATGACCTGTCCCACGTGACAGGAAAAAGCATGGGCCTGTGCGCGCGGGGGTGGGCGCGCGTGGGGCTTCCAGCCGCCCTCGCGGAGAGGGGAGGGTGGGCCCCCTGGCGGCCAGGGCTCCGTCTCCATGGCAACGGCGGAGCGGCCTACCGAGGCGGGAGTACGGGCCCGCGATGGCGGCGGCAGCGGGAGGAAGAGTGGAGTCAACGGAACAAGACGGTGCTGACTTACCTGGCGGCCGGGGTGGTGGGCATGGCGGGCTTGTCCTACGCGGCGGTGCCGCTCTATCGGCTCTACTGCCAGGTGGGTGCCAAGCCGTTCGTGAGGCCTACAGAGGGGGGGAGGGAGAGAGGGAGCCCTCTCCTCACACAAGCCTCTCAAGGTCGTTGTGCAGCCGAAGAAAGAGGCAGGAAGAGCTAGTGCAGGAATGGACAAACTTCGGCCCGCCAGGTGTTTTGGACTTCCAACTCCCTGTTAGGAATTGTTGGGAGTTGAGGTCCAAAACATTTGGAGGGCCAACGTTAATAATAATAATAATAATAATAATAATGGACTTTATTTGTACCCCGCTTTATCTCCCCGATGGGGACTCGGTGCTGCTTACATAAGGCCAGGCCACAACAACAATTACATGAAATAAAACAAAACCGAAAATGCAAATAATAAACAATAATAACGCAATTACATAAAACAAAAGACAACATAGCAATATAAAATTACAATAAACACAATCACAATAACATGGGCGAGCTACATGTAATGGATAAAAGAAACTGGGTAGAAACAGATGAAAAACTCAGGCGAGATAAACACGTGATTATTTGCGGAGGAGATCTCGTTTTAGCTTCCTATGAGGGGAATGCACTCCAATAACAGAAACCGGTAAAACTAAGCACTAGTTATGTTGTTGTTCATTCGTTCAGTCGTCCGACTCTTCGTGACCTCATGGACCAGCCCATGCCAGAGCTCCCTGTTGGCCGTCACCACCCCCAGCTCCTTCAAGGTCAGTCCAGTCACTTCAAGGATGCCATCCATCCATCTTGCCCTTGGTCGGCCCCTCTTCCTTTTGCCTTCCACTTTCCCCAGCACCATTGTCTTCTCTAGGCTTTGCTGTCTCCTCATGATGTGGCCAAAGTACTTCAACTTTGTCTCTAGTATCCTTCCCTCCAGTGAGCAGTCGGGCTTTATTTCCTGGAGGATGGACTGGTTGGATCTTCTCGCAGTCCAAGGCACTCTCAGAACTTTCCTCCAGCTCCACAGTTCAAAAGCATCTATCTTCCTTCGCTCAGCCTTCCCTAAGGTCCAGCTCAAAATCATCCAGGCATCCCCTGGGCAACGTCCTTGCAGATGGCCAATTCTCTCACACCAGAAGTGACTTGCAGTTTCTCAAGTCACTCCTGACACAACAACAACAACAACAACAAAACCAAGGGTCTCAGGGTGCTTCACAACGTAAATTATACAGTACAGTACAGTACATAAAATGGAATAAACAATTAATAACACCACCAATCAATATAAAACACAAGATATGACACAAACAAACAAATTATCAACAAAAATGATAAAACAGATTAAAAACATAATGGTTCCTATGAGCTAAAAGGGGCCTGCTACCCCAGTCGAGGTATATCCATATCACAGAGATTGACTAATCATTGCAAAAAGCCAGTTTAAATAGTCATGTCTTCAAGTCCCTCCTAAATGTCCAAAGACAAAGGTTAACACCCCTCTGGTGTTTGTTTTGCTGTCTGTGCCCCTATCCAGAAAATTTCACCTCACTGTCTGTCCCTGTGATAATTGGCTTTTGAGTAATATTATTTCTTATCTGCCTCTCCTTGTAGCTGGCAGTGGGTTGCAGAATAATTAAAACACAAACATGGTAAAACCACCACAAATACATATACCTTGTACTTTGCCCAGGAAATAATTGACAGCGACTTTAGGATTATTATTTATTATATTTATTTATCTCCCCCGAAGGGGACTCAAAGCACCTTAACATAAAAGCATCATCATAACCATTTAAAATATACAAATATGCGAACATTAAAACAGGATTAAACATAAACAGTATTAAAAATTCCCAGTTAAAAACCATTAAAACAAATTCAGTGTTAAAAACCACATCACCCCTGAATTAATCTTAACCGTCTTCATCTTTAAAAGCCTGCCTGAATAAAAAGGTTTTAGCCTGCTGCCAGAAGGACAACAGGGAGGGCGCCATTCTGACTTCCATGAGTAGGGGGTTCCCACGGTTACGTGTAATATGGTCACTCCTGGATGTTCCTGTAATCAAGCTGGCTGCCGCATTTTTAACCAACTGGAGTTTCTGTACTTGGTACAAAGGTAGCCCAATGTAAAGTGCATTGCAGAAGTCCCAACATTGAGGTTACCAGTGCATGCACTACAATCTTCAGGTCTTTCAAATCTGGCTTGTTGTGGAAACAAACACTGGTTATAAAGCTTCATTGAAGACACCTTTCCCCCATGATAACTCTTTCAGGAGAGAATTTCTCTTCCAAGGGAGAAGATTTTACTCACTTCATGTCATCTCACTCTTGGTTTTAACTGTGAGTCATTTGTAAGGTGGATGTTTGTAACTCCCAGACTACCTGTATAGCCAGTAAACTAGAATGTTTGTGGAGAAAGTAGAAAGTGTGGAACCAAACAACATTCAGGTTTCTATAAGTACTGGGTAATTGAATGTTTTCTTAATAATTTTATTTAGAAATAATGAGAGAAATGGAAGGAATCAAAGCAATACAAAAAAGCAAGATTTTCATAATATACATATAAGACTAAAATTACTACATCTAACAAAACTAAATCTAAAACACTTAAAATCAGTCTGTTCCTTAAACTTGCACATCAATAAAAAGTACAAGCGGAGCATTCTTTATTCAAGAATCCTCCAAAATTGCCAACATGGATGTTTAAGACAGTGAAACTATTGCTTTCTGGTAGTTAATTTTGCCTTTCATGTATGAAATTATTTAAATGTTATGTGTACAATCACTTCAAAGCTATGTGAATAGGATGCATATCGGTGATTTCCAGACCTTGGTGTCCCTCAGGTATTTTGGACTCCCAGATCTCCTAGTCCATTTAGCCAGTAGTTAGAAATTCTGGGTATGGAAGCCCCAAAACATATGGAGGACCAGATAGTGTATATGAAACATAAACTAATTTTGTGTTTAGACTTGAGTGCCATTTCCAATATATATCATTATGTATTATATGCAAATATTAGAATTTCAAAACATTTTTAAAAATCTACATCAGTTCTGGTCCCAAGCATTTCAGACAAAAGAGATTCAACCTGTAATAGATCTGGATCAAACGGCATCACTTTTCTTCATTTTTTAAAAAAATGATCCACCTATTGTAGCAGGTATTGTTTTAGGAAAGGGGGCATTTCTCTTCTTTTTGAGATAGGGGAGGATATCTTATTTAAGATAATGCCTGTGTTAATTTGTTTATGAGAAAAGTTTAAAAGTCATGCAAGAGTTGTGTACAGCAGCTATTTGTTAGAGGGAGAGATTTTTTTTTTCAGAATATTGATCTCTGTAGTCACCCAGTTAAGCCAAATAATGGGAAAGTCAGAACACTCACAATTGTGTATTAAACTGTGGAATTTGCTACAGTGGGGCGTGATTATGGGCTGTCATTTGAAAACCCTGAAAGGTAGTTGGACAAATCAAGGAGGTTAAAGCTGGCAGTGACTAATGGTTATATGACTGTACACTACTTTGAGGATTAAAGGCATGATGCCTCTAAATACAGGGTGAGGCAGCATAATTTCCTTTCTTTCAAAATATAATAAAACCCATTGTATGAATAAGATTTTTTAAAAAATGTAGGCGCATACCTATAGTTTTGTTTTACGTAGTTTTGAAGATCAAATTAGGTAGGTGACGTCACCCATTCTCCATACACTGAGTAAACCGATTTCTGGTGTTTGTCATGACTCTTGCCAGCATAGCAGGAGTTATGTTGGCAGTTTCTTCCTGGATGTTGGTCTTCAAATCTTGTAGGGTCCTTGGACTGTTCACATAAACATGGGATTTCAAAAAAACCGATAGAAAAAAATCACAAGGGGCCAAATCTGGAGAGCGGGCCAGCCACTCCAAACCTGCTCGAAAAGTAGGCTTCAACAGCAAAAGCACGCTCCTCAATGTTCCAACGCATGATGGCGACTGAACTGTGTCAAAAAAAAAACCCCTTTATACTCCCACCTCTCGAACGAGACCACTAACGCTCCGCTACGTCTTCAACTGACTGAATGGCGCACATTCTAAAAAAGGAAGTTATGCTGTCTCACCCTGTACCAATTTGATGGGAAATAATAGTGAGAGGAGACTGTTACTCTCCTGTCCTAATTATGAAGTTTCTATAACATCTAAGTAGGTAGGATTTGACTACTGATAAGCACGATTCTTCTTTATAGAGGTTTCTTGAACAATCAGTAATACTCAGTAATTTCCACGACACCTTTTAAAGTTTAAGATATTATGTCTTTAGCAAGACTGTTTCTGTTTAAATTCTTGGTTCCTTTCAATTTGTTTTCAATTAGACCATTAATTATTGGGGATTTTTTCCTTCTAAGGCTACTGGACTTGGTGGATCAGCAGTAGCAGGTCATGGTTCAGACCAGATTGAGACGATGGAACCTGTAAAAGATCGCATCATTAAAGTTACCTTCAATGCAGATGTACACGCAAGCCTTCAGTGGAATTTCAGGCCTCAACAGACAGAAGTATATGTAAGTAATTAAAATATGTGATTGTTGTTACCGTGTTCCTTCAAGTTGTTCATAATTTAGGGCAAGGGTCCTCAAACTTTTTAAACAGAGGGCCAGGTCACAGTCCCTCAAACTGTTGGAGGGCCGGATTATAATTTGAAAAAAAATGAATGAATTTCTATGCACATCGCACACATCTTATTTGTAGTGCAAAAAAAAAAAACCACTTTAAAACAATACAATAATTAAAATGAAGATCAATTTTAACAAATATAAACTTATTAGTATTTCAATGGGAAGTATGGAGCTGCTTTTGGCTGATGAGATAGGGTGGTTGTTGTTGTGTGCTCTTTCAAGTCATTTCAGACTTAGGTTGACCCTGAGCAAGGGCCAGTTAAATCTGGCCCCCAAGCCTTAGTTTGAGAACCCCTGATTTAGGACAACCTTAAAGTGAACCACTTTGCTCTGTTAAATGCCAAAATACTGTCAAATTGAATTGTTTTTGCTCCCCCATTGCACATACTTTCTGTTTATCCACTACACTTCATATATTCACTCAGGAGTGATGAATACCTATTCAATTTTTATCCTGTTGACCAAGGTATTGTGATGCCTATGTCTTATCCTTGCATTGTGAATTGACAGTTTTCCATTATTTTTGGTTGCTAGACTATATAATTATTCCATTGCTGCTTCTTTCAACTGCAAGATTCTATGTTTGCTATTCTTCATTATGCTATTCTAAGCCACATTTTTTATGTTTGCAAAATAACAAAGGAAAGCTGGCGAAAATGTACCCTTGCTATCAAACATTTAAGGAATTATGGAGCAGGCTCATGGGAATGGAGTGAGATTTAAGGGTGTGTGTGTGTAGTTTTTAAGTGTACTTGTAAATGTATTTAATTTTTTTTACTCTATAAAACAAAATATTGTTTTTTTGTTTTTATATTAATATTTAATACATTTGCTCTGTTCTAATGTATACTTACTGTCAGTTGCTTTGACTCTATATCAAAAGAAAGGTGGAGTAAAAATGAAGTAAATAACATAAAATCAAGTTATGAGGTTATTTTGCCAAGATTTGTTCAGAAGAGGCTTGCCTTTGCCTTCCTCTGAGGCTAAGAGAATGTGACTTGGCCAAGCAGGGACCCTGGTCTCCTGAGTCCAACACTCAAAGCACTTTACACCATTCTGGCTCTCAACATGGAAAGAGTATTTAAGTAAGAGATGTTTTGCCTTATAATTCAAGCATGGAGTCTGCATGCTGCACTGTAGCCTCACAGTTCATTTAGGCTCTGTCTGTTGAACAGTAGGAGTCCATTGTTGGTACATTCTTTTTGATAATTTAGTCTCATTCTGAATCCATTTACCATTTACCTTTATTAGTATCTGTTATGAAACACTGAAAGCAAAAGTGAACACATACATTAAAGCCTTGATGTTGGTTTGGATTTGCTGCACAATTATTGTTAATATTTGTAACTGTTTTGGTTGCAGTCAGTTTGATTCATATTAAGTAGAGCAACTTATGGAATTGAGTTGTTGCCAGGGGCAAATAAAGATTGCCCCAGGCATCTAAACTCATCTCTGTTGGTGCTTCCTTTTTGCTGAGAGAATAGAAATATTAATTTTCCACAGTTAGAAAATACCGTCTGTCATTTTTGAATCCTTTTGACAGGAAAAGTGCTCTCAACACTGGGTGATCCCTAGTGTCATGCTGTTTTATTCATTTGCACAGCACAGTAATATGCTGGGGAGATTTTTTTTCCTTAGCTGTCATGCATTTGTCCCCATGCTTCATCTATCTGGAAATAAAACATTTTGTTTGAATTTTCAGTTGTTTCTTGATGTAGAACTATTTTACAATGCAACATTGGAGACATTCTAACACAAAAAGCCAACAAGTGCACCAGGTAGTTTGTCTCTGCAGAATGAGAATTAAGCATATCAACCTAATCATCTGTAATTATAAGTACAGGTGTAGTGATTTTGAAACAAAATTGTGGTTCAGTACTGGAAAGGAACAATATAACTTACATTACCATTTTATTTTATTTTATTTGGTTATAGGTTGTTCCAGGGGAAACTGCACTGGCGTTTTACAAAGCAAAGAATCCAACTGATAAACCTATCATTGGCATTTCTACCTACAATGTAGTACCTTTTGAAGCTGGGCAATATTTCAACAAGATACAAGTAGGTGAAATATGCTTACTGGAACAGATTGCTGCCAGTTAACCAAGCATTTCCTAGTATATTATAGTTGGAGTCCTCAGTATTAGTTACTGGAGATGCCACTCCCTCTCCTCATAGCTTTTCCTCTTGACTCGGCTGCAGGTGGTGTTTTGGTGGCACTGTTTCCCCTTTTATAAAACTTGAGTGGTTTGCAGTAGTTCAAAATATTAATTTGCAAATTATAAACTAATGGAATATTATGAACTACTGCAAATACAGACACCATACTAACATACATAACTACTTTGTCTTTTATGGGAAAGAGTGAAATTTTATTCTTTAATAGGCACTATTTTTAAAAAAGCATTTTTAAACATTTTGGCAAAGTATCTCCCCTAACATCGAATATTATCTGCAAAGCGGACTGTAGAGATAGTGTTGGTTTAGCATGGGATTTTTTTTTAAAAAAAAACACACATTCTTTTTTCTCTCCAAACAATCTAGTGCTTTTGTTTTGAAGAACAACGACTTAATCCTCATGAAGAAGTAGACATGCCAGTATTTTTCTTCATTGATCCTGAATTTGCAGAAGACCCAAGGATGGCTAATGTTGACTTGATTACTCTTTCATACACTTTTTTTGAAGCAAAAGAAGGGCAGAAATTGCCCCTTCCGGGCTACAATTAATAAAACACCACCTCGATTGGATTCCTGTGCTCTTCGATATTGATGACTCAGAGGCTATGGAGGAGGCTACTGAAAAACAAAACTGTGCTCCAGATGTTGAATAGTAATAGATGTGCCATTCTTTTGAAGATGCAATATTTAATTTTATACAGAGCAACTATGATTGTGAATAAAAATAAACAATACTCAATGTATAGTATGAGTTAGTTTCATAACTCAATTCATAGGATATATCTGGGTAGTGAAAGCAGTGCTTTTGGAAGACTTGTATTTTAATAAGGGTTATTTGGAATCATTTGCAGAAATGCTAGTTGTAAATAAGGTACCCAATGGAAAAATGCAAAAGCATGTAGTTGTATAGCTACAGGTTTTAAGGTATCACTACTTGATGTGAGTTTACCTGTTCATACATATGAGAAAAAGCATTGTGTCCGACATTTTGTCAGGGCTTTTAACAAAAATGCAGGTGGTATTATATAATGGAATATATTGAAGCTCACCTATTCTGTACAGTCCTCTTAAAATTCTACTACCTAAATTCACATTTCAGTGAGTAATCTGTAATCAATCAAAGTAAAAGGAGAACAATTCCTATGAGACACCCAATTTAACAAAATATACAGCTTGTCTGTTACTCATTTCCAAACATAATAACTCAATCCTAGTAACCTCTGCTATTAAAGTGACTTCTCAGTGACATACCAATACTTCACTTCTATTCTTTGTTTTCTTTCGTTGTTGCTTTGAAAGGTGATAATCTATTTAATCTGTGAATTACAGCTGTGCCTCTTACAATGACTGCTTGGCTAAGAGAGGATGTTACTGTCACTGCTATTTAAAAAGGAATAGTTTCTGACTTAACTGCATAGCATTCTGATTTGTTGAGTGACAATCACTGATGAATGTATAATGACTTGAACAATTGTTGCTTTCTGCAACAATGTTATGTTTCTGTTCTTAAAATGTACAGTAGACTCTGTTACCCAGTACCCATGGGGAATGGTAGACGCCGGATAAATCTAGTTTTGGTTGCTTGAGAGTTACTATTAAAAATATTATACCACATATCACAAAATCTATATTGACTATAATTATACTGAACTATAGTAGATAAAAGTGAATAAAACAAAGATGAACTAAATGCAACACAATTTTACTGTATTACAAAACAGCTTTGTGAATGCAGCATTTTTTCAATTTTCCCCTGGTTGCTTGAGCATTATGGTTAACCCAGTCTACTGTATTTTGAAGCCATATAAAAGGTAACACTAGTGATATTGCAAACTTTATTGTATTGTGAAAACAAGGTTTGGGCAGGAGTATTCTTAAAATATGTATTCTTAAAATACATGACTTTAAAAATATGATACTTCTATTAAAGCAACAAGCCAAATGAACAATTATAACTTACTGAAAAGGTTGGGGGGGGGGTAGTGTTTTTTAACTGAAGGAATTGTCAAATTAACCTTTTATGTTTTTAGGGAAACATTTTGGATGAACTAAAGCCCTGTGTCTTGCTTTAGTGGGGAATAAATGTTTCTGGAGGCTTCCAAAAGTATTGTTCCTATTTTGATCCAATACTATGCTAAAGGATTTGGCAGGGTGTTTACAAATCCTATTCATTCCTAATATTCAATATGATTATATCTTATGAAGGGTCATACAAAGGGGAATGTCCTGCAAATGTTGGAGGACATTCAAACACTCAACTTTAGAAGTGCAATATGGTATTAGAAACAGTCGTGTCTTTGAGATTGTTAAGAAAAATACCACTTTGATGTGTAAGAACAGCAATTATCCATATCTATGCATTCAACCATACACAGCTTGGAAATATTTCCATCCTAGCTCCCCTGAATCCCCCAAAGCAATGCTTGATTTTGCCATTTTATATAAGGGACACCACTTTACTATGTCGTTGTTTATGAGACTTGAGTAACAGCTGATTTTGGTATCTACAGGGGGTCCTGGAATTACAGTGGATATCAGGGCAGAGAATAGCATTCTTACCACTCCCTCTTAATGACCGATAACATTTATGGACAGCAGTACCTGCAAGAATCTACACAACACCCCATCACAGCCCCATTTTAGTGGATATCTTACTTGTAAAAAAGCTAAACAGCTTGGTATTAGTGCTCTGCAATGTGTCCGAGTCCCACAGGACACAAACCAAGACAGCTTTGTGGGCTTAGTGCAGCAGCTGGATATACACACACAATCAAGGTCTAGTAATTACTGTGAATATTGGTCATTCAAATGATATATGTGAATATGACAAAAGGCCTTAATTTCCCCAGTGCATCCTGCAGCTGGCATAGGGTCATACCTTGCCGAGATGGGATTCCCATTTTAATAAAGGAAATTGCTTGTGCCAGGCTAGTTCTCAGTCCCACGTTGTTGTCCCTTTTCTTCCTCTTGCACATCTCTATATTTGGTTGGCAACTGAGAGTGATGTCAGTGTAGCTAGTCCCCATTAGAGAACACTATTAAAAAGCATTACACTTTAGTGTCTATCCTTTTTACATCATCTGTTCATCCGGTGTTCTTATCTCGTGTGATCACCAAGATCCTTTATGCCTTTTTCACTGTTCCTGCCGATTTTGCTGAAACTTGCTTAGCCTAATGCTAAATATTTTGAGCTACTCAGTTCATTTTTTTTTTTTTTGCCAGAGAAACTTTTGTCAATGCCCCTTCAACAGTCATTCTTCTGGCACTCAGGAGCTTTAGCTAAAGACTCTCCCATTACATAGAAGTAGCAAGCATCAGGAAAAATTTAACAAGATCCAAATAGTAGCCTCCTAATCTGCTCCCTCTTTCTTTGTGTGTTGAAGAAAAGTTACTGAATGCAGTCTTTTCCTGATGATCCAATGAGAGATCACCCAGGCTTCGTGTTAAGATTTATCCCCTTCTGTGTTCCTTAGTTCTGGCCACACAGCCCGGAAAACTCACAACTGAGCTGGGTATTTTCAGCTCAATAAAGAGAAAACAAGAGTGACATGAATGCACTTTTGAATACCTTGAGGGCAACCACAAAGGGGAGGCAATAAGACTATTCTTTGATGCTCCACAGCATGTGAGTCAAATGGAGTCAGATTTCAATTGAGCATTTGAAGGAGCATCCTGATCATAAGAGCAGCTCAGCAAATGGAACCAATTGCTGAGAGGTGATGGAGTCTGCTTCTCTGAGCATTTCATAAAAAGCCTGGACAGTTTCTTGGTGGGGATACTTTAGCTGGAGATCCTGCAGCGAGTGGACTTGATGGCCCATACATATACTATGTAGCAAAGACTTAACAGAAATGTCAGGAGAAAAATAGATGACAACAGAACAAACCAACTAACAAAGTGTGGTGCTTACAGAGAATCGTATGTTAAAAAGTGAAAGAATGTCTTAAAACAGCTGTACAGCTGATTGAACCATCTAGGTAGTAAAAACTCATTTTCAATCTCAGATTGTTTACTTGGATTATAAAAAGCATAGCTGTTATAAAACATTTAAACATTATTTAAACAGAAGTCAGACTTAGGGTATCCATTTCCAGTGCAAAGCACTGATCTGAGTGGTTAATTGTAATGACACCTTTAACCTAAATTTCACGCAAACTCTTGAGAAAAGTGCATATTGTATTTTAATCAGAGAAAAGGCACTTCCAGTCACACTTTAAATGTTCTGTGATTCTATGACTAAGTAAGTATGCATGATAGCTGAAAGACAACCTCAGTAGCTGGAGACATGGAAAAGCAGTAACAGACGTTAGGGAGAAGTCATCCCCAAAGTACCACTGTGGTAGAGTGTTCATGGTTTTTCCTGTTCCACTGACTCCGTTAGCACCTTACTATAGTTACTCCAAATAGAGCTTCCACTGGGAATAGTTATACCTGTTACGTCACAGTGGTTTTCAACTTGTAGGTCGCCAGATGTTTTGGCCTTCAACTCCCAGAAATCCTAACATCTGGTAAACTGGCTGGGATTTCTGGGAGTTGTAGGCCAAAACACCTGGGGACCCACAGGTTGAGAACCACTGTGTTAGGACCTTTGTGGAATGTGTACAGTATTTAACTCCCCTTGAAGGGAAAACACATGTATCCAGAACAGGGGTTCTAAAGGCTGGCAAGACAGAAGAAGTACAATTACAACAAAATCTCTTTTAAGTTCTTAGTGATTCTCTTTGCTTTGGAACTAGTTGGACACATTCAGGATAATTAGTGTATTAAATAGGTTTACAGGAAAGTGCTGTAGTGATTAATCATAGGGCAAAAACGAATTTTCAAGAAATAAGAATTCTACATACAGGGCTATCACGTTAATATCATGAGGTGGATATACTGTAGAACAGGGACAAGGAATACGTGATCCCACCAGACGTTGCCTAGGGCAGGTGAGCAACTGCAATCCAACAACAGTTGGGGTGTCACAAATGTATCATTCCTGAGACTGGACAAAATCCATCCTGCGAAGAACACTGTTAGAAGGTCCTGTGGTCATAGTTATCCCGCAATACTCCTATCTCTTGAGTCACCAACTATGAAGCCTGCTGATACTTTGGTCTCAGGTGTGTGATTGCTCATCCTTAATTCAGTCTTTAAAGCACATCTGATGCCAATCTGGTTATACATAACTAACTTCCTGTTCTGGCACTTAGATATATTTCCTTCAAAAAATTATTCACTTGTTATTACAATGAATACATTGTGAAATAAATGTACCTTATTCAAGTGCAGTCACACTTAAGACCTGGATCTTATGTTACTTACAAGATTTCCCCCCCAAAAAACACAGCATCCTAAATAAGTTGTAGGCTTGGGCCCAAAGTATGTACAAGTAGAACCTTGTGTCATTAAAGGCCAGATGAACCTAATGTAATGCATTTAAGGCAGAATAAGTAGGGCTGATGGTTTAGGTGGTTTCCAAGCTGATTGATCAATCTAATATTTTTTTCTCTGCCTGTCCAGAAATTGTCTTTCCCTTTACTGACATGTATGCCAGCAAAATAGTCTCTAATGTTGGCAAAGGTAAGTTGTTTTCTTGGGCTTCTGCTTCTAGCAGCTGCTGTTATTTTTTACACTTGCTTTGAAGAGATGCGCATCAATTTCTTCATAAATAGGTCTGGAAATCAAAGGATAAGATAAGTCACTATTTCACAACATGTAACAATCTAAAGATTAGTCAATAAGGCAGTGATAGCTACCAGGAACACTGTATTGTCACAATAAAGCATTCCTTCTGGGCATTCTTCCCAATAATCAATTCTATGTAGCAGGAAGGCAGAAGTGGTGTTATATGCTACAGCCAAAATTCATGTTCCGTTTCAGTTAAGGTGTGGGCTAAAGACACAATTTACAGGCAAAGAAAGTCTCCTATTTGTAATGTAACATATAATACTATGCTATGACAGGTTGGAAGGTTGAATCTAGGGAGAGTGTGGATGAGCTCCCTCTGTCAGCTCCAGCTCCCCAAGCGGGAACATTAGAGAAGCCTGGTAAAACATCCAGGTGTCCCCTGGGCAATGTCCTTGCAGATGGCCAATTCTCTCACATCAGAAGCGACTTGCAGTTTCTCAAGTTGCTCATGACACACACACACAAAAATACTATTTCCCTAACTTAGTCACTATATATACCAGGCATGGGCAAACTGGCTTTTCAGGTCTTTTGGACTTCAACTCCCACAATTCCAAACAGCTGATAAGATGGCTGGGATTCGATCTAATGTCATATGGGCAAACTTCTCTTAGTACAGAACTTCCCCATCCTCTCCTCTCCATTCATGTTTCAGAAGATCCTCCAACCTTCAAGGCTCTCCATGGGATTAGACAAGGGAGTCTGTTTTGCCATTGGATGGATGCCATTAGATATAACCCTGATCATATCTAAACTCCCTGATCATTGCACCTGGTCTTGAAAAAGCGGTTTATCATAATTTTGATGTTCTGATATGGGACAGGCTATATGCATGCTGCGTTGAGTTCTTACAAGAATCGAGCAAGGAATTGCTCAGTAATTCTTAAAATTACTTACTCTGGCTTGTCACTGGAAGCCAAAGGATCAAATTCCATGAGTTCATAATAATTAGGAGGTGGTGGGTTGATTTTTGATGTATCTATGGAAGAAGGGGAGAGAGAAAATGTATACTATATATTAAAATATTTTAAGTTCATATTTTACCTTACCTTTTTGGTTCTGATAGCAAGAATCCTAATTACCCTCACTATTCATTTTCTGCCATAAGTTTGGACACAAGGTAAACATTGGGGAATGAGTGAAATATTAGGAAGAGGTAGGATTTTGGTAACAATACCATCCACACTAAAACTAGTATAGTCCATACATTCAAAGACTTCCATTAATTTCTACAATAGTAGAAAAAAAACTACTGGTCTTGTAAGAGTTATTTTTCAGAATTTGTCTTCATCTTTCACATTCATCAAGGCTGGGAATCGTGGGCATTGGAAGCCACCATATTCCACAACCCAACTCCCAATTTTAAGATGGAAAAAACCCCTTTTAAGCCAGGAGAAGGAGAAAAAACATTAAAAATCACTGGGAAAGTCTTGCCAGTGATTACGATTCAAAAGCAAGGCCAACTTTCTCCCTGGAGATCACTTTCTTGCCTCCAGAAGCAAAGTATGTCTATAGATGGGCATAACATTTGCATAGCACATATTTGTAATAAAGCTTAAGATCTGTAGGCTTCAATTGTGCATTTATTTCTACCGAGAACAAGTGATCTGGCGTCATCTTTCCACAGGCATCTATATGTCTTACAATTCATCCATAGCGGGCCTGTTATCCAAGTTCCCTACTAACTGATGTACGGAAATGTCACAAGTTATTTAATTCACTGCAGTTGTTCAGATTTACCTGTTGGCTGTGTATCTCTTGAACCATTACTCTGAAGGCTTACTGGATACAAAGGCACTGTATTTAAATATGTATTTACCTGAGGAAACAAAGGGAATTAAATCAGGTATGCAGGAAGATGGAAAGATGGATTAGTTAATTAACTGAGCATAACATCCGGATTTATTTTTGTATTGTTTACCATGATACAATGTGTTGAGATCCACATACACACTCAGGGTGGCTGCTTGCATCAACATTGACAGAATTATATTAACATTAATTTTACTTGTACACTTGTCTATATATTTGAGCTAGTACAGAGCCAGCTTCTAGATATATACGTACAAGCCTAGATGTTGACTCTATGCTAGCTCAAGCATATAGACGCCTGGTTAACAGGTTAATAAAAGCAACTGAACCCAACTCCAGAAAACACACTGCTTTTGAAACTTATCCATTTCTATGCAGAAGATATAGAGGTCCTATTTTAAGGGTCGAGATAGAATCAAAATATCTCTTGGGATCCTGAAACAAACGTCTGGTTTCTTTGGATCCTGGATAGTTCGTTTTTTAAGTTGATTTAAGGATAATAACTACCCTATTTACTCCTATTTCTCAACTTCCCTTCAAATTTTCAATTGTACACTCATAAGACTAGAGATCTGTTAGACCATATCTTTGAAAAAAGTTACAAATATAAATGCCATTTTAAATAACAATATCCTTATTTCAAATTGTCAATGTCCTCATATATCTGAAGCCTGGATTTAGTGTAGAAGGAGAGAGCTATTTAGCAGAATGGGTGTTGCCAAAGTTGTTTGGTTGTCATCTATGCCAAAACCCAGTCTACTTATATTATTCACTCATACCTCCTCCCACACCAAATCTAGGTTTCAGGTCAAGACTGACAGGAAGCAAGACGAGAAAGACTTTAACTTTGATTAATCAGGGCTCTAAATGAAAGTGTTATTTGTCAATCAGTATTACGTTGTGATTGCTATTACAACCTGTTCAGTTAAGTCTTTAAAAATCTTCCTTCATTAAGCAGTGTGATTCATCTCCCCACCAACCACTACCACTTAAAAGTTTACAGTTACACTATTTACTGTTTACAATTTAGTGTTGTGAAAGGGATTGCTGGGTCAGTAGTATCTGGATCAAGCTAAGGTATTGTAATATGTAAAAAGATGTCACCATTAAAGTTACAGTCAATGTCAGTTTTCCAGGCAAGTCAGAGGCCCTGTTCTGATTACTCTTGCATAATGAAAGCCACTTCTGGTGTGAGAGAATTGGCCATCTGCAAGGACGTTGCCCAGAGGATGCCCGGATGTTTGATGTTTTGCCATCCTTGTGGGAGGCTTCTCTCATGTCTCCACATGGGGAGCTGGAGCTGACAGAGGGTGCTCAACCCACTCTCCCTGGATTCGAACTGCTGACCTGTCAGCAGTCTTGCCGGCACAAGGCTACTAGAAAAAGGGGTGTTGTGCTAATGAAACCGCAGTTATGGAACAACATTGTTATGGAGATAAGTCTGATGCAGTATTTGTGGCCTCAGCATCATATAAAAATACTTTACTGGAACCATTTAAACAACTAATGTAGCCTGGGTTTCCCACACTTTACGGTCTGATTCATAGCTCAGGTGGCACAGGTTTTCCAGTTCTAAAATTTGCCTTTTAATTCATGAGCTGCTGCTACTGCTGCATTTATGGTTCTCTGGTTAAGATTTTTTTGGGTTCTGGCCTTTGTATTTGCACTGTTGTTTTTTTTATTTGAGCTGCCCAGAGAACTTTGCTATGAAGTAACAGGAAATATTTGTTTATGATCATTTTCTTTTTTAAAATGTCTCTCTGTCACTTCATCGGCCCATTTTACTTGTTCTCCCCATTGTTTCTTGTATACTCTCTCAACCTGCTGATTACTGTCATGGGAATAAGAGTGTGGTTCCAACAACCAAGCAGCAGTGTTTCTGTGTTGCCACAATCACATTTGCCGCTTCACTGGTCACTATCCATACCTTTTCATTCATTGCTGTCTTCACTTCCAAATGATTTACTAGCTGTTCGGCATTTCTCTCCAATTCCTCCCTAAAGATTTTTGATATATTTTCAAATCAAAGATTTCTCTCACTTGCCAGTGTATAGATTTTGCTATACACAGCAGTATTTTCACCTTCCCCAGTCTACTCGCAAACCTATATGCTCACCAAACCTGTTTCAGAAGCTTCCTTTGGAGCATATTTAGAGGGGGCTGCAGGAAGAAGAATTGCTGCCCTTCATGTTCTAGTAATGGAAGTTATTCAATTTGGATGGATGAATTAATAATAAGTCAAAATTATCCTAAGTCTTTCTAGTGGATCAGGATTTTATTCACATACAAGCTGCACTATTTCACATATCTTAAATTATATGAAGGATAAAGATGACTCTGGGAGGGACCAGGTCAGTTTCTCCTTCTACCCTACACGTATTAAGAGGTACACAAAGTCTCTTATTTGAGGTAATTGCAACTAAGCCAGAACTGAGAAAATGTTTGCTACTTACATTGACATAGGTTTGGCCACCTGCAAGGCTTTGGCATGTATTTTGTGCTTCTGTTATAAACCTAAAAAAGGAAAGGAATGTATTACAAGCCACCAAGCAATCATCACGTCCCCTCAAAAGTCATCACAGAACATCCAAACTTCTCAAAAGTCATCACAGAACATCCAAACTTCTTGCTTCTTCTTTGTCTCTGACCTTCATTTCAATTTATCCAATTTGCTTGCAGCACACATAGCAGCCCTCCATAAATTACCCCATAATAGGAAACATTACCCAATAATTACCCTATTTTATCTGTTCAGCATCTACCTAGTTGGGGTATTTTATGATCCTACAATTTCTATTTGGGCAAACCTTCATATCTGCCTTAAACATTTACATGATTTAAAAACAGTACTTACAAGGACTGTGAAGTATTTGTAGTAGGAAGTGAAGATAATTGAGGGTAAAGTGGCAGCTGGGTAGGATGAGGGCTTGGAACAGCAGCACTTTGTGACTGGCAATCTTTAAAAAGAGGGGAAAGCCAGTTAGCTGAATTCACTTGAACTGCCAACAAAATATCATGGCTTATTTATTTGTTTCTAACATATTCAAGCAATTTTCCTTCTCACAAGATGAACGGACTCCTTACTTCTCACTGAGCAGTGCTCCAGTCAGTGGCAGGAGAGAATGGGAATTTCTGGTTTCTGCCCATAGTTAGTGTGCAGCACTAGAAATCTGAACACTTGATATGGGGTTTCAGATAGAGAAAAGCATACATGGATCTGAAATACTGGGGGTAGGACTACTCCCTCTTGTCTTCTTTGAGTATGTCCTGGTCTCTTGGTCACAGCCCTCATTGCCTAAGCATTAGAAAAGGAGTGGGCAAATAGCAGTCCTAGGAAAACATCCATCCTTGACCTAATTTTTTGAGTTGTTTAGATTTATTTTAAAAGGCAATTACAAGCAATCTCTGGAGAGGGCAAACTCTCTCCTACAAGAAAAAGAGAAAAATGGTGGCCCTGCTCACTGCTGGCACACAATCCTGGACAGATTGGCCCCTGTGAGAAGGCAGACCATTGCACTAGATAACTGTGTAATTTCTCTTATCTCTGAGAGGTATGCAATGTGGTCCAGAAACTTTAACAAATATGAGAAAAGGGTGTCCAAGTAGCACCTCCTCCATTTGAAATATATTCTCAGCCCAAGTACATGATCTGGACTCAGAGAAATTTCCCCAAGGTTCACGGTATGCTCTTAAAATGCTGAAGATGTTCTTTACTTAGTTCTGACGGCTGAGGAGTCACTGGGCCAGCTCCCCCAGGCTTTGGCACAATAGCAGGAACGCTACACTCAAGATCCAGCAAATCACACGAAGGAGCAGTCGGCTGGGTGCCATCAACCTGAAAATTAAGGAAACCAGAGCTTGTGCCAAGTGTTGCCTTGAAGTGCAAATCTAATGCCCAATGTACAATAAGATGTTTCAATAAAGCCGTTGTGAGTTTCTTTTTCAAGCAGAACTTGACAGCAGGAAGGTTCTATTCACTATGGCAGGGCAGAAATTAGGGATCCCTCCAGATGTTGGATTGGAGCTCCTAGCAGCCAATGGTGCAGTCCAACAACATCTGGAAGGAGCATGATTTCCACACCATTTGATGCTGTGATCTCCAGTTTGCTATGCACTAGCTCTACCTACCTACCTACTAGAAGAGCACTTCACATTGAACTGAAAAAAATTGTTCCCTGCAAGAGAAATTCCATCTGCTCATAGCCCTTTTTTCTAGCAGTCCTTCATATTTGCTATGTGCAGAAATAGATCTGATATCAGATACAAACATTGTAAAACTGCTAATTTCTCTTTGCCCAGATATTTTAGATACTTCTCCAGTTATGGATGAATAAGTGTTAGTACTCTGTCCTCCACTGAACATTGCATAATAATTAATTAAAAGATACTGTTCTATGCACATCTCTGGAGAAGTAAGCACCCCAGGAACACACTACCCTTATCTTTGAATAAATATCTCTCAATTTAGGAGGTACAAAAATTACATAATAAAGCAAGAGATCAAAGAACATAGCAGTGTCAGAGGTCTCAGGATGCTACAACTACTACTAAGAGGTTGTTTGGGACCAGTAGAGTTAACTGTTCATGACTTACCACTGTACGTTCATTCTGAATCCTCTGATTCTCCAAAAAACGTACTCTGTTTCGAGAGAACCTGCATAAAAAATACAACTGGTTCCTTAGTTACAATCTACACAGCTCATGGGGAAAAGAAGAAATATTATGAAATACTAATTTCAAAGAACCTAAAGCAAGTGTATGGGAAGAAATTTCAACTTCATGTTGGTTGCAGAGTCTGCACTTTGGTTGTTTTGGGGGATTTTGTTACAGAGTGGGTTCAGTGGGAATGGCAATCCAAACCATTGATTTGTGGATGGGTTTGAGGGATTTTGGCTAGTCTGGGAACAAGAGGTTGTGTAAAAATTGGTATGAAAAAAGTGTTATTTATTTATTTATTTATTCCGGGGTGGGTTGCCAGGGCCTTTGGTGTCACAGGGCAACTATGCCGACTGTGAAAATGAGATTTAAAGGTCACATTTGCTCAAGGCCTGCACTTCCTCATTTCTGTCCTAAAGGTGACTCTAATAACAAAAGATTTTTCAAAATATATTTTTGTGGCCCTGCTCTCAAAAGACTTGTAAATCCATCCAATAGATCATTATGATAAACAGAGGTTTGGTTTGATAGACAATTAACAAAACACCTTTTATGGCACGCTCCATATTAGCTGTCCATTCATAATTAACGGTATTGTTGATTTAGCATAATACAGTCTTGAATATTGCTTAAGGAGTGCTTGAAGCCACTTATGGCACAACAAGGAAATAAACTGCAGGGATATCATTGCAATAATGGAACTCGATACTTTGTTTCATTGCAAAATCAGAAATTATATGTTGCTGCAACAAAGCAGGCTTCAGGAAGTGGCGTAACACACTTAGTGTACCTGCGTGAACTGCGTTACAATAAGCTATAATGCCGCTAGTACACTTCTACATGTGCAATGTGAATTTGGGACCCCGGGAATTTAGTGAGTGCCATATTCTAGAAAACCAGTGATACGCTAAGTTCCAGCAACTTTATACATGTGATATCTGCCACATGGGGGCAGCAAGTGTTTAAGGCATTTTTTAGGCAGGAACAGGAGGCCATGTGAAGCTTGGGTTTGGAAGCACCTGGCCTGCATTCCTGACTTTTTTTTTTTTTTTTTTTTTTGCACTACTCTGCTTCACTAGGAGCAGATACTAAGCAGGCTAGAGATGTCCTTGCAGGGAAAGTCAGCAACAGAATGGGAGACTATGCTGTATCTAAACCAGAAGTGGGAAGCGTGCAACCTTCCAGATGTTGCTGATTTGGAACAACAGCAGCCCACACCAGTATCGATCCAACAATATCTGGAGAGCTACACCTTTTACATCCCTGCTCTACAGAGGGGCAAAATTTCCAGTATCCGGGAGAGATTCAAAATCCAAGCAACCATCCACTGACTTTCTAGAGTGAAAGGAGCTGAGAAGAGAAAATAAGAAGCTTGAACGATCCTGAAGAACCTCCCCATGACATTTCAATACGCTCTTTGTTTGTTCAGCCACAACTATTTTATAAGCATAGCATATATGTACAATCCAAAACGAGGTATAAATATAATAAATACAAGAATATAAATATAATAAATACAATAGGTCCTCCTCATTTGCTGAGTTTAGGGGCACAGAACCCATATGAAAATGAAAAATCACATACAAAGGTCTCACAACATAACTCTATGGTAAACTTCCACTGGAAAATGACTTCAGAATCACTCTGGATGACTTAGAGAGTCTTAGAGAGATCTTCTCTCCAGAAATCTCTAGGTCTTTGAGCGTGACTGGAGGAAGCTGACCAGAGTCACACCAGAAGATATAGATTCCTAAAGAGAACATTTTCAATCAAATCTGTGAATAATCAAATCTGCAAAAGTTAAAAACACGAATGTGTACAAGCCATCAGACCACACTCGGTATCAAATAGACTTACCTCTCATGTCCCAGTAAAACATTATTCAAATTTTCATTCACTTGTATCAGTTCAGTGATTACGTCTTCATTTTGCACTGTTGCTAGCAGTTCCATGATTCTCTCCTGCATTACCCTGCATGTCTTGTACAGCTTCTGCCAAGAGACGAAAGAAAAAAGATGAATGACAAGAAACAATAGAAGTGGAAAACATGTTAATTACATCTTCTGCACAGAGCCATATTTGCTTGAAAGATAAGTAATAAAAACTGCATTCAATTCATTACTTTCTCCTCGATTATTTGTTTCAGGATTAACATGTTTTCTAATTTTCTGAAAAAGCCTTTCCAGTTAGCAAAGATTGAAAAAAATGATATGATACAGTGGTTTGAGCTTTGCAACAGAACTTTGGGAGACCAGGATGCAACCCCTGTTCATCCATAAAAAGTCACTGAGTGATCTTAGGCAAGTCACACTCTCTCAACCTTGGAGGAAGCCCGTGGCAAACATCATCTGAAGACTTTTTGTCAAGAAAACCCCACAATAGTTTTCTTTTAGTGTTTCCATAAGTCAGAAATACATGAAGGCACCCACAACAATGGACAGGCAAGGACTAGCCTGCCTTGTAGTAGATATGGACAGAAATGACACATTGCAAAGTGAAGAGGCCTACTTCAGATGGAATCATGGAAAGCACAGAGAAATGAAGTCAGGAACTGCATCTGAATTGGGAAACTTGATTTTGTTTCAGGTAGAAAAGTGTATTTGCCCAGTTCTCATTGTAGACAAGTGCAATTTGAAACTAGGCACAATGTGATGCCAACCCCCCTCCCAAACAAATTGTGTATTTACAGATAAAATAGAATTATCTTCCACCATCCACTTCATTGGGAATGTTTCACATAGCTCTTGTTTGTTACACAGAGCCTGAATACTTGTGTGTGTGCGTGTGTTGTTTCTGGGTTCAATTGGTATTTTTGGCTGTTGCAATTATATCTCTATCATGTCAGCTGGCTCACTTTCCTGGATTGTCTGGAATCTCAATGCCATTTCTGAATGTTCACAGAATCTGGCAGTATTTTCATTCCCCAAATTCCAGGAATTCCCTGCCACACTCTCTCGCCAGTTGTCACTTGGATGTACATATGAATTTCACAGCTTTCACATAATCACCCTCAATGCTTATCTGGCATTCAGATGTGGCTTGTTTTGTTTTGTTTGTTTGTTTGTTGCAAGGAGCAAAGAGGAGCATTACATTTATGTTATTGTTGCATTCCACCCACCTGCGTGACTCCTTTTCACCCAAACATCATACAGTTCAACAATAAGTAATACGTTTATTAAGAAAATAGTATATAAATAGAAAAGGCAGTTTGAAAAAAAGTAGACAACAATCCAAGTCATTCCAAAATCAGTAGACTAAGCAATTACTAAGCTACAATAAAAAACAGACTGGAAAAGCATTTTCGAAGTTATATCCATAAGCTTGATATTCTTGAGCATAACAAATAGCAGTGATCAACTCTGAATATGAATCTAAAATCCCAAAAAGTAAAAACAAGAAATTGTAATCCAGGAGTTTCAACACTTAAACCAAAACTATATTCCAAGGCTTGAAAACTTGAACCAAGAATGGTAATTCAATCAAGAGGCATTGATCTTAAACAGGAAAGTAAGATACAGAACCAAAGACCAGAATGTCTAACTCAGAGCTCCCATGACAGGTGACTTGATCCATGAAAATCCAACATTGATCTCCCAATGAACATTATCTTAAAATGGTTAAGAATTCTAATTCTTACCCACAACATCACCCTTTCTCACACCTGGGTTCCCTTTGCTTATGTTTCAGCCTCTGGGAACAATGAATTTGTCTCTGTCTCACACTCTTCGTAACGGTAATCGTTGAGTTACAGGCAGAGCTCCTGTCTCCTCAATATTCATTTCAGAGTCAATCCCTGGCAGATTCTCATGAGAACTACTTTCTGTTCCCCTAACAACAGATCTAACCGAGACATTCCCATCATCAGGAGGGAGCACTTTCATTTTCCCCCACAGAAGTAACTGGCTCAAAAGTAAAAATTTGAGACACCATCAAAAAGTCCCCCTCCTCATTCTCAGAGACCTTACAGGCCTCAACAGTTATATTTTTTAATAAAGTAATAAGAACAAGAAATAATGGATATATCAAAGTACTAGAAGAAGTAATTGTGTACCCTTACATAACGATTCTGTGATAACATAATTGGCCTCCTCTTTACCCATGCCTTAATTTTATGATTACATTTTTTCTGGATTATGCCTCCTGATGGGTGCAGAAGCAGTGTTAGGGTATTCAACATATTGACTATCATAAATAAATATTTGCTTTTACTATGACATAATATGAATATAACCCTGACAGTATATTTAAAAACCGGGTCTCATATTTTCTTCCTGAGAGAATAATTCTGCAACAAGGTTGGTGTACTACTGATGCATCCTTTTCATTCTTTTTTCCTTCTTTTTCCTTCTGTTAAATTTTGCAAAACTAATGAAAAGAAACTGTTCAATACAGAAGCTGTTGCAACCATCTACAATTCTCCAGAAATCCCCTAAACCCAACTGCAGGGCTCACTGGGATTTCAGAGAAAGTACAATGGCAGGGACATTACAATGGTATTGACACCCAGGCTTTCCAGCATCTGGTAAGTTTGCCGAAATTGACTATTACCATGATGCTGGAAATGGTGGGGATGGTGGTATCTTAAATGGCACTTTGCTCAGCATGCATCAGCCTTGCTCCAGGAATAGCATTCAATATCCCAATCTGGGAATTAATGACTTATTACTCCAAATTCTATCAGCTCTTTTAAAAAATAATAAATATCTACACAAATAGGCACTTTGTACCTGCAATAAGTCCATATCATCTGGATTTTCAGAACCTGGGACATTTTCCTTCAGTATGGCCGACATGACCCTCACATTCATTTTAACCATATCCAGTTCGCTGTACAGTTTTCCGACCTGTTCCAAGACCACAAAACAGTAAAAAGTAAGTATGACCTGGCACTCCTAGTTAAAATTAAGAAACAAACCAAGTTTTGAACTCTTTGAAATGAAATGGCATCTATACTCTTTGAAACCATTTACCATCCTGTGCTTTAATAATTAGTAAAGATTTCCCCTGACATTAAGTCTAGTCGTGTCCAACTCTGGGGGGGTGGTGCTCATCTCCATTTCTAAGCCAAAGAGCTGGTGTTGTCCCTAGATACCTCCAAGGTCCTGTGGTCAGCATGACTGCATGGCATGCCATTACCTTCCAATAGAAGCAGTATCTACTCACACTTGCATGTTTTCAAACTGCTGGTTGCAGAAGCTGGGACTAACAACGGGAGCTCACCCTGCTACCCAGATTCAAACCGCCAACCTTTCAGTCAGCAAGTTCAACAGCTTAGAGGTTTGACCTGCTGTGCCACTAAGGGGAGGGGGGGGGGCGCTTTTATAAACTAGACACTCCATCCTCCAAAAATATTCTGCTTTTCCATCCTCCAAAAAACATTCAGGTTCATTGTATCAATGAGGAGGGTGAATGGTTCATTACAACTTTCATCAGACAGCTATTGTGTGAATACACAGGTACATAGCAGGCCCTGCACTTCTGCAGAGATTGGTGTACAAGATGCCTGCAAAAGTTAAAAAACTGCAAAAAAAAACAAACCACACACACACATATGGACTCTCTCGGTCCTCCAAGGAGATTCTATGGGCAAACACCCTTGAGTTTTCCATAGAATTGCTCAGAGATTTCTTAAGGGGTGTTCTATCTAATAATCTCCAAGTCCTCCAGTTCAACTCTTTGGTCATGGAAGATTATCCTAGGTTCACCCTGGAGAATCTAGACAGAACATATTAATCAAATCCACGAATAATCAAATCTGAAAATGTTAAACCTGCATATGTGGAGGGCCAATTGTAGTAATAATTTAATCACACACACATGTATACACACACATAATGAATAATCCCAAGTTATTACAGTGAGAAACAACCATAACTTAAAATCGTGACCATAGCATCAGTTGGTTTTTCTCAACTGGAAATAATTTTAGATGCATCTCTGTCAATCGATCGGCAATGACCATGAAGGCTTGCACTGCCAAATAAGGAAGTGAACAGCAACACTATACCTGTTCTGGAATCAGCGTCATTATTGCACCGGGAGGGAGGGACCCCGAAAAACTTTGTGCAAAGGTACAATTGGATATCTTCATGCCAGTCTGAGGCAAAGGCTATGGATATAAATAATACAACAAAACTATGAGGGTTAACATATATGCAGACAAAAAAGACATTAGTGTTTAGAATTATTGTATTAGTCATATACCACAATGTTTCATTTGGACAAGAGACCACACCTGCTGCATCTTACTTCTCAAGACTGCATTTTCACAGTAAGATATTTAATCTTTTTCTTTAGTTAACTGCTTTTAGATTGATTTGTTGTAACTTTTGTTACCTGCCTTGAGTCCAAATATTAGAAAAAAGGAAGGATTTATATGCATTTTTTTTAAAAAAAGGAATAACAATGACAATAATGAAGAAATGCTGAGAGAGAAAGTAGAGTCCATAATGCATTCTTAAAATCTACTATATTTGGAGGATACCTTCCACACAGGATGCATGGGTGCAGCAGGAAGCAATGAGGAGAAAGTGTTGTTGTGCTATCTACACACATTACATATCAGGAAATAATAGTAAACCTATACTAATTATTACTCTATGCCCTTATTAAATAGGTGATAAAGTTATATATGTCAACCACCAGGAAGTCCCTCTGCTTTTCAAGAATATTCCAAGTTATGGGTTGGGCAACTGTGGGAGGTCCAGTGGTCACCTTTCTTCCCTGGGACCCTCCAGAAACCAGAAGTTAAGTTCTGCTTGAAAAAACAAGTCACCCTTCTGCAACCTATTTAAAAGGTAAATTTTGGAGGCTTCCAGTAGGAGCAATTTACCTGCCCCTTTTTGGCCACAATAATGGCAACTTGCTGAGGCTGGATCTACACTGTGTTATATCCTAGGATTTGATTCCATATTATCTGCGTTATACTGGATTATACAAGTCTCCACTGCCAGATAATCTAGGACAAGAAGATAATCTGGGATAAGATCCTGGGATTTAGGACAGTGTGGAAGGGACTTGAGTCCTGGGTTTGTGGGTGAAAAAAAAATCAGGTTGGAGGGGCACATTCAGTACCAGAGCCAACTTTGCTCACTCTGTCCTCCCTTGCCTTTAAAATATGTCTTGAACTTCCCCTGCACATGTTCAGGTATTTTTGTTTTGCACTGTACTTACAGAGCCTGCAAGGCAATCCAGATATTTAATTTCCTTTAACCTCAAAAAGAATCTGGGACTCCAGATAGATCCCGTGGCCAGTTTTTAAAAGCCTCTACTACTACATTTCCTGCTGAGGAAAACTACCCCTCCCACACTCACATTTTTAAATGCTCCGGGGCAGAAACGTATGCCTAGTTTCCTGAGCAAAGGAATTGGATCATCATTAAATCAGCCGCTCATTATTCTTGAATTAATCAGCACTCCCTCACCGCACGTGTAGATTTTGCAAGAAGCATATCCTTGACTCAATCAGCAATTGTCAATGAAGTTTATACCTTTGAGGGCTGCTTGTTGATCTCAGAGGATGGAAACTCAACACCTTTCTTAAGAAGATCCAGGTAAACTTCTTTGACCTCACTTACATCCACAGCTCCTTGGAATCCTCTGGCCCAGGTCTGTTGTTGCAAAAAAGAACAGCTGATAAAACTAAGTAAGAGTGCCAACACACACAAAACACAACCTATTATCTGTGTGCAAAATAATATTCCTGCATATAAATATTATTTTGGCAGAATATGCCTCAAAGTGCTTAGAATCTCATCAGTGTATGATTCTTCCTATCAGAGTTTCTGAACACTTGAACAAATATGTTTTCAACCGTATTTTTCAAATATGTTTTTAATCCATAAGTCATTCGCACCTTGCCTTTTCTCTCAACTGGGCTCCAAAGCAGTTTACAAAAATACAAACAAATTTCAGATAAAAAGACATGCAAGAACATATATACAACATGTTATTGTTACAATGGAGCCCCCGGTGGCACAGTGGGTTAAAGCACTGAGCTGCTGAGCTTGTTGATCGAAAGGTCGCAGGTTCGATTCCGGGGAGCGGCGTGAGCTTCCGCTGTCAGCCCTAGCTTCTGCCAACCTAGCAGTTCGAAAACATGCAAATGTGAGTAGATCAATAGGTACCGCTCCGGCGGGAAGGTAACGGCGCTCCATGCAGTCATGCCGGCCACATGACCTTGGAGGTGTCTACGGACAACGCTGGCTCTTCGGCTTAGAAATGGAGATGAGCACCACACCCCAGAGTCAGACATGACTGGACTTAATGTCAGGGGACTACCTTTACCTTTACCTTTATTATTACAATACGGTTTACTTATCTATAGATTTCAAATTGTAAGTAAAATAAAATAATAAAAAACAAAATTCATGAAAAAAGCAAAATATAAAAGTAAATAACTTTATCTGGCTACTGTTTAGAACAGAGCCTTTATCTCAGCCAAAGGACTCTTCTATTCTTGCAAAATCAATTTTTATTCTATATATATATGAGATAACCTTGTGCAAGCCTTTCTATGTGCCATGGCTTGTCTTTCTCAATATGGTAGAAAGTATTAGTTATATAATATGCTGTAGGACAAATTAAATATTGATCTTATCACATACATGAACTTGTACAAGACCATTTCAGTATGCAATCTCAAAACCACTTGTATGAATCAGCCTAGACTCACAGAGGATTAAAAACAAGGATGTTGCTACAGACCAATTTAATCAAGATATTGACACAGAGGCTAGTATTATCACAGATTGGTTGGTCATTTATTTGGGCTGCATTTATACTTACACTGGGAGATAAGCCTACTTCATATTTACATATGTGCACAACATATTCTAAGTTTCATTTTAAAATTGGTGTTTGTTATTGTGGGAAATGCAATGAAATTTCACCACCACTACCACTCCTACCCAATATTATTATAAAATTGGTTCACACTTTAAAAATTCTGGGGATGAGCCACTGACAGTTCAAAGATTTGTGAAAAGTGAAAAATTAAAGCAATATCCAGTATTCCATTAAGGAATAGATTATCCAATTATGAATACTAACTATTAAGAACTTTTTAGAACAACATTCCATTCACAGAAGAGGCTGTCTAGGCCCACTGAATTGATATCTTTTTAACTCTCCCCCAATCCCAAGTACAGTAGAGTCTTGCTTATCCAACATAAATGGGCCGGCAGAACGTTGGATAAGCGAAAATGTTGGATAATAAGGAGGGATTAAGGAAAAGCCTATTAAATGTCAAATTACATTATGATTTGACAAATTAAGCACCTAAACATCATGTTTTACAACAAATTGACAGAAAAAGCAGTTCAATACACAGTAACGTTATGTAGTAATTACTGTATTTATGAATATAGCACCAAAGCAGACAAGGGTTCTTTCTTTCTCCCACCCTGGACATTATTCTGGATGGGAGGCAGACTGCATTGGATAATACTGAATGTTGGATGAGCAAAGGTTGGATAAGCAAGAATCTACTGTACTTTAGCCACCCATATTTAGATGAACTCAGGTTAAACTGTCAAAGGTATCCCTTGTATAAGTACAAGGGATGATGTTCCAGCAAAACAAGGAATTCCCAAATACTTCAATGCTATTTTAATTATTCACAGATCTGTGTGTGTGTGTGTTCATGTGTGTGTTCAAAGAACTGTGATTATCATCCATAAGAAATCCTTTCACACTTCACAATGGTTCCACTTTAACTTACATGGAAATATCCTACAGGATCATGGGGATGGCAACTGAGGAGCCCCCTGCTTTAGCATTCTAAACACTCATCCCTAAACTGCAAATCCCAAAGATCCCTTAAGATATTGCCATGCCAGTTAAAGTGGAACCATAGCACTATAATTGGCTAATAATAAACAACATAAGAAGAAAAATGTTTTCCCATGATACTTTCTTCTGGGATAGAACAGAGACAAGAGGAGGCTCCCTGATCTTCTTCTGAGGCCTCAATCTTTCTCCAGTAGGTAAATGAAGTTATTGATTTTTGGGGGGAAACAGCAGAGGAGAGTCCCATGGTAGGGAGGGTGGGTGGTACAAGCACCTTATCCTTCCTTTTGCTCTTCAGATTGGGTTGCTGTGAGTTTTCCAGGTTGTCTGGCCATGTTCCCAACAAAGGATTTCCCCAAGCAGGAAGCAGCCAGGCTTTGAAGCTGCCAGGCCATTCAATTCTGGCAATTCTGGCCATGAAAGCCTTCAACAACACTATTCAAATTGTCTCATCTCCTCCCATCCATCTCATCTGAAATGGAACAGCCGAAGCTCCCCAACCCAGAAGAACATGCGTCAAGACCCCCTTTGTAAGTGGAAACTTCAGAAAACTGACCTGTGTTTGAGACTGTGAGTTTGAGAAGGCCAATAGAAATAGGAAATAATGGTTCTTTCTCTGCCATGTGGCTACCTAAATACTCAGTAGTCATGTTTGAAGCCAAACAAGCCAGAAGTGGAAAAAAGTTCATACATTTTATGATCCCAGAATAACCAACAGTGTATAAATAAAAGCCTGGATTGTCCAGAAAAATTGAACTATAACACAAAAACCTTTTGTTGGTTGAGGAGAAGAACAAAGCATGGCAAACTCTCCATTTGTCATGGGACAGTTATAATGAATTACTTAAATAGACTGCTAGTGCTTTATGCAGAAGATGCAGGAGCAGGGAAAAGGAGGAGAAGCGTACCATGATAAAGGTCAATATCTTCTCTTGCAGATCAACCGGCAGGTTATATCTTGGATTCAGCAGCTTCACTAGTCTGTCTCTGCAGAATTCCCTTCTCACAACCAGAGACTGGAAGCTTGAACCACAGTTCTGCATGCACATCTCAAGGAGCTGTAGGGAGACAATACATTTAGGGTTAGTTGTCATGAAGGACATTTTATGTCAGCAATCCAAGGATCCATCACACAAATCCCATGGAATTTCACTCTTCACCCTATCCTTTTTGTGTTTCTTTTCTTGAGGCTCCTTATGACCTGGTACCCCAGTCCCAGTTGACATGCGAAATCCTTCTGGTTCCACTGCGAGTGGCCCTTTACATACTGAATAAGCCTAAAAGGTGATCTAGTCCAGCATGCCGCTTCCCACAGAATTCAACCAGAGCCCACAAATACTTCAGTTTGCTTCGGGTGCTGCTCTGAATCAACGCTTGGAGAAAGTCACTATTTTTGTGCTACAACTGCCAGGATCCTCTAGCCAACCTTAGAAATGACCATGGTGGTTAGGTAATTGTAGTGATTTCAATCCAATACGTAATCTCTACAAGCTTTGGCCTGAAGCTGGAAGCCATAGGAATAGTTGAGGAGGATTCTTTCTACTACATGTATTTGCATTCAGCAAATTCTTACAGTATTGTATAACCACACTGTAGCTGAGCTTTGCTGTGGATTGTGAATCCAAATGAAAGGGCAAATCGAAATCCCTTAAAATGGATCAGTACAATATATTTAATTCATTTCTGAAGGTTCAACAAGTTGCAATTATTCAAGATTGTGGAGAGAAAATAATACAATGTTTTATTAATGTGGTATTTTAAGATTCAAATCATATAATTTGAAATCTGTTCTTTCAGCAGTGGCACCTTTCCTACCTCCAACAGTGTTTTGTAACAAATTAGAGTCTTCTGCAAGAAGATAATCTTTTTTATCATCCTAACATTTTTTTTTCTTGGAGTGTTACATTGATTTCTTTGAATTACAACATTACAACAGAATATATCAAGCATATGCTGTATAATACCCGTATTTACTCGAATCTAATGTGCCATCTAATCTAATGAGCACCTCAATTTTCAAAACTCTGAAACCAAAAAAAAGTATTTGCTGGCGAATTTAATGCACAATGGCAAAAAGTGCACTCTTTGTAATTGGGCCAAAAAAAGGTACACATTACAGTGGTTCCATGCTTGCTATTCCTTCTTTAAGAACAGAAGTATTAGAACACCAAAACTTCCAGCTATGGAAAATAAAACTTGAGGGTACATCAATGCTATAGAATGAATGTGCTTTAACTGCCCTGGCTTAATCATATGAAATAATTTATTTTTACAAGATCTTGACCTTTCTCTGCTGAAAAATGTTGGTGGCACATGAAACTACAAATTCCAGGGTTGCATAGCATTAAGCCGTGGCCATTAAATTAGAGATGACATCTTTCAAGTAGGAGGTCCAGGTGCTCCTGAAGAAAATAATAATAACAATAATATCTCCCAAAGTAGACTAAAAGCAGCTTTCCCTTTTGCTTTGGCTCAGAACTAAGATTACTATATTATGCAAATCTAATGCACACCCTAATTTTGGGAAGGTAATTTAGACAAAAAAGGTGAGCATTAGATTTGAGTAAATACAGGTATATAAACTATATTGCCGACATCATTAAATGCACAAGCCTGGGGAGAAGACTGCAAACTTCACTTCTATTTTCAATTAACTGCAGATCCCATTATGTTTAAACTGAAATTGGTTAATGTAATGTGATTTTTTTTTTTAAAAAAAAAACAGGGTCATAAACTATAATTTGAAGTTGCTTGCTTCCCATTACAATTGTTAAGACTAATGAGAGTTTGTAGAGTTTTACACACAACAATCAATTATAGCTAGTTTACAATACAAGCAAATGTTTTTTATCTCCTCCTAGAAGCTGTGCTTAGGAAGGAAAGGGAGCACAAAAGCACAAGGCCTATTCATATACAATTTGAGTATCTCTTTTTCAAAATGAATATGATCAGAAGTGTTTGGGGTTTCAGTTTTATTTATTTATTTTGGATTTTGAAATATTTGCGACACATAACTGAGCTACTCCGAAGACAAGGACCATGTCAAAACATGAAATTCAATTATGTTCAAAACAACAAAGGTGTTGTTTTAATCTGATGGATAACTCAAGGATGATTGAAACCGGGATCCAGACCATACATGTTCTAGTAACCCACATTTCTCAGGACAGTGGTATTGACATCTCTTGGTTTATTTCATGATCTCTGGATCTTTCTTGGGTAAAGCAACTATTTGCTATTTTGATCCTATTTACATGTATGCTGCTGCCTGTTACAATGCTTGCCATATTGTAGTTCTTCATGCAAATTCTTGCCTTTGTCACACGATTGGCATGCGGTTGAAAACCTATAGCAATATGTAAATAGGAAGCAAGAGAGAAATCGATAGTCCCTGTGAGGTGAGAACACTGAGAGCACACAAGAGCATGTGTGTGTGTGTGTGTGTAAACCAGTGGTTCCCAACCTGTGAAAATGCCAGTGTGTTGCCTTTGCCAGTGCTTTCTTGGCCTTGGGAGGCTTCCCAGGCCAGGGCGGAGAAGACTCGCACAGCAGCATGAATGAGAGAGAGGAGAGGGAGAAAAGGAAGGACTCATCAGTGCTTTCTCAGCCTTGGGAGGCTTCCCAGATCAGGGCTGAGAAGACTCATCCCGTGGCGCACAAGAGGAGAGTCCTCCAAAGTAATAATAATAATAATTAGCTTCCACTGCTAAACACAAGAGTTATAATAAGAAAGCAGCCCTTTGTAAGACCCTGTTTAATCCCCCAAAGTAACTTTTGTTGTTGTTGTTGTTAGCTCCCATTGCCAAACATAAGCGTTGTAATGGGAAAGTAGCCTTTTGTAAGACCCTCTTTAGTCCCCCAAAGTTATTATTGTTGTTGTTGTTATTATTATTATTATTATTATTATTATTAGCTCCTATTGCCAACCACAAGAGTTGTAATGGGGAAGCAGCCCTTTGAAAGAACCTGTTTAGTCCCCCAAAGCAGTAGTAGTAATAGTAGTAGTAGTAGTAGTGATAATAATAATAATAATAATAATAATAATAATAATAATAATAATAATAATAAAATTGTTATGGACAGTTGAGTCGGGTCTTGCGCTCTGCTTATTGGATTTTTTTCAGTCTCAGCCCCCTCCCTTTCTTTTTTTTTAAACGAAATCCACGGATAATAACACAGCCCAACCAAAAACATTTTTTTCTTAGTGTCTTCGTTTTTAGGCCTGATCCTGGGGTTATTTGGGGTGCTGATTCAGAAAATTGCATTGGATAGACCTCATCAGCTCTAGATTATTAAATATGGTTTTCTGTGGGCGAGGAGATGGCGCCTCCTGGGTGACATATGTTCTGTATCAGAAACTAGAGCTGATGTGGTCTGTCCAATGCAATTTTCTGAATCAGCATCCCAAATAACCAAACCGAATCTAAAATTGACCAAAAACTGATTTGTAACCCTTTTTGTACTAACGTTGGAGAATGGTCCCTAGTCAAAGTGGTCCCTGTTCAAAAAAAAGTTGGAAACCATTGATATAGACATATGTATGTAAAAGCAAATAGTGGCCTGTTCTGCTGAGCCAAAGTGATTCCAAGGCCAGGAACTGCCAATTTTCTCCCCATACCTCTTGTGTCAACTGCGACCTTGTAGATAACAAGCTATGAGATGAGTTAATGCAAGAAGTGTCTGTTTTAATTGAAACTGGGCACATAAAAGGTGTAAAACAATAAGGTGCGAGATGTGATGTAAAATCACCTTGGAGCTTTCTAACCAATTATGGTGAACACTGACTTAATGCCTCAAAAGGCATCTTTGCATTCTACCTATAAAACTAAATGTAACTGCACAATTGGGTATTCCTTCTTTTTGGCACCCGTGAGCCCTTGTTTTCTTTTTTCTTTTAACTTATTTTCCAAAACAAATTATTCTCTCTTGAGATCAAGAAACTCCTGGTTGTTGCCTGCTGTGTTTTAAAATGGCACCTTTAAGAGATTGGGGTGACATTTTAGACACAACATTTTTAATACTGTATTTCTTTTATTCTAGCATGCACTTTACTCCCCATATAAACATCTCTGCAAACAGGGTGCATCTTATAATCACAGTGCTTATATATACATACACACATACATAGCTAGCAAAGTGTTTTCTGTTGGTGATACTGAAATTAATATGTGTCTTACAAATGATGATGTTTCAGAATCAAAGAAATATGGTAATTTTGTTCATGAAACTTCTGTATATACTCAAGTTTAAGTCTAGTTTTTCAGCACATTTTGTATGCTGAAAAAGGCCCCCTTAGCCTATACTCACGTGAGGGTCCTGACGGGAAGGCATGGGGCTGAAAGAAGCCCTTTGCAGGGCTTCTACCAGTTGCGTGCTGCCTACCCTTTCGGCACAGCAACCCAGCTGGAGCTCTGTGCCGAGAGGAGGAGAGGAAGGCGCGCTGTATGCTTCAATTTATGTAATTTTATTGGTATCTATTTTTATTTTGAAATTTACCAGTAGCTGCTGCATTTCCCACCCTAGGCTTATACTTGAGTCATTAAGTTTTCTCTGTTTTTTGTGGTAAAATTAGGTGCCTCGGCTTATATTTGGGTTGGCTTATACTCAAGTATATATGGTACGTTTGTATACACTGAACCATCAGAAAGCAAAAGTGTCACTATCTCAGCTACCCACGTGTTACTGTTACTGACCTACCCATGAAGTCAGTTTTGGATCTTGGAGTATTCTGGATTTTTGGAAAAGGCAGGTTAAACATGTATCATTAAACTATAGTTTGGTGTTGTATCTCAATGAGTTTTCAAAACGGTATAATGTTGCTAGTTTCCATCCCGATTCTTCGATTGGGTCAATCTTGTAAAGCTAGGTTCAATCTGACCTTCTCTAAACGTGGAAGAAATGATTTTCGCAGTAATGCCAATAAATAATTCAAGTGATTTTACTATAGAGGAAGAGTGAGCTAAAAAAGAACTATGAATGCGCTCATCACTTAAGCTTCAATGTGCAACAACACTTTAAAGACTATTGTCCCTTTGAATCTTCAAAACTGTTGTGTGCA